AACCACTCCCTGGCTATGCGAACAATCGTGAGCCGTAAATGCCGTGGTGGCATGTGCCACAACCGTGCCGGCTGGGACACAGACATTTTCCGTACCCGCATTGAGCACCTGCAAAAACGGTAATTGATCTGGCCGGACGATGGTCTGCGCTCCGACCAGCGCCGATCCGGCCGTTATCGAGGCTGAAGGTGACAACAAGATCCCAACCGCTCCAAGCCGACCAGGCAGGGGCTTCCGATACCGCAGGGGAATAAGCATCTGTGAACCAGGTGGAATATCAACAGATGCCACGGATAGCGCCTGCACTTGTACGGCCGAAGCAGGTCGCCCCCAGGGCGACGGCAGAAACGAAATTTGACGGCCACCCGGCAGTTCAATACAATTCTCATTAATTTTGATCAAAATAGGCATCTTAGCCAGAAAATCAGTGCCCAATAAACAGGGAACTGCCAAGGATCTTGAAATCAACACAACGCCCGAGGCCGACACATCCCCAATAGATATTTTAGCGTCCACCTGGCCCACGATGCCCATACTACCCCCGTTCGCAGCGACGCACGACCCGTAAACCGGACGCACGGCCCCGGGTGGGATGCCTAACAGATGAAAAATGACATCCGAAATAATAGTCGCGGACGCCCCGGAATCGACCAAAATGCGCACGTCCACCCCTTGTATAGACCCCGGCACGGTGGACGAACCCGTAGCGGCCGCAACAACCCTCCGTGCCAATTTGCGCCACTGCGTCACAGAGCGACAAGGCCCCGTCGAAGGTCCCTCTTTAACAACAACACTATGACCGCACAACGAAGGTGATGGGTGAGGTGTAAAGCCTTGCCGGGTGTCTGGTGCGTGCCGACTTGCCTGTTTCGGTGGATCCTTGGGCGGCTTGGCCGGTAATGAGGCCTCCTGTTGTGGCGGACCCGGGATGCGGGCCCAGCAGTCCTTCGCGTAGTGGCCCTTCCGTCCGCAGCGGAAGCAATCGGCGTCGTTGCGCCGAAGCGCAGGCCTTGCATCGCGCCGCCCGCGTATCGGCGGTGCAGCACGAGAGGCCGGTCCACCGCGGCCTGACCATGGCACCGAGGCGGCCGTCAGCTCCTGAGGGCCCCGCTCATCCGGCACGTATACCGACTTCGTAGGGTCCCAACCCAGAGCGCCACCCTCCGCGACGGGCCCCCCTGTCCACGCCGTGACCTGTTTCCATCGTCGTAGGTTGAATTGTGCATCCAGACATTTCGCCGCCGCCCGGGAGGTGAGCTTCTCATGCCCGCACACCGGCATGGGAATCCCAAGATCCCGCGACAGCTCGAGCATCTTGCCCAAGATGAGAGGCTCGAGCAGGTCAGGTGTTGTATCTGGATACGCGGCCATAGCCAAATCAAGCACTGCACCCCTGTACGCCACAGGCGACTCCTCGGGCGCTCGTTGTCGTTGAGCGAATCGCCGATGCGCGTCGTCAGGTGGCTCGTAGGCGTCGGCCATTTCTTGAAAAACTCCATATAATGTCCTCTTCTTCTCGGCCTTAATGGAGCGAAAAAAACGAACAGATTCGTCGTCCAGAAGAGTCGGCAACACTTCCAAGGCCTCAGCATCGGTCCATCTCGCAGAACGGACCGCCGCTAAAAATCTGCAGGCGAAAGCGCTCCAGTCGCCCCCAATGGCGAATTCCTTGACCGTGGTGAGATGGCGACTCCGACTTCGCTTCACTCCGCCCTCCGCCGATGGTTCCTCCGGAGGCAAATTCAAAATGGCGTCGAATCGCGGCGTGGTCAAGATGGCGGATTCCCGCCGCGGCACGCGCAAGATGGCGGCCTCCTGCCGCGTGGCCCATGGCGCCGGGAGTGAAGAACCCGTGGCGGCCTGTGGAGCACTCTCCGCTCTCTCCGTCGCCGTGCTTGGGGTGACGAGATGACACAATTGGCCCAGGGCGTCCTTGAGAGTCTCCAGTTGCCCAGCCACCTGCAGCCATCGCCGATCAGCGTCTGATGGTGTCGGCGGCCCTGACACTGTGGCTACATCTTCCACTCCCGTCCCCGCACTCGTTTCAGCAGGGCTCTCCTCCACCACCCTGGCAGGATCCATGTTTGGAGGGAAGTCTTCGTCTTCGGACGAAGAAGCCGATGCCGGCGCTGGAACATTTTTCTTTCTCACTTGTTTCGACATGCCGTTGCACTTCCGACACCAATGTAATAAAGGACTCGACCACGATGTCTGGCTTGGTGTCCTTTATTCGGTTCTTCTCTCTTAACCCGCACGGCTGTCCTTCTATAAGACTCTATACTGACACTGATACTGCTCTCCTGCAGTTTCTCCCCTCGTCGTTCTCTCAGCCTCTCTCTCCTCTCGTCGCTCTCGTAGCCTCTCCCTCACACACAGCCTCGCCGGCTGTGTTCCCCGCAGCTCCTCGTCCGCCTTCTCTCCAGCCGCCCCACCGCTGTCTTCTCTCGCAGCTCCGCTGGCTGCTCCCTTAGCTGGCCACCGCTGGCCGCCGCTGCCACCCCTTGGCTTTGCCCACGTGGCCTTACTCTGGTCCAGTCCCACTCGTTCTGCCTTCCTCTTCCGGTCTCCTCCCTTAAGAACCTTAACCTTTCCTCCCACGTCACCTAACTCCACCTCTCCGTGACGTCACATCCGGGAGGTCGCCCGCGCCCGCATTACAAATAGAAAGGCGAGAGTGGTGGTGGTGGTTGCGTGTTGTTGTGCGTGTGGAGGGGGGGGCGCCAGTGTCGCGATTTAGCGGCGCTGCGCTACGAATCCGACCACCCGGGTTCGATTCCCGCTCGCGGTCGGCACCAGTGACTCCACTAGGTCCTTCCCTAGGTCGACTCAGACTCAAATGAGTGCGTGGTACCGTGTGTTAACATCGCCATTAGGGAGGCAAATGTGGCCGGGTGTGGTGTTGACCACCCACCCACACCTTCGTGTGCCGTGCCGGCCTTCATAGGAGCTCGCTCACAGCACTTGTCCCAAACGTCTGTTAAGGCTACACGGGGGATCTTTGTCTTTGGGATGGAGGGGGGAGGGAGGCCTCACTCCACAAATGGTGCTCCCCATGACGACTAAGGGCGGTCAGGTCGGGTGGTGTTGGGAACTGAATTGTTTCGGGGTAGTTTCAGACACGCAGCGTGGCATCAAAGCGCACCAAGCCTGGCACAAACGCCGCCGTAACGTCAGCGACACGATCATTAATATCGTATATCTCGGTGTGTGTATATTGTGTGTGTGTGTATATATACCGTATATGCAGCGGACTGGCGATGATTATTTGAACCGGTCCTGGACCTCCCCTAGGCCAGCTCCGCCTCAAATGAGTTTGTTAGCGTGGTGTGTGGACGTCGCCGCTCGAGAGACAAAGGCAGCCGGGCGTTGTGCCCCCCCCCCCGTGTGCCGTGCCAGCCTTCATAGGTGCTCGCTAACAGCACCTGCCCAATCAGCGTGTGTAAGGTAAACGGGGGCTCTTTGACTAGCAAATGTGTCAATGTGTATTTATTTATTACGATGATGATAATAATAATATACAAAATGAAACAAATTATGTATTGATGCAAGCAGCACCAATAACACGATTACTTAATACAAATGCACCATGAAGATGGACCGTTGCCCGAAACATCGCCTACCGTACATTTATCTTTTTGAGGCCACAGCGTTGTCAACGAACTCGTCGAGTCCGCTGCTCTTTTGCGTTTTCCGTTCGTTGTCCTTCCCCCAGCAACATCCGATCGGCGCTGTTGACTACGTACGGCGCGAAAGAAGTCCACCACACAGTCCGCACGTGCGAGAGTGGCGTCTTGCCTTAGTTGGCTGGAGCGCCTGTCTGGTAAACAGGATTTCCTGGGTTCGAATCCCAAGCGGTGGTGCCTGGAAATGTCAATACCGTCGTTGTTTGGGGGCGCGGTAGGGTCGTGGTTTGCGTGACTGCACTACGATCTCGGCTACGACTGCGCCCGATCCCCGCTCACGGCCAACATCAGTGGCGATGATCCGAACCGGCCCCCTGCCCGGGTTCTCACGCTGGGTCGGTTCCACATTGCATGCGTACCCGGCGCGGTGAGTTAGACATCGGGAAGGCAAATCCGTCCGGGCGTGGTGCTTTCGCCACACCGTCATTCCCTTCACAGGCGCTCGTTCACAGCAACTCGCCCAAACAGTCTGTGAAGGCGACAGGACGTGTTGTGTTTTTGCTCCTTACACGCATCGTGTGTGCACGTGTGTGCCTGCGTCGTTCCGTTGGGAGCGGTGGTGCAGCGGGCAGCGCCTCGAACCCGGCGACCCGGGTTCGATTCCCGCTCACGGCCAACAACCAGTGACGATTATCTGAACCGGTCCTGGGCCTCCCCTAGGTCGACTCGGCCTCAAATGAGTACCTGGTGAGATGTGTAAACATCGCCACTGTGGAGACAAATGCGGCCGGGCGTGGTGTTGGCCACCCACCCCCTCGTGTGCCGTGCAGGCCTTCATAGGTGCTCGCTAACAGCGCTTGTGCCCAAAAAAGTATATTGAGGCTAAAGTCACGTAGGTAAAAATTTAAAATTTATAAAAGTAAAATAAAAATAAAATAAAAAAATCACGACGTTTCGGAGGCAACACAAGCTTCCGTCTTCAGGAGGAACCGTCACAGCATACTTGCTGTAATCAAGTGTGTGTTGCTTGTGTTGCCTCCGAAACGTCGTGATTTTTTATTTTATTGTAATTAAACTTTTATTAATTTTTATTTTTTACCTACGTGACTTTACCGAAAAAACCTAAGAATATGAATACTTGCAGTCACGAAAGCTTCAAATCTAGAATTATATTGAGGCTATACGGGAATCTTTGTCTTTATATTTGGGGGGGGGGGCGATGCTGACGTCACAACAATCTCCCCCTCGACTCCCTCCCTCCCCCCACAGACCTCTCCCCCCAACCATGCAGCCCCCCCCCGCCCCTGACCACCCCTACCCCCCTTGGAGAGCGTGGTGGCCGCCTATTTTAAACCTCCCCGAGCTGAAATTCTGATGACCCGCGAGGAGCTCCCCAGACCGCGAGGCCGACTCCCCACGGCCGTCAGTGCAGCGCCGAGCAGGGCGAGACGAGCAGCCATCGTCATCAACGTCATCATCATCATCCTCAACATCATCATCCTCAACATCTTCAACATCATCATCAACGTGATCATCATCAACGTGATCATCATCCTCAACATCTTCAACATCATCATCAACGTCATCATCATAAACGTCATCTACTTCAACATCTTCAACATCATCATCAACGTCATCATCCTCAACATCTTCAACATCATCATCGTCATCAACGTCATCATCATCATCAACGTCATCATCCTCAATATCCTCAACATCATCATTTGCAGTAATAAGGCCACGTGGTGCACGTCCTGGGAGACAAAGCTGAAACAAAGTTGGTGAATTTGCTGCTACTGCTGCTGCTGCTGTTTCCAATTGACGAGAGACAAAGACGGCAGAGACGACAACAATAAGAAATATAGAAGCGAAAAAAGCAATCAAGACCATCGCCGTCATCGTCGGCGATACGGACTAAGGAGAGCACACGTGCGCCGCCGCGTACGGGGAGACGGATTGAAAGTTGGTGAGTCTGCTGCTGTTGCTGTGTTCACTTCGACGGGAGAGACAAAGACGCCGAGGTCTTTAGCAGACAATCTGTCCGCATCTGTCAGCATCGCGAGTGACGGGGAGAGACGGCGAGGGTTTGTGTGGAGGCCTTCGTCCAGCAGTGGATTGACCATGACCGACGATGGTGATCAGACAAAACCGTTGTCGTGGCGTTATAGAGAAGACCGTATTTCTAGCGAGACAAAGGACAGCTGACGAAGGCAAGGGGTGGCGGTGTGCTCGGCTCCTGTGCGAGTCTCTTTACAATCTCAGTTCTATAATTAGCGTAATGTATAACCGCTGCTTGGTTGTAGAACCTTGTTTGACCATACTTCACCACGCTGGTCAATGCGGGTTGGTTCAAAAGCTCCCGGACCGGTTCAGATGCCACTCGCCACTGATCGTTCGCCGCGATCGGGAATCGAACTCGGGTTCGATACCCCCCCCGACGCTTGAGTTCTTCGAGAAGTCCATGATAACCACTGCGCCACCGCTCCCACTGCCCCCCCCCCCCCCGAGTCTCTTCAACGACGCATAAAGAGAGACAAAGACGGATACAAATAGAAGCGACGATCATGGGGGGGTGGGGGATCGGATCGAGCGAGGGGATTCCGTGAGGACCCCGTTAGGACCCCATATTCATCATGTAGGGCACCTAGTGCCCCCCCGCCCATCCCAAGCGAGATGTCATTCGCGTGAGCTCAGCGCCTCTTTATAGACACGGCCGCCTTGCGTCACGCGCCTGCTTTAGGGGGCAGCGCGTAAGGAGGTTTGGGGGGGGGGGGCAGGGCGCTGACCACGTGCGCGTGCAGCGCAGTTTTGTCGATTCGCTGCTGGATGACGACCTCGTCTCGCCGACCTGTGGGTCGTGGGGGTGATGTGACCCCCCACCCCCTTCCCCATACTTCACCACGCCGGTCGTCGCGCGCTCTCAGACGCGCTTATGTGGCCGTCTGGAACGCTCTGCCTCGCTGATTTGAGGAAGCCACCTGGAGCTATGGCACCTTTAAATGAAGGTTGAAAACTAATTTTTTGTGTTCAGTTCGTTGTCCTTCCCACGCACCTCCGATTAGCACGGTTGGCTACGGACGGTGCGAAATAAGTTCAACGTATCTACCATATGTACCGTACGTTGGCAGCAGTGTCGAGAAGTAAAACCCCGCTTGCTTGCCCATCGCCACGTGAATAACCTCTTGTTGTAACAGCTCTCTCGCTGGTTCAGCAATTCCACTGCCGGATGAGTTTTTTCCGCCCGAGGACGACCGCTTGTGTTGCGATCGAAACGTCGTGATTTGTTATTTTTTGTTTTATTTTATTTTCCTACCTACGTGACTTTACCGAAAGAACCAAAGAGTTTGGATTCCTGCATTCACGAAAGCTTCAACTCAAGATTGAGGTACAGCGAGTTGATCCTCTCACTGCCATGCAGCATGTCGCTTCGTCGCAGCCTATAGCACCTGGTTGTGCATCGTGGACGCCCCGCTCGAGCCACATCGTTGGGGCCAAAGCGTTCCACGTCTACTGGGGTCTGTCTTCAGCTTACTTGGTCTGACGCCAATCGGGAGGCATTCACGGGTGATATGATCCCCAGCCTTAGGGAACTGGCCATACAAAAAAAAACTAATCATACAACAGATTACACAAACACACAAAGACAAAGTTGCCCCGTGTAGCCTTAACAGACTGTTGGGGCAAGTGCTGTTAGCGAGTAGCACCTATGAAGGCTGGAACGGTACACGAGGGGGTGGGTGACCAGAACCACGCCCGACCGCCTTTGTCTCTCCAGTGGCGATGTTTACTACACACCGCACCAGGTACTCATTTGAGGCTGAGTCGACCTAGGGGAGGCCCGGGACCGATTCAAATAATCGTCACCGGTGTTGGCCGTGAGCGGGAATCGAACTCGGGTCGCCGGGTTTGTAGCGCAGCGCGCTAACCGCTGCACCACCGCTCCTCACCTCTCTCCACACACCCTGCATTGCTCGAACTCACTCGCATCACTCAGCGCACACTCGAACGAGCACCCACCCTCCCTCGCACCTCCACCGCTCGTCCACGCAAAGCGATGACCACCCACACTGCTCATCATCACAGACTCCGGTGCCGGCCCATTTCCCCACCTTCTCTCTGTACCACCACCACTCGCCACCCACCCCATCCCTCTCACCCGCACCACTATCCACGTACGGCTCAGCACCCACCCACACGGCTAACCCCTCCCGCCGCGCCACCCTCCCGCTGGCTAAATACGGGGTCCGCGCACGCCACTCCGCGCTAACGCCGCCGCCGCCTCCTCTCGCTCCCAGGACACCCGACCCCGGCCATGGCCTCTACATTCGGCGGGGCTCCGCGGTTCCTCTCCCGACCGCGGCCCCCGCGTGGCCTCGTCCCGGGCGCGGACGCCACCATCAACTGCAAGATCGCGGGCGAGCCGGCGCCCGTCGTCGTCTGGGAGAAGGGGGGCGAGCGGCTGGGGGCGGGGGGCCGCTACCGGCCCTACGAGGACGGCGACGGCGGCTACGGCCTCGTCATCAGCGAGGTGCGCGGCGACGACAGCGGCCTCTACACGTGCCGCGCCTCCAACGGCGTGGGCGAGGCCTACATGGCCGTGACCCTCAACGTGCCGGCGGCGGTGGCCCTGGCGGCGGAGGGACCGCCGGGCGTGACCCCGTCCACACGGACACCGCCACCAACACGGACACCGCCAACCACACAGACACCACCAACCACACAGACACTGCCACCAACACAGACACCACCAACCACACAGACACCACCAACCACACAGACACCACCAACCACACAGACACCACCAACCACACAGACACCACCAACCACACAGACACCACCACCAACACAGACACCACCAACCACACAGACACCGCCACCACGGACTCTGCCCACTCAATCTCGGCCCACGTCGACGTCAACTCCGAGCCGGACTCGTCCCGCGTTCGAGTCGGCCCCGCGCTCGGTGCGCGTCCGCGCCGGTCGCGACGCCGCCTTCTCGTGCCGCGCGTCCGGCCAGCCGCGGCCCCGCGTGTCGTGGGAGAAGGGCGGCCGCGCCATCGACCACGCCGCGGACGGGGGCGGCCGCTACGTGGTGAGCGAGTCGGCGACGAGCGACGCGGCGTGCACGGCCTCCGTGCTGCGCGTGTACTGCGCTCGCGCGGCGGTCGACGCGGCCGAGATCGTGTGCCGAGCCGCGAACGCGGCCGGGGAGGTGACCGCCACGGTGAGGCTCGAGGTGGACGAGGAGGAGGTGGCGGACGACGTGGAGGAGAAGGGGTCTCTTCGCTCGAGGCGAGAACCCTCGCGGTCACGGGGCAGCTCGGCGTGTCCGCACGCCAATGGCGAGAGAAAGAGTGGCGGTTACGAGGACCGGGTAGGTGGTGGTGATGGTGGTGGTGATGATGATGACCACGAATGGAGGAAGCAGAAGGAGGAGGAGGAGGAATATTTTTCGCCTCGGTTACTCGAGGCCAAGCGACGGATGGAAGGTCTGGGTCTGGAATTGAAGAAACTCCGCGATGGGAGCGCGTGCGGGCGAGACGACCTCATCTCGTCCGCACATCGGCATCACAAGCAGCAGCAGCAGCATCATCGCCACCACCGTCATCAACGTCACCACGAACAGCAGCAGCAGCAGGAGCCGCCGCCCGTGAAGCCCATGAGCTACACCATCTCGGAGGGGAAGCACGCCAAGTTCAGCTGCAACGTGACGGGCAAGCCGAGGCCGCGCATCGTCTGGAAGAAGGAGGGACGCGAGCTGGCCGAGGGCCGGCGCCACCTCCTCTACGAGAGCGACGAGGGCCTCTTCGTGCTCAAGGTGCTCTACTGCCGCGCGCGCGACCAGGGCCTCTACACCTGCGAGGCCTCCAACCGCGTCGGCTTCACCTACAGCGCCGTGCAGCTGCACGTCAAAGGTTCGGGAACCCCTCGTCCTCTCCGCGGTTCTGCCGAGCGCTCCGTGTCTTGTCCCGTCCGTTATTATAAAGGGGGGGAGGGGGGGCGGGGGGGGGGGGCAGGGTCGCCCGGTGGTGGGAGCAAAAAGAGGCAATTGTCCCCGGGCCTCGCAGTCAAGGGGGCCCTACAACGGTGCCGGTCGTATCGTCGTTGACGGATAAGGGGCCCGCGTGGCACCCTGTCCTCTGGCCGCTCTGTAGACGGGCATGCCGTCACGTTCTGACCCGCCCCTACTAGATATCTGTGGTGGGGAAAAAAAGCTTTATAGCTCATCGGATTCCTCCAGTATAAACTGATTCTGACGTGTTCCACTGTATGGCTCACTGAGCTGCCCCCTAGCTAAGCAATCGTTTTTGCCATTTCTGAAATCGCCGTCTGCCGAGTGGCATCTGTTGCGTTCCATCTGCGCGCCTCCCACTCCTCGCTCTCGCGAGTGCTTCGCCGACAATCTGCTCTGCCGGCTTGGGTAGGCGCTCGCTAACAGCGACTCCGTGGGCACCCCCCCCCCCCCCCCCCCACCGCCTTAGAGCCGCCGTGCCCGTTCCGGAGCCGGCTGCATGACACGGAGGCGCGGGAGGGCGGTGTCGCCACCCTGGAGTGCGAGGTGGCGCGCGCCGGGGACGAGGCGGCGTGGTTCCTGGAGGAGCGGCGACTGGGGCACTCGGAGAAGCACGCCGTGGAGAGCTCGGGCAAGCTGCGCCGCCTCGTCGTGCACGACCTCGGCCCCGACGACGACGGGGTGTACGTGTGCGAGACCGCCGACGGGAGCCGCACCGTGGCCGAGCTGAGCGTCACAGGTGGGCCTCAGTAGAAAGGATGGAGCGGGGGGCCTGTGGGGCAGGGCGGGTGGAGCAGATGCCCCGAGCAGGTCCCCCCCCCTCCCGTCTCCCTCCTCCTTTCCTTGTCCCCGAATGGGTAGCCACATTTTTGGGAATGAAGCGAGCAAAGCGGTGGTTCAAATTGTTGGTGGGGCGGTGCCATTGTAGCCAGAGGGGCGTTAGGGTGGTCCCTTGCACCGGCAACCAAGATACCTGCTTGATACGGCTCTGAACCATTAGGGCTGCAGTGTTGTAACGTGGAGTTGATGTTTTGTGGTTCCTCGGCTCCGTATTACAGGTCAGAGAGGCTCCGTATCACGGGTCTAGGCCACGTATAGGTTGTCGGTGGAGGGGCGGTGGGGTGCCTGGTCTCCACCGCAGACTGCTTCGGGCCTCAATTCAATCCGAGGGGTCCTCAGAAATAAAGTGGTGGCCTCATAGGGGGGCCTCCCGTGGCATTTTGCCCCAAGCCTCCAAAAACAAAACCTTGCCAGTCATGGGCGGCCAGTCCGTACTTTTACCTTTACTCGACTTTACACCCCTTTACTCACCTGCGCTCACCCGTGCTCACCTGCGTTTTCGCCCCGGGCAGGTAAGATCGCAAAGCGGCTGCCCCGGCGGGTGAAGGTGGCGGCGGGCGGCGGCGCCGTGCTGGAGGCGGAGGTGGCGCGCTCCGGCGGCCAGGTCCACTGGCTGTGGGCCGGCCGGGAGGTGCGGCCGGAGGACCACGGGGAAGGGGACGACCCCCGCGCCCGGGCCGCGAGGGATGGGGCGAAGCGGCACACGCTCACCCTGCGTGCCCTCGAGCTGCATGACAGCGGCCCCGTGGTGTTCGTGGCGGACGGATCGCGATCGACCACCCAGCTCCTCGTCGTGGGTGCGGATCGACTGTCGTCGTCGTTGTTAGTTGTTGTTGTCGTCTTTGTTTAGTTCATCAGCAATAACGGTATCATAGAAATAATAATAATAATAATAATGGTCGTTGTCATCGTCACCAATTTCATCATCGTCATCAATTGCTTAATTTTTCACGGTTGTGTCATCGTCGCCATCAGTTATTATCATTATTGATAACATCATAATACTCATCATCATCATCATCAGTAGCACGATCACCAGTAAAGAGAAGAAGCAGCAGCATTTTAATTATTTACATTCATAGTTCGTATCATAACAAACATCATCGTCATCATATTTCATTTGAATTAGATTTGTCCTCATTGTCTATGGTGGATCATCACCATCATCAAACACGTTTACATTGCCATCACATCTTCTTCCATAATTGTAACGATCAGAAGCACAATCATGACCCCCCATTTCCAGAATCCGCATCATCGAAGGAGCGGAGAGACGCAGCTTCCCAACAGAACGGGGACGCAACCTCCGAGTCGCGACCACTCGACAACGACATCGACGACATCGACGGGATCAACGACATCGACAACAACAACAACGACATCGTCAACATCGTCAACATCGGCAACAGCGGCGGCAGCGGCAGCATGCTGCCCACGTTGGCCGAGCTCACGGACACGAGCGTCACCGTGCGTTGGACTCCGCTGCCGGACGCGCGGGGCTACGCGGTGGAGCGGAACGCGCTCGGCCGCCCCGAGTGGCTGCGCTGCCACGCGGACGAGCTGCTCGCGGAGCCGCAGCTGCGCGTGCGCGTCCCCGAGCGCGCCGAGTACCGCTTCCGCGTGTTCGCGCTGCGCGCCGGAGCCCTCCCCGGCAGCTGCGAGGCCGTGCCAGGCACCGCGACGCTCGGTGAGAACGCGCGGCGGCGAGCGAACCCCTCGGGCCGACGGTTTCGGTGACCTCCCCGCGCCTACCCGTGGTTTCCCGCGGCTCCCTCCGTGTGAGAAGTGCGTGCGTTACAAATTCTGCAGCGTCTTGAGATGCAATGTGACGTGAATGACGCTTCGTAAAAATGATACCATTAATCGCTAATATTTTTTTTTCCCCCGTCAGTTAGTTGGTTATTGACGTCATCTGCACAGATGTTGTAATTGCTATTGCCTCGTGTGTGTGTGTGTGGGATCTTTCCGGGTACTTCGGTTTCCTCCCATACACAGAAATACCCAATGAGGCATTGGCCAAACATCCTCACCAGGGCACGCTCCTTAAAAGGTGTCCCGAGACTCGGTGCGGACATTCTGGACAATAACGGACGTTGTCATTCTCGCTGGAATAGTTCACGCGTTGAGAATTTCCCAGTGGAAATTTGGCCGCATAGATGACTCTGTAAAAGCCAACAACAGTGGGGTTTCATCTCAATTGAGCTGCGTGGAAACAAACGTGGTGTCAATATCAAACCACCGCATGACTTTAGCCACTCAGCTTACAATCGGCATGTCCTGTGATGACATTAGTCACCGACTGGGTTTTGGAATCATCGTTCTTTCCAATACGCAAAACGTTCCTTCATGGAATTGGCCAAACATCCATTAGCAGGACCCTTATGAAAGACAGTGTTTCATCTCAGGTTGGTCTGGATAAATGAATAAATAGCATTCTATTTTATTATTACAATTATTGATATACTCTGGGTGGAGCATTGGCACGATGGTCCGCGCACTTCGCCATGAACCTGGCGACCCGAGTTCAATTCCTGGCCACGGCTAACATCAGTTGCAGGTGACATCCGAACCGGCTCCTGCGCACCCTTCCAACACTTCACCAGCCCTCAACGACCAGCGCGGTTACGAGCGACACATTGCGGCGTTGACGCCATAGTCCAGCAGTTAACAGTCAACCAATCGTGCGCCGTCGCCGCCACCCCCGTGTGCCCCGTGTCTCCCTCCTCGCGCGCAGCCGTGGAACCGGTGGTCTTGCGGGCTCCACACGACCTCCGGGTGAGCGAGGGGGAGGACGCCGAGTTCCGGGTGGAGCTCTCACCATCCTCGTCGCCCTCGTCCTCCTGTTGCTGGCTCCTGGACGGGCGCGAGGTGGTGCCAGGCGGTCGCTACGAGATGCGTGCCGAGGGCCACGCGCGCCTCCTCGTCATCCGGGACGTGGACGCAGGCGACAGCGGGGCCCAGGTGGAGTTCCGGTGCGGCGAGGAGCGCGGGCGAGGCGCCACGCTCACCGTCACAGGTGAGCGTGGCAGATTGGCCACACCGCCCCCTCGTGCGCCGTGCCGGATTTCATAGGCGCTCGCTGACAGCACTTGCCCCAACAGCCTGTGCAGGATACACAGGGTATCTTTGTCTTTGTGTGTGCGTGTGTGTGTGTGCTTGGGTTAGCAAACACGCACACATCAAGTTGGCAGAGTAGGGGACACAGGTGATCCATCTGCCAGTCATCTTCATCAGATAACCCACAACACCTAGGGTATGTCCCATGACCTGCCAGCGAGCCTTTGACACATTACAGGGGCAGTGAGCACATTTTCTGGACTTGTTATAAACAGGTTTATACTCACATTGAAGCTGGCACCACCTCAAAAATTCAACGCTGTGCAAAACAGACGTGTATTTGATTTTGTCCTAGATGCACCCGTACGCATAACAGCATACAGCTGTGTGCTGGCGTGCGTGCGTGCGCACAAATTTCACTGAAGACATTTGGAGGCCTCAAAAGTTGAAACGCTCTTATCACGACCGTGACGTTTGGGTGGCACACGTCCATAATCCGGCGGTGGGCACTTGGGGCTTTAGATCAAGACGCACGCGGGAGACTTCTATTTTCTCATATAAGTCGGGGGACGTTACGGACACGTTGGCGAGATAACGGCACGGCTCGCGCGTCTCTGCGCGATCCGTTTTGAGAAGCACGAACACGCTCGACACGCGGCGCGTGGGGATTGATCGTGCTGGAGGAGGAACACAACCCGCGGGTAAATCCAGATCGGATTTCCGATCCTAAATAACACATCCCTGGTGAGAGCCGCTAATGATCACGGTAATGGTACAGAAGCCACGGTTGCAGGGGACGTCTTGCCTTGCATCTTCTCCCGGGGGCGTTCAGGCAGCCAGGCCTAATTAGCCGTAGAAAAATAACGGCGTCGTTCCATATCCGCCACCGAACCATGGGCGGGGGGGGGGGGGCTTGTATATCGGGTGTGCGTTGATTGGATTGAGCGAGCGGATTGAGCGAGCAGCGCGAAGAATGAGACAGGAGGCGGCCACCTCAACCACTGCAGCAACCACCGACGAACTACCATCACACCATCGCCATCGTGCCACCACAACGGGCGTACCACCCCAAGCACCCTGCGATCCTTCATCCAAATAACGAGCTCCCCATCTGTTATCGCTCCATCGTCGCACCACCCACCACATCGCTGTGCCATCACTCACCACACCATTACGAGACGGCCGCTGCTGTGGCTAGGAGATGTTAACGACCTCGCCTGGTATACAGGAGGTCGTGGGTTCGATCTCGACCCTGATGCCTGCTGCTGTATATTTGAAGTTTGCATGTCTCTCTCCCTATGGTCGTGTGTCTCTGGGTCCTTCGGTGTTTCCCTCAATGTTTAGAAATATGCTTTTTGAGTATTTGGCTGCTGTACATTTCCACGTGATAAGCCACTTCGTTGAGCTACCATTTGTGGCCAGGTCGCTTCTGAAAAAGATCTATAAAAGCTCAGTAGGCCTTACCTGGTAAAATAATTTACCGCCCATCACCACCCAATTATCATAATATATCAACCACCAGCTACCACCCCATTACCATGCTAACCACCACCCATCACCCAAAACTCTGTTACCATGCCACACCAGCGCCCAGCAGCCACCACACAAATACCCAGCACTTGCCAAACGTATCCCTATTACCCGGTCACTCCACACTCACCACCAACACTTTGACCACCCAGCACCACAGAAACTACTGCTAAGCCCACCGCAACCCACCATCTCACCACCCCCTACACCACCGTGCCCTCCCCCCCCCCCACCGTGCCCCCCCACCGTGCCCCCCCCCACCATGCCCCCCCCACCGTACCCCCCCACCGTGCCCCCCCCACCGTGCCCCCCCCCCCACCGTGCCCCCCCCCACCGTGCCCCCCCCACCGTGCCCCCCCACCGTGCCCACCCCCCCCCACCGTGCCCCCCCACCGTGCCCACCCCCCCCACCGTGCCCCCCCACCGTGCCCACCCCCCCCACCGTGCCCACCCCCCCCCACCGTGCCCACCCCCCCCCCATTGTGCCCCACACCACCGTGCCCCCCCACCGTGCCCCCACCACCGTCCTTCCCAGGCCGAGGGAGACTCAGAGCCCAAGTCGTGCACAGCTGCAGGGGCAACACGCGAATGTTCACCCCGCGCTGCACCGCCACTCAACCGCGGTCCCGATATAGACGCTGCCCGGCGTGCGTGCGAGCATACGTAGCGATGTGCCTGGCGTCTGCGTAAGTGTGCGCGAATGTTTGAGCTGTGTGTGTGTGTGTCACGGTGCGTTTGTGTGAATGCGTGATCTGTGCCCGTGCGTGAGCACGCATGTTGTGTAACCTGCTGCCCGCGTCTAATTGCGTGTCACCTGCGATTATATGAGCACGTTGCGTTATCTGTGGCTTTAGGAGCATAAGTGGGTTTGTGTGATTGATCACACGCGCGGCCACCCACCCACGAAAGTCAAAGATTCCCCTGGTAGCCTTAACCGACTGTTGGGACAAGTGCTGTTAGCGAGCACCTATGAAAGCCGGCACGGCACACGAGTGGGTAGGGTGGCCAGCACCGCGCCCGGCCGCCTTTGTCTCCCCAGTGGCGATTGTTTGAGGCCGAGTCGACCCACCCGCACGACGCACACACGCAAGCGCAAATGTCCCCACTGACTCGACAGCTCAGAACCCTGGCGTCGACCAACACCCGGCACTCGTCAGCTCTTGGGTTTCACTCCGACCGGGGCTCGAACCCTGAACCCTCCAGGACACGACACTCGCATCGCTCGTAACCCCGCACCGCCGCAGCCTCTCCCGTGGCAGGAGGTTGGCTCTGGGATTTCGCTCGGAGCGAATTCCAACCCGCCGCGCGTTTCGGGAAGGAATTTATCAGGCGGCATTTCCAAGGGCTCGGAGAGTGCAGGGATTGAGTTGATTTGATTTGTTACACGAATCAATTGCTCGTATATTTGTACAAGGGGTGATCCGTGGGTGTGCGTGAGAACAGCAGCAACACAAAAGACAAAACACATCGACACTGCAAAGAGTGAGTACAGGGTCCTTAAGCGACACTGCACAGCTAACGAACGAAATATTTAACGTTCGTAAACGAAGCACATGTGACGATACAAACAGTGCCAGGATGGTATGGCGGCAAGAGGCCCCAGAAAGATTTAGGTACATGTGCAAGTCAGCTCTATATTTTAGTCCAATGGTGACATAACCACATGCTAATCAAAACAAAAAACTGTGCAAACGTGTGAGAACAAGAGGCGCCAGAATAGAGTTAGGTACAGCGCGTGTGGTCAATGCAGACTTGATGCCTTGAAACAGGTTCCAGTTTGGTGTTTGAACATATTTACACCTGTTGGGTTGTCAGAACGGGTAAAGCTTATTCTTGTGTATTTCCCCCCCCCCTGCACCCATCATTTTGATACTGGCATAAAAAGGTTCCCATAGATATAGGTAGAGGTGCAAGTTTGCTCTGTGTGTTTTGGCCCTAACAGTCGCCACTGGTACCGGGGGGGGGCAGGGGGGTGGTTTGCCAGCGGTGGTCGCTCATCGAGGCAAATGCAGGCGCAGGCGGTGGCGGCCCATCATTGCCGTCGACTGCGCCGGGGGGGGGCGGGGGGGGCGGAAAAAAAAACCTTCGGCGATTCGTGAGCCGGAGGGTGACAACTCACCACCTGTCGCCTGCTGTCGAAGCGTTCACACTTTTTGAGCGAAGCGGTTCTGGCGAAACCCCGCGGAGCCGACGCCGGTGAAGAGATTGACAGCGAGACAAAAGTGAACGCGCTCCGCAGGGTGGCGAGAGGACGGTGGGTTGCGCACTGGGTCGCCCAATGTGCTGCCCCCCCCCCTAACTTGTAGCATCGATGGAACGAGCCAACCAGCCCCTAGCTAGCTCCAGCAATAGCCCCTGAACCTAACCAACTATTCAAATTATTCAATTAGGATTATACTGTCCTTAGCAATCTTCCCCACCCCTTCTTTAAAAAAAGAACAACTTTTGGCAGCACCCAACTGGAAAAGAGTCATGAGACTTAGTGAGGCTTTCCTCTGTAAACAAGTGCAATAATAAGCACAAGCCTGCCTTTAACATGCGAGCCAACCAGACACTAGCCCTATCTATATCCCCCAATTAACATAGCCGGCAAGCCCATATAACTATCCCCTACCCCTGTCCCGTACCACACGAGCCAGATCGTAGCCCAACCTCTAACCAGCTTTCTCCACGCTAATCCCAACCGCCGCTAAAAGGGAACATTCCATGTTGCCTTCCTATCCATGCCAATCCACCACTAAAATGGAATATTCCGTGTTGTCTCCCCGTCCACGCCAATCCCAGCCGTCGCCAAAATGGAACATTCCGGCATTGTCTTCCCATTCATGCCAATCTCACCCACCGCCAGCCTCCCATCACCACTTTTGGTGACTTCGATGTGAGCCAAAATCTTTGTTTCTAAATCAGCTCAAGCCTCCTGTGAATCACGTGACTCCTGTGTGGCCACGCCCAACTCTCACCACCCCCTGTGAAAACAGCTTCCAGGTCATCATGTAGCCTCTCCCAATTCTCATTTCCCTGACCAATTTCTCCAATTTTTCCATTGCTTTCCCATATGTGTCTTACGTCCCATTCTTTCTCTTCTCTCTTCCCTTTCCCATTCCGTTTTCTATTTCCATACATTATATCATTGACTCTACTCCCCTCTTTAGCCGTGTGCCATGGGAAAATAAGTTGATAAGTCATATACTAGTTTCATGCTTTACGCATACATTTCTTGCCGCATTTCCAAAATATATTTTTTGAGCAGGGCCTTGTGCTTGGGATGTTTGGCCAGTGTTTGTGTGCGAAAGCCACAGTGCCCAGAGAATGCCCATGCCTACAAGATGAGAACACGAAAACTTTATGAAACAGAGAGGGGCTTTTCTAAAATTGCTATGCAAACATATAATAGAGAGACTGGAACAAATAGGGGGATGACATTCGTAGGCTTTGATCTAGGAGTTTCTAAATATAATGATGATGGAGGCAATTCTGATGGATGTCATGTGGATGATGATGATAATGGAGGTCATGATATTGATGATGGTCGTGATGGTGACCTTGATAGAGGTCACGATGAATTTTATATCAGGATCTCGGTCTTGATAATGATGATGATGATGGTTATGATTATGATGTAGTTAATGATAAATAAGTTAAACACGATGATGATGATGATGTGCTGGAGGTTACATTGATAATGATGGACTTCAGAACAATTATGATGATGGATGAAGTTCAGGAAGATGACAATGGCAATTCTCTTGTACTTGCAACAGGCCATTACCTCTCCTTCCCCTCTCCTTCCTTCTCCCGTCTCTCCTCACCCGTCTCTCCTGACCTCTCCTCTCTCCCAGCCGCCCCAGACCTCTTCGTTCGGGACCCAGAGCCGAGTACGGACGTGCGTGCCGAGTCGGGGAGCCCCGCGGTGCTCGCGTGCCGCGTGCGTCGCCCCGGATCGCGAGTCCGCTGGCTCGGGCCCGGCGGCATCGACCTCCTCGCCGACAAGCGGCCACCGCCTCCGTCTCCGGGTCATGGCCACCAGGAGATGGGGGCTGGCGAGGGCAGCGGAGGTGCGAGGAGGAAGGAAGGCGAGGAGGAGGAGGGGGAGGAGGAGGAGCAGGGGGAGGTGGAGTTCAGCGAGCGGAGCGAAGGGACGCTGCGAGAGCTGACCGTGCGCACGGCGCGGCCCGGCCACTCGGGGGAGTACACATGCGCGACGAGCGACGACTCGCTCACCTTCCAGCTGAGCGTTGCGGGTGAGCGAGACGGTGCGACGCGGACGTGCGCGTAGCCATAGCGTTCGTTACAGGATGACGCTGCAGAATGGCGGATATCGCTTCGCAATCACTGCGCACAAAGATCCCAGTGGCGCGGCAGCAGAGGCACCCGGATTCTGTTTTGCCGCGAAACTTACTGGTGATGGAGGTGGTGGTGATAGTGGTGGAGTTGATGGTGGTGGTGGAGACTGTGTTGATAATAATAGCAAATGGTGGTGGTAAAGGTCGTAATGGAAGTGACGTCGAGGATGCTGTGTGCATGCGCGCACAGAGCCGCCCGCGACCTTCGTGTCTCGCGAGGAGACGCTGACGAGCGTGGAGACGGTGGAGGGGGAGCGCGCGGAGCTGAGCTGCGCAGTGTCGCGCGGGGACGCGAGCGTCGCGTGGCTCAAGGAGGGACGCGCGCTCTCCGAGCAGCAGCAGCAGCAGCTCGGCCTCCGCCTGGAGGCGTCGGGGACGCTGCGCCGCCTCGTCATCGAGCGCGCGCAGGCGGCGCACGCCGGCGTCTACACGTGCGACACGGGGCACGAGCGCGTGGACTTCACGGTCCGCGTCGCCGGTGAGAGCCCTCCGACCAGCGGTTGTGGATCACATGGGTTGCCTTACATGTCACGTGGGTCGCTCTGCTGGAGTTTGGAACACGATGTTTTTATAACACAGCTCCACATCATGGGTCAGAGAGGTCATCACTTGGACAGGGGTCGCCCCGCAAGTCCAAGTGATGATCACGATGTCAGTCATGATCAGGGGTCTGCAACACAATGAGAGGCATTTTTCTTGTATCAGTATTTCAAGAGCCGCAATGCAAGTGGATACCAAATGGTCCTTAATGAATAATGTTGCGAAGTGGTCCTGAAAGCGCCACGTACGGCTCCGCAGCCGCAGGTTGCTGACCCCTGGCCACGGCCATGGCGGAGTTACGGCAAGGATCGTGATTCTTCTTGCGAATTGCTCTTCGGTATAGCAACTCATGATCATCAGTCCATGTCCTGCCAGAGGTCGTCTTCCTAATTTTTCCAGGCTAAAAACGGTCCACAGTGTGGTGCTCAGTCTGGTCAGGGGTTTCCACAGTCGCATGCCACGGGGCATTCTCTTGATTTGTCCCGCCTGAGTAGCTGGTGGCCGCATCTCACATGCGTGCCACGGGTTGCTCGGTTGAGCGTGTGCCACTGTTTGCAAGGCAGGCCTAATCCGGGGGGGGGGGTTCGACGGTCGGCTCGCTGGTGAGACGTTCGTTATTGAGGACGTCGCTCGTTCTTTTGAAACTCGGTTGCACTCCAGAACGGCTTCCGCCATCGTCTCGGGCGGGGCATCGATAGTTTTGGGAGGTCTTCGAGGGTGGGTGGGTTTAGGTTTTTGCTTAAATGCGGTGAGGTTCCTGTACACTTTGGCGGAATCTGAGAATTTATAGCGGAAGAATATTTGACAGTACTGGGAACCTGGATAAAGGAGCAGTTGATGTCAGCATGCCCGTGATGGTTGGAGTCGTTAGCATGGTGCCGAGGTGTTTCGTGTGGCTGCTCTTTGCCCAGACAGGGAGCAGCTCTCTGTGGTAAAGTACGCGAGTGTGGAGGAGTACACGAGGGTGAGGGCGGTAGAGAACGCGAGTGTGGTGGAGTACGCGAGTGTGGTGGAGAACGTGAGGGTGAGGGGAGAGTGCGGAGTGTTCACGTGTACACTCCCCGTGTCGTTCCCTCACTTCTGGACCACGCTTCTCCTTTGCTTCGTCTTCTCGTGGCCTTTTCGTAGATGTCCTCGATAAGTCACCATGATCCTTTCACGTTTGAAAGAGCAATGCGATGATGGTGACAATTTTGCTGATGGTGGGTGGAAGTCATGAGAGTAAAAAAGTAATGATGATCATGACAATGGCACAGGATGTAAAAATTATATTGTAGTTCATGATGAGGGCAGTCATGACATTGATGAGCTACTAACGACGATGCTGTGTTCACGCGCCTACAGAGCCGCCCGCGACCTTCGTGTCTCTCGAGGAGACGCTGACGAGCGTGGAGGCGGTGGAGGGGGAGCGCGCGGAGCTGAGCTGCGTGGTGTCGCGTGGGGACGCGAGCGTCGCGTGGCTCAGGGAGGGACGCGCGCTCTCCGAGCAGCAGCAGCAGCAGCTCGGCCTCCGCCTGGAGGCGTCGGGGACGCTGCGCCGCCTCGTCATGGAGCGCGCGCAGGCGGCGCACGCCGGCGTCTACACGTGCGACACGGGGCACGAGCGCGTGGACTTCACCGTCCGCGTCGCCGGTGAGGGAGGCTCTGGTGTCAGGGGTCGTCATGCAGGTCACACGTGTCGCATGGGTCTAAACTATAAACTAAACCTTTTATTTTACCGGGAAAGTCCCACTGAGCTACATGGCTCGTTTTCAGAAGCGACCAAATGATAGCTAAACGAAGTGGCCTATCACGTGGAAATTGAAAGCAGCCAAATACTAAGCGCATGTTTCTAAATGTCGAGGGAAAAACCGGAGGACCCGGAGAAAAGGCTACGTGACTACGGGGAAAACATGCATACTATAAATATACAGTCATCAGGGGTTGGGATCGAACCCATGAGCTCCTATATACCAGGCAAGGTGGTTAACATCTCGCCACCGTGGCGCCCAAATTGGTCACTTGTTGGCTGGCACCAAGTTCGAGTATCACCTCTGTGCATCAGGTACAATGTTTGTAATGAGAGCCGAGAAGCACTGTAACTAACAAATTGAAACGCAAGCAAAACGTTAAAAGGTTGGGCAAAGTACCAGTGGGATTAGAGTGAAGGTCATGGGTATCGTTGTTCGTATGTTGAATTTCTTTCGCACCGTATGTAGCCAACCGTGCTAATAGTTCGTGCTAGGGTCTGATTATCTAATTTGTGAGGCTTAGGGCGAGTTCGTTTCGTATTGGTGAGTTTGCTCTACTCCCGAGCGGCGGGTGTCCGCCCCCACCCTGCTGAGTGTGTGTGTGTGAGGTCGTTTCACTTCCTGTTCACGTCTAACCTTTGGAGTCAAGGCTCGTGGATCGAACCGTTGCTCGATCTGCTCACGGACGTTTTCTGCCGATGCCACGCAGATGCACGATGCGTTGAACTGTTTTAAAGATGGCGATGCTGCCGATGATCCCAGCGATGACCACTGATGACATTTCCATTGGACAATTCTAATTTTTTATGATTTTAACGTGGGATCTTCATGATGATGATAATAGTGGTGATTTAGAAAAAAAAATATCAGATTACATTCTTTGATATTTTATCTAGTTTCATTATTATTATTGTCAAGTAATTGTGATGAAAATGGTGATAATTGAGGAAGGCTGTATGACGATAATGATGTTAAGCGTGATGTGATTGAGATTATGATCATTGTGATGATGATAGTGCAAGTCATGATAATGATGAAGGTCATGATGATCATGACGACGATGATGATGATGATGATAAAGTATATAATGATGGTATTTCAGTTGAGGACGACGATCATTACATTGATGAACTACTAACGACGATGCTGTTTGCGTGCGCGGACAGAGCCGCCCGCGACCTTCGTGTCTCTCGAGGAGACGCTGACGAGCGTGGAGGCGGTGGAGGGGGAGCGCGCGGAGCTGAGCTGCGTGGTGTCGCGCGGGGACGCGAGCGTCGCGTGGCTCAGGGAGGGACGCGCGCTCTCCGAGCAGCAGCAGCAGCAGCTCGGCCTCCGCCTGGAGGCGTCGGGGACGCTGCGCCGCCTCGTCATCGAGCGCGCGCAGGCGGCGCACGCCGGCGTCTACACGTGCGACACGGGGCACGAGCGCGTGGACTTCACGGTCAGCGTCGCCGGTGAGAGCCCTCCGACCAGCGGTTGTGGATCACATGGGTTGCCTTACATGTCACATGGGTCGCTCTGCTGGAGTTTGTAACACGGTGTTTTTATAACACAGCTCCACATCATGGGTCAGAGAGGCCAGGCCGCAGAGTGGTTGGGTGGCAGGTGTGGCGGTTTTCCCCGGGCATCAGATTTATGGGTCCTCAGAATCAATGGCGGGGGGTTCAGAAAAGGCCAAGGAGGCCTCGTCTGAAATTTTGCCTCAGGCCTCAGAAAACATTTTGGCGGCCCCGCAAAGAGGCTCCACTATCTCAGTGGTTGCGAACCCCACCCAGGCTGGACACGGGGACAATGAGGCTAACTCCACAGCCATTTTCTATTTATTTCCTTGATAATATGGTGGGGCTTGCTGTGGGTTTGCAGTCAATGCTCTTATGTGTAACTGCAATGGAGAATTGTCATTTAAATGCCGTGGTGTGGCGATGATTATGCAGATTTTTTATTTATTTATGATAATCATTAATGTCCAATTCAGATGATGGGCATAATGGTGGAAAATGTGGTGATGATAATGATAATGGTCATAATGATGTATGCATGTATGTTAGGCTACTTTGACACCGTACGTAACCAAATGATGTTGATAATGATCTTGACGATGGAAGTCATCATGACAATGGCAGTCAGGATAATGATGTAGTGTAGGTCAGGATGAGGGAAGTGATGATGGTAATGACGATGATGATGACGAGAGCTAAAATGTAGCCCAAGAGAACGCTAGAGGATGATGCAGGTGATGATGATGGTAACTTAAGTCATAATGGCCCTTTCGAGGACGATGACCATGACGTTGATTACCTACTAACGACGACGATGCTGTTTGCGTGCGCGCGGACAGAGCCGCCCGCGACCTTCGTGTCTCTCGAGGAGACGCTGACGAGCGTGGAGGCGGTGGAGGGGGAGCGCGCGGAGCTGAGCTGCGTGGTGTCGCGTGGGGACGCAAGCGTCACGTGGCTCAAGGAGGGACGCGCGCTCTCCGAGCAGCAGCAGCAGCAGCTCGGCCTCCGCCTGGAGGCGTCGGGGACGCTGCGCCGCCTCGTCATGGACCGCGCGCAGGCGGCGCACGCCGGCGTCTACACGTGCGACACGGGGCACGAGCGCGTGGACTTCACGGTCAGCGTCGCCGGTGAGGGAGGCTCCGGCGTCACGGCGCAGCGTTCGCCGCTTGCTGCAGAGGATCCAGCAGCTTGTTATGACTGCGGGTGACATTACCAATAATGATAAGAATGATGAACGATGTCTGCTTCACATTGGATGTTAAAGTTCACTGTGAAGCCATTCGCAAGATCAGTGCAGGCCATTGCAGAATTTGAAAATTGCCAACAAAGTTCCCAATTGGATTTATATGAGCGATCATTGCACCATACTGGCAGACGGCAGACTAATGTCACAGGTCAATCTTGCCAGTGAGACTTTGCCGGTCTCTGGAGTTCTCACCTGGTTAAATAGAGAAACTTTAAACTTCCCATTGCAGCACACGGGACACAGCACAGGGGACACGAGGCATGAGATGCAGGACATGCTGGCTGCGATGGCACACACTTGTGATCCAGGATTGGCGGATCACACGTAGAGGAGTGAAACTCCCAAGCAAGCTAGAATACGAGGTGGCCAGGACATAGCCACCTCAAGTTGTAATTCCCTATATTCATGGTTTTTTTTTATCTGGCAACTCCAATTTCCATTCATATCATGCTAAATAATCACTGAAAATTATTCATACAAATATTTCAATCCAGGAAGCTCCTGGTGGAGGATGTCATGATGATGATGATGGTAGTGGAGATGAGGATGGCGCGATAGCTCACGATGGTAATGATGAATGTCAGGATGACGACCATGTCTGTCCGGTGCTCGTCGAGCTGCTTTGGCTTCCAGTTGCTGATGGAATACTATTGTAAGGTCGTACTCATTCCACACAAAGTGCTTGCCACAAATGAATCACACTACCTTGCTGATCTTGTCAAGGAGAATAAACCATCACGCGAACTCCGCTCATCCTCGCAGCGGCTTTTAGTTGGCCATCGAACAAAGACAGCCACTGCATCGCACGCTTTCAGATGCGCTTCTGCGGCCGTCTGGACCGCTCTTCCTCCCAATATGTGATCATTGAGGAAGGCTGTATCACGATGATAATGATGTTGAGCGTGATGTGATTGAGATTATGATAATTGTGATGATGTGCACTTTAAATTTTAAATTAAAAACTAATTTATTTAGGACTACTTTTTGTGTTTAGTTTGTTGTCCTTTTCCCACAACTCCGATTAGCACGGTTGGCTACGTACGTCACGAAAAAAAGTTCAAGACACGTGATGATGATGATGATGATGATGATGATGATAGCGGATGACAACCGGATGATGGAGATCACGGCGGTGTCCATCGTGCGAGTGCAGAGCCCCCGGCTCGCTTCGTGTCGCGCGAGGAGACGCTCACCGAGGTGGAGGCGGTGGAGGGGGAGGACGTGGCGCTGGGCTGCGAGGTGTCGCGCGACGACGCCGCCGTCTCGTGGCAGCGCGCGGGCGGCGAGGAGCTGAGCGACGACGAACGGCGCGAGCAGCTGAGCGACGGGGTCGAGCGGGCGCTCGTGCTGCACGGGTGCGAGGCCGCGGACGCGGGGACGTACGTGTGCGTGACGCGCGACGGAGACGCCATCGAGTTCCACGTGCGCGTCACGGGTGCGGACCGGACACGCGCACCCACGAGCACACATACACTCACACACGCGCGCCAACACACACACGCATGCACCCACGAGCACACATACACTCACACACGCGTGCACGTACACACACGCATGCACCCACGAGCACACATACACTCACACATGCGCGCCAACACACACACGCATGCACCCACGAGCACACACACGTAGGCAAAGATTACCCTAAAGAATGAACGGACAAGTGCTGTCAGCGAACAGCTGTCAAGGCCGACACAGCACATGAGTTGGTGGGGGGGGGGGGTTTCAGCACCACTGCCGGCCTTTGTCTCCCCCTTGCTGATGCCTTACGCATCGTACCAGGTCCAGGTCCAGTTCTGACATTGACTCACCACCAACGTTTTCTTCTGCCGTCGCTACCCCTCCCCCCTTGCCCCACAGCCCCCCCGGCGCTCTTCACGCAGCCCCTGCGCGACGTGTATGCGCGCGCCGGGGAGCCCGTTGCGCTCGGCTGCCTCGTGTCGGACCCGCGGGCACGCGTGGCCTGGCTCCGGGACGGGCTCCCCCTGGGGGAGGGGGACCAGGAGGAGGGGGGGGAGCGGTGGGAGGAGGTGGAGGAGGGCGCCAGGCGGGAGCTGCGGATCGCGCGCGTGGCGCTCGAGCACGAGGGCGAGTACACGTGCGAGACGAGCGGCGACGTCACGAGCGCGTGGCTGGCCGTCGAGGGTGAGGAGCCGCCCACCCCCTTCCTGTGCCACGGTGCCGGCCTTCGTTTGGTGCTACTCGCTAACAGCGCTTGCCTCTACAGTCTGTTAAGGGTGTCTTGAGTACCTGGTGCAGTACTGGGGAGGGTGCCCATGGTGGTGCTGGCCACCCACCCCCTCGTGTGCCATGCTGGTCTTCATAGGTGCTTGCTAACAGCACAGGCTATATGGGGGGTACTCTTTGGTTTTTTCGGTAAAGTCACGCAGGTAAAACAATCAATAAAATAATAAAAATGAAAACAACTAAATTGAATCACGACGTTTCAGAGGCAACAGTTATTTTGCTGTGCCTTTTTACACCTGATGAGGGAGGCTTGTGTTGCCTCCAAAACGTCGTGATTTAATTGAGTTGTTTTCATTTATTTTATTTTATTGATTGTTTTACCTACATGACTTTACCGAAAAAACCAAAGAGTATGAATCCCTGCAGTCACGAAAGCTTCAAATGTAGAATATACGGGGGGTCTTTGTGTCTCTGTGCATCCATGCGTGTAGGCGCACATGTAGCACGCCTACAAAACTGGCACAATGCTATCCCAGTGTCTTGAAACTTTAAGTAAAAAATAAACACACGCACATTTTGTCTCGGTTTCAATTCAGCCGTGGCTCACCGTCAGTGCCGTTAGCGCCTCGCCACGCTCATGGAGCTGCCGGGTGGAGCTGCGGAAAGGCGCCGTGTGGTGGCAGCCTGCAGTTCTCTCACCTCCAACCCTCAACCCATAGCATCAGCAGAAGCTTGCGATTGGCTGACACTGTCAGGCATTCAAGGAAGCGCTGCCAGCTTACCATGTGTCCTGGTTAAGCCTCCCAGATATTTGGGAACCCCACCATAGTCAACAATGTCACTCCAAAAGCCACCGCCTTCATGGCCAATCACTTTCCCACTCACCTACTCCAATAACTCTCACCACTGTGTCCACGAACTTTCACCCTCCTGTCTTTCAATACCACTCTTCTTCACCACCACTCATTCTCTTATTGTCCTACCCACCAATCCTCTCCATCACCACTACCACCACATACACTCACCCTACTATTATATCATCATCACCACCACCACCACCATTGCCAACTCAACCTGCGGTTTTCGAACGCCACTAATCCTCACCACCACTCACCCTCATACTCTCCTAATCCACCATCCATAACCATCACCACCACGACAGTCACTCGCCCTCCACGTCCACTTACCATCTCATTCCCCTACTCTCCTGCCCCATCACCCCTTACCCTTAAAATCTCCACGCCCTGCCTTCTCCCCCTCACCCCTGACCCCGTGACTCCGTGTGCCCGTGCAGTTCCTCGTCCCGTGGAGTTCGTGTCGGAGCTGCACGGGCTCACGGTGCTGGAGGGCGAGGACGCGACGTTCCGCTGCTCGGTCTTGCCGGCCGACGCGGCTGTGCGCTGGGAGCTGCGTGGCGCCGCGTTGGAGGCCGGGGGCCGCGCGTCGCTGCACGAGGATGGCGCCGCTCGCTCGCTGCTCCTGCGCGCCGTCACGGCGCTCGACGCCGGCGAGGTGGCGGCACTGGCCGACGGAGCGGAGACGCGGGCCCAGCTCCGCGTGCAAGGTGAGGGCCCGGGCAGCCGCACGGTCGACTCGGCCTCAAACGAGTACCTGGTGCGGTGTGTGAACATCGCCACTTAGGACACAAAGGCAGCCGGGCGTGGTGCCGGCCACCCAGCCCCTTAGTGCGCCATGCCGGCCTTCATAGGTGCTCGCTAATAGCACTTGCCCCAACACCCTTATAAACCTATACGGGAGATTTTTGTCTTTTGTACACATCTGTGCGTCACACGCACACCCGCCGTCCGTTCACATCTGCGCTCGCGCGCGAGCTCGTCTGTGCAGAGGCCCCCGTGTCGTTCGTGCGCGGGCTGGAGGCGACGGCGGCGGAGGAGGGTGACGACGTGGTGTTCACCGTGGAGCTGTCGCGAGCGCAGGCCGAGGTGCGCTGGGCACGCAACGGCGTGCTGCTGAACCCCGGGGCCGAGCGCGCCGAGCTGCGCGCGCACGGACCGCTGCGCTCGCTCACCGTGCGCTCCGTCAGCTTCTCGGACCGCGGCGTCTACTCCTGCGAGAGCCTCCACGAGCGCACGCAGGCGCGGCTCAGCGTGGAGCGTACGTGGCGGGCGGCGGCGGCGGTCGGGCGGGGTGACAGGTCACAGCCGAGATGAGCAACCTCACCGACTACAGCTGAGATGAGATGAGCAGCATTACTGATTAGTTGAGATATGAACAGGATTGCTGATTATGGCTGAGATGAGCAGGATTACTGATTAAAGCTGAGATGAAACGAGATGAGCAGAGTTGCTGATTACATCTGAGATGAGCATAATTAGCGATTACAGTGGAGCCTAGATGAGATGAGGAGATATGCGGGTTACTGATTGTGGCCGAGATGAGATGACCAGGGATAACCGAATGCAGTCAAGTGGCTCGGCGCTCCTTCAGCAGCGTAATATGTTTGTCGCGGGCCCCGGTGCAAGGAATAAAATGGGCCTCTCCCTCTTCTTGGTTCTTTCGGTAAAGTCACGTAGAAGGGAAATATTAAAATAATAAAAATAAAACATAATAAAATACAATTCTCACGACGTTTCGGCCACAACGCAAGCAGCCGTCATCAGGTGAAGAACAGGTCTGTCGGAAAGACAGCGTCTGACAGCCCTGTTCTTCACCTGAGGACGGCTGCTTGCATTGTGGCCGAAACGTCGTGAAAATTGTATTTTATTATGTTTTATGTTTATTTTTTTATTATTTCCCTTCTACGTGACTTTACCGAAAAAACCAAGAAGATGAATCCCTGCAGTCACGAAAGCTTTAAATCGAGCATCTCCCTGTCCAATGTCCCTCCTCGTCCCCCCTCTTCATTGCCTGGCACCCGGGCCTCTCTCTTCTTCAGTGCCTGGGCCTCTCTCTCTCCGACCGCACGGCCTCCTCCGGCGCGGTCGCACCTTCGGTGGCGCACTCACCAATAGCCACGCCACTGTGCTCCCCCCCCCCTCCTCCCCCCACCGCCGTGCTGTGCCCCGCCGCAGCTCGCCAGGTGCGCCTGGTGCAGGCTCCGAGCGCTGTGGAGGCGACGGAGCGCGGCACGGCCACGTTCTCGCTGCGCCTCTCTCACGCCGACGTGCCGGGCCAGTGGTTCCGCGACGCGGCGCCCGTGTCTCCGGGGCCCCTGTGCCGCGTGGCGGCGTGCGGCGCGGAGCACAGCCTCACACTCGCGGCGCTCTCGCTCCACGACTCGGGCCTCGTCTCCTTCCAGGCCGAGGGGGTGCACTGCTCGGCGAGGCTCACGGTCAGAGGTGCGAGGGGCGGCGGTCGCGTCGTCTGCCGGCTGACGGGGTGTCCGTCCGTGTCTGCCAATCGACGGGTGTGCCCGCCTACCGTCTTTGTGTCTACCCAAACGTCGACTCACTGATAGCTGGTGGACACCTGTGACGAATAACCACAGCTCGCGCCTCCGATTAGCGCAGTCGCACCTTCGATTAGCGCAGTTGGCTACGCACGGTGCGAAAGAAGTTCAACGTGCATACATACATTCATACATTCATACCGAGAGGTACACTGGATGTGGTGTGCTGGCTGCGAAAATATTTTTGGCTGTCCGACCCAGACACGCTCAGCTGAAATTAAGCCCACGGCCTATCGTTTCGTTTTCTGTGGTCACCAATCAATGGTCCCTTGTAGTGGGCCCAGTGGTGGCCAGTGGATTGTGGTTGCAGTGGGTTGTGGTTAACCCTGCTGACTCTGCGGTTGCCGTGGGTTGTGGTTAACCCTGCTGACTCTTTGCGGTTGCCGTGGGTTGTGGTTAACCCGTTGCGGTTGCCGTGGGTTGTGGTTAACCCTACTGACTCTAGGGTTGCCGTGGGTTGTGGTTAACCCTGCTGCCTCTACGGTTGCCGTGGGTTGTGGTTATCCCGTTGCGGTTGCCGTGGGTTGTGGTTAACCCTGCTGCCCCGTTGCGGGTGGCGTGTGATGCACAGAGCCGCCCGTGAGGTTCGTCCGTGAGCTGGAGGAGACGCGCGCACCCGAGAAGTCACGTGTCACCCTCGAGTGCGAGGTGTCGCGCGAGTTCGCCGACGTCAAGTGGTACAAGGTGTGCGCGCGCACCTTGCCTGGCACAAACGGCGTGGAGACAACACCGCCACCCAGTGGCGATTGATGTTGGTGGCATGTGTGGCGGTACTTAGATGCTCGATGGCAGCTCGAGGGAATATTCTCAGATCTGGTGACAAAGGACTTGGCTAAGAGGCACCGGCCTTGACACTGGCCCTCTACCTAAGGGACTCCAACACTTGATGTGGGCCTTGAATTGCGGCTCATAACCTCAACCTCGGCCTTAGCCTCGTGGCTCCTAGCCAAGACCGATATGTGGGGAGGGGTGGTACAGTGGGTAGGGCACTGCACTACGAATCCGGGGCCCAGGCTGATATCAGCTGTGAGTTTTATCTGAACTCGTCCTGGGCCTCCCCGAGGTCAGCTCATCCAAAGATGTGTACCTGGTGCTGTCTGTAGGAAAACATAAGCACTGGGGATACAGAGTCGGCTGGGCAAGGGGCTAGCGGTGACACCGCCTCCTTTCACGCTGCACCTGCTTTAATAGGTGCTCACTAACGGTGCTTGCCTCAATGGCCTGTGCATATGACACAGGCTGTGTGTGGGGGGTAGCAGTAGTGTTGCGGTTATCACGCTGCACACGCTGCACTACGATTCCGGTTACCTGAGTTCGATTCCTACTCAAGGCCAACACCAGTGACGGTTATATGAATCGGTCCTGGGCCTCCTCTAGGTCGACCCAGCCTCAAATGGGTACCCGGTGCAGTTTGTAAACCTCGCCACAAGGGGAGGCAAAGGCGGCCGGGCCTGACGCTGGCCACCCACCCCCTCGTGTGCCGTGCCGGCCTTCACAGGTGATCGCTAGCAGCACTTGCCCCGACAGTGTGTCAAGGCTATATGGGGGACACTTGTCTTTGTGGGGGAGCAGGACGGAGAGGAGGTGAAGCCGGGCGGCCGGTGCCGCCTCATGTCCCAGGGCCCACGGCGCTCGCTGCTCGTGCCGCGGTGCGAGCACGCCGACTCGGGGATCTACGCGTGCGTGGTCACGGGCGACGCACGCACCGAGGCAGCGCTGCGTGTGCACGGTCCGTCATTCACTCGTATACTGAGTCATTCACTCAGTCACTCACTTGGTCATTCACTCAGTCATTCACTCATACACTCAGTCATTCACTCATACACTCAGTTACTTATTCAGTCAGTCATACACTCCGTCATTCACTCATTCACTCAGATGCTCATTCAGTCCGTCATTCACTCATTCACTCAGATGCTCATTTAGTCACTCACTCAGTCATTCATTCATTCAGTCACTCATCTCGTCTTTCACTCACACTCAGTCATTCCTCAGTCATTCACTCAGTCATACATTTCAGTGAGTCGTTCAGTCAATCGTACTCGTATATTAATAATTAGTTTTTGTTGGTTAATCCATTATTAAATCAACCATTCATGTCTTCGTGCATTTACATAAATAACTCCATTCATACTTCCAATTATTACTTAAATCATCAACTGACCCATCCATATGTTAATGAATATAATCATAAATCTTTTATTTAATCCATTCATTCAGGAATATATCCAAACGATCATTCATTGTTAAATCATTCTTTATTTGATTCGTCCGTTTATCAACAATTGTCAACAGAATTAATTCACTTATTTGTTAGTTTATGAATTCGAGACGGTCGTGTTGAGGGATTGAGAGTACCATGGTGGCGAGATGTTAACCACCTTGCCTGGTATACAGGAGGTTGTGGGTTCGATCCCAACCCTGACGAATGCTGTATGTTTGGAGTTTGCATGTTCTCCCCGTGGTCCCGTGGATTTTTTTCCGGGTCCCCCGGTTTTTCCCTCCATATTTAGAAACATGCATTTAGAGTATTTGGTTGCTATAAATTTCCACGTCATAAGCCACTTTGTTCAGCTATCATTTGTGGTCAGGTCGCTTCTAAAAAAGAGCTAAACAGCTCAGTGGGCCTTTCCTGTTAAAATAAAAAAAATGTGTTTATAGTTTAAATCTTGAAAGGTACCGCTTCCTCCATAGAATCTGCACACAGTGGAGCCTGTTTATACTTGTCGAGTTGTGGGCGAAGTTCACAGTAAAGTGAGGGCGAGTCCTGTGCAAATTGGGCTTTAAATAACCAGAAGTTGTTCGTCCTGAAGTTCATTCGGGGACACGTGTCTTCAGAGAGATGAGTGTATTAATGTGGCCATGCAACCCAAACCGGGGACCCGATAGTAACCCACTGGAGTATGAGGAGGAACAGCAACACTGCACGAACTCGCTCCTCTGAAGCCCTCTCGTGGCCAGCAGACCTCAACATTGATTGGCATTTAGCCCCTGAACGTACTGCCATACGCAAGAACACAATAGTGGAACAATATTCAGTCTACCCACTCTTTAATGATAATATACAGACTTCGTTAGTCCGCTGCTGGATGAAGACCTCCGTATCAGCAATGGGGCCTATTTGACCCCCATTGCGGGTTGGTGATGGGTGGAGGCCCAGTATAGGGTTGTTTCAGATATCACTCTTCTTGTTAGCCGTGGCTGGGAATCGAACCTTGGTCACCGGGTTCATCGTGCAGTGTGCTCACGATTGTGCCACCGCTTCCTATTGCCAGCCATGCACTGTGGAGAAAACCCGTTTGGGCTGTTTGTAACAACCATTTGAGTTTGTTTTGTAGTGCCGGGTGCTGGCCAGAGTGACAGTCTACACCTCTTATGTTTACTAAGAATACCTGTACACAAAGACAGATTGATACACTGAGTGAATGTTCAATTTGTTTACCCATCGACTGAAATGTTGACTGACATTTTGACTAATTTACACGAATTGAACGACTTCAATACTTACCGATAAATTATCGTTCATTTTTTTTTCATTTCACCTTTACTTAACCAGGTAAAACACCCTCGAGGTTACAAACCTCTTTTGCGAGAGCGACCTGATTGATTGACTGCTTGCTCAGCTGATTAGTGAAACTATTCTGACAGATTGACAGAGAGGCCGATTACATTATCCCAACATAATGACTGACGAATACACTGCCTGGCTCATTAATTGCTTTATTGACTGACTGCTTGACTGATTTTCCTCACGACTGCCTGACTAACCAACTTGACTGACTGACTGGCTGATTGACCGAGAGCTTGAAGCAAGGCCGTAGCCATGGAGTCAACATTGGGGGGGACCAAATCTTCCAGGGGGTCTGGGGGTCCCCCCCCCCCCAGAAAAAAAAATCTAAATTTGAAAACTAATTTCCTGCCAAAAAAAAAAATCACTAACACATAGAATGGACTTTTTATTTATTTTTTACAATAACGTCTCATAGTGTATTGTATTACATTGTTCTGTTTTTTCTTTTTTACCTTTTCTTGTTTCATTGTATGCAATGGCAGAGATTAGGGATTAATAAAGTACAACCATAACCACAATCATATAAACCGAAATCTATTTGATAGCAATATATTGGGGGGGGACATTTTGAGCATATTTTATAATTACGGCCTTGGCTTGAAGAATTGACACACCGAGTGTCTGCCGGGCTGTCTAATATGAAGCCCTTTCATAAACCCACCTCAACCGTCTCCTTCGATAACCCCACCCATCTCACCCCCCCCCCCCCCTCACCGTCTGGTACAGCTCGCGACGTGCGCATGGTGCAGCGGTTGACGGAGTGCGACGTGGAGGAGGGGCAGGCTGCCTCGTTTGAGTGTGAGACCACTCACGACGAGGTGAGCGCCGTGTGGACTCTCAACGGGACGCGACTCAAGCCCGGAGACAACGTCCGCATCCGAGATGAGGGTGCGCGTCGATTCGCCGGCTCCCCGCCACCCCATGATCTGGGTCACTATTTAACGTCACAATCTGGGGTCACGTATTGGGATGTTTTTTGGAGGTCTCTAGTCATGGGTCACGATTCAGGGTCACACAAACGATTTATTTTCACGGTTGTTGAAGTGATACAATCCTCCCGTGTACGATAGCTCGTTGGGTTGTTGCATCGCGATATCGAGATAGTGACGGCTTGGGGAGGAGGCCTTCATCCAGGGCCGACGATGATGGCCAGAGCGATGTGAATCTATATTGGTGTGCATCTTCAAAATGTATAGAATAGCAGCGTGAGTCGATAAACTCTACAATCTTGTGAACCCAAAGAATCCATAGTGGTATGTTCACCGAAGGGCACAGTCACAAGCGCACGTGTCCACCTGCGCCTAGCATTCATCAGCACGTCTCTTCCGCGTGACCGTGCTTTGTTCGCCCAAGGACACGTCGTTCAGAAGCACCCCGATTTGCCGGCGCTCAAGTTGTTCGTCAGCTTGGGCGAGCACTTGCACCGGCGCTCACCGTGTTCCCCCGTGTGCCACAGGCACGCGGCACAGCCTGGTGCTGGCGTGTGTGCGTGCCGAGGACGCCGGGGAGGTGGGCTTCTCCGCCGAGGGCGCCGAGTGCACGACTCAGCTCCGCGTCCGAGGTGAGGTTCGGGGAACCGCTGACTTTTTATTTTGTTTGACTCTCTTTGGTTCTTTCGGTAAAGGTATGTAGAAAGAAAATGATTTAATTTCAAGTTTGTTTGACTCCTTTATTTTTTCTATATATTTGTTTACACAAGCTGCTGATCGCAGGCCGCAGGTCCAATGGCCCAACACGTTATGCGGCCAGCGACCAGCGTTACTGTTAAAGTTGTAAAGCCCACTGAGCTGTTAGCTCCTTGTCAGAGACGATCTAGCCACACATGATAGCTTTTAAAGTTGCAGCCAATCATCTAGATGCATGTTTATAATGTGGAGGGCATTCAGTGGCGTGCCAACACAAGCTAGTCTTATTCAGTTTGCCCACCGAAAAGCATAGCCTCAGAACCATTGGCATCATACACACATCTATGCCTCTATATAAGGAACGAAACAGGTGGACTTCTCCACAAATCTGGCTGTCGCCTGATGAAGCTAGTTGTAACTACCTGGTGAAACGTCGTACTCAGATTGTAAATGTTGTGGCTTGGTTCTCCAACACACCGGTGTGCTGTACTAGTGACGAATTGGCCACGTTCTCTTTACGTGACAACCCTTACTAGTTGGCTGTGTTCTGGTGGTGGTGGGTTTTAACGACACATTCATATATTTACGCGACCTAACTAAAAACCTCTATTATGGATCATAAGTTGTCACAAACACTTTGCCATTGCGTCTTGCGTTGATGACGACAACGACGCCTCTGATGGTACCCCCACCCCCATCTTGCGCGACCAGAGTTGCCGGTCCGCATCACAAAGCCTCTACGCGACAAGATCGCCATCGTGGGCCGGCGCGCCGTGCTCGAGTGCCGCGTGTCGCGCGCCACCGCCCGCGTCTCCTGGCAGCACGGCGGGCGCGAGCTGGCGGAGGGCGGGCGCTACCAGATGGGCGCGCAGGGCGAGTACCGCACGCTCGTCATCGTCGAGGCGGCCTTCAGCGACGAGGGCTCCTACACGTGCCGCGCCGGGGAGGCCTCGTCGTCGGCGCGGCTGCTCGTCGAGGGTACGCGCTGCCTGGCGCCACGCGTGTCTATCCAGCAACCGCGTGAACTTCACGCCGTGTGCATCGCGTTTCGTGGGCTTGTAATTGCCGTTGCTGGGCACGAGTCGGCACCGATTTGATGTTTTGTGGAGGTTGGTGGCGGTTGTTGGAGGTTTCTGAGTGTTTTTATTGTTGTCGATTATTGTGCTTGTTTACCCTGGAGAGAGAGTCCCATGACTCTTTTGTTCAGAAGGGTTCTTCCAAATTTACACAGTAGGGGGCGATGATTGCCGTGTCTGCTGGATCCTAATGGAGTAATTTAAAGGTATTTTTTCTATTAATCCATAATAGGTTTTTTGGGGTTAGATCGCGTAAATATATGAATGTGTCGTTAAAATCCGCCACCACCCGACACGGCCAACTAGTGAGGGTTGTCACGTAAACAGAACGTGGCCAATTCGTCACTAGTACAGCACACCAGTGTGTTGGAGAGCCAAGCCACAACATTTACAATCTTGAGTACGATGTTTCGCCAGTAATTACAACTAGCTTCATGGTTTGTGGAGGTTGGTGATTACTGGCGAAACGTCGTACTAACCCAAAAAAACTTCTATTATGGATGTTAAAATTAATATTTTTTTATAGATTAGCTTAGTTTAATGAAAGAGTATTTGGCATGCTAATGACGCTGCTGTCCATGATGCTGCTGAAGCCGTTTTCGAGAATGCTAAAGCTGACATTGGTGCCGCTGTTGACGAATAACCCTCGCGACGACCTCACCGTTGGGGCGCCGCTCGTCTTTTGCGCTGCAGACCAAGTGCTCCAGGTGACACGCGGGCTGCAGGACGTTCGGGTCCCGTCCTCGGGCACCGCCGTCTTCGAGCTGGAGCTTTCGGGCCCCGCGGCGCGGCCCCCGCGCTGGGCCCTCAACGGGACGCGGCTCCGCGACGGCAGCGGTGGCGCCCACATGGAGGCGCGTGGCACCGTCTACCGCCTCTCGCTGTTTGAGCCGCGGGCCTCCATGAGCGGCCTCGTCGAGTTCTCTGCCGGGGAAGCCAAGAGCTCGGCGCGGCTCACGGTCGTGTGAAGGGGCACTGAGCCGACAGCCGTGATGAGAGGGCCTCGGTTTGATCCCTGGTGCCGGGGCTGTCCTTGCTGCCTGGTGGCGGGGCGGCCATATTGACGGTGCCGTGTTGGAACCAGAACTGGCACGGCAGAGATCCTGGGTTTGAGCGCTGAGGTTGAGTAGCTTTTTGCTGTCCATAATGGCGGTGTTTGAGATGCTGAGCTGGCACTGCAAGGCGCATGAGTTTGAGCTCTTAAGGTTGGGTGGCTATTGTTGTTTCACAGGGGGAGGTTCACAGTGGCTGTGTCAAAACTGCTGAAACACCATGGTAGGGTTGCTAGCTTCAGGCCCCGGGGCTGGGCGTATATCTCTCTGTTACACAAATGGGAGGGGTTTCTAATGGCCATGTCAGAGAGACTGAGTATGAACCACCGAGGTGCAGTGTTTGAGCTTTGTAGATGGGTGTGTCTCATTGGCTTACAGAGTTCATAATGGTTGTTTGAGATGCTGAGTCAGTGCTGCTGAGGTCCGGGGTTTGAGTCCTGGGTCTGGAATTCTCTTTCACAAACAGAGGGTTGACAACCATCTTGCTGAGATCCCATGATTAACACCTAGGGTCGGGTGTCTTTTGTTGTCTCAAAGGGGCGTTCATAATGACCTTGACAGAGGCACAGAGCCATCACCGCTGAGATCTTGGGTTTAATCCTGAGGGCCTTTCACGGGCTCATAATGGCCCTATTCGAGTCAGCACCACTTGGTGGTTTGTGGAGGTTGGTGACGGTTAGTGGGAGGTTTATATTGTTTTCTGGATGTTGGTGGCTGACAGATGTCGATGGTTGAGATGATGATGTTGGTGGCGAAAGTATAAATTTTACTGATGTAGAAGGAGAAAAGTTTAATGAAAGGGCAAGATATTAGAGGTCGTGTCACCCCCTTTACTCAGTTTCTATTTTAGCCTTTATGATATTAATCATGGAATAAATATTACATGCTCATGGTTGCCAGTTCTCATTGTCAAAGTGTCTTCCTGCCCAAACAAGCGTGGGAGTAACAGCCCTGAACTACTGGTCTAAATTCCACTTTTCTATGATGAGGACCAGTTGATCCAGAGGACCATTCTGATCCTGATGTCTAATTTGCAATAAAAACCCCACAGGCTGAAATTTGAAAGAAGTGTCTGTGAACTTTTACAGGTGTAACTCAAAAATCAAATCGCTCTTGTAGAAATGAATTAAAGTGATGTCGCTACATTGGCATTATTAAACCGTATGGGAGTAACATCACGACAAAGGTATATATATTATTTTTACCAACAATGACATTTTAAACTCATGTGGGACAGCCCAGAGACACTCAGTCGAGGCGAGCAGCTACAAGATAGGAGCTGTTTATTGGGTTGTGTCTTCCTTTAACCTGGTCACGGCGATTCGTTTTGTGAACCTCACAATGCTTTGTGTGCCCTTCGCTTTGTTGGGGTTAACTCAGCTGTTCAGCCCTATGTGGTCGATAAATTGTTTGTCCTATAAATATACTCACATTTACAATGGGAATGTGGAATTTCCACCACTGGTTCAGCGCTGTGAATAAAAGATGAGCAGCGTCCAATATTGATTTGCACTGAAAACCACTCTTGGCTCTTTTTTGGCCCGATTGACACGAGCCGGTAACAATCATGTGCGTAAAATGAAGTTAAATAGAGGAGATGTTTCTTAAACCATTGCAAACTGATAACTCACCTCAAGGAGGTAATTTAATATATTTGGAATATTTTATTGAGCACGGCTCGATAACAGATTATTATTAATGTAAAAATAGTAAATTGATGGATAAAAGCTAACATGAAATGATGACTCGTTGGTCTTACAAACATCGGTGAAATAAACGCAAATGAGCGTCTGATGGACCCGAATTAAACAAACACAACGAGGTGGTTGTGTGGCTCGGGGTCAGAGATACCGCGATCCTGGGCCTGAATCCAGGTCTCACGCACCCGTGGTGAAAGTGGCTTTCACCTGTAGCAAGTTGCCGGTCTCCGCCCGCTCACCAACAATTCAACAAAAAAGTAATCACATCAAAATAAAAATCCGCTTCAAATTCATTTGTTGGGTTTGTTTTTGATGTACAATGAAACAAAAAATTGCAGGTTCATAATATATTTTTTTAGGGTTCGGCCAATTTTAAATTGTAAGGTTGGCTGTGAAAAAAAAAACTACGTGTTGAGTTCGCCTTTGCCGGGAATTAAAATGTTTGCCTCTCGTGTGGATAAAGAAGTGGAATGAAGTGACGAGACTGCTTTCATTGTCCGGGGCTCTCTAACTCGGGGTGGCGCACCACTCGTTGAGAGACCTCGAAGTGGAACGTTCATTGTCTCGAGACACGACGTTGGATAGCACAATTCGAATGTATGTTGAACTTCTTTCGCACCGTACGTAGCCAACCGTGCTAACCTGAGGTGGGGGGGAAGGACGTAAAACTATACACAAAGAGCAATTCTAAAAGAAAAGGCGTCTTGAATAATGACCACAGTGATGTTAGCATAGCTAAGCTTATGATGAGAACTTCGCACCTTCCATAAAACAATTCACGAGTTGCCATGGAGAGCATTGGCACTGAATGAATGGTGCCTCTGGATGAGGTGTACATAAGAATGACTCACTTCGGCAGTTATTCATTAACACTTGATGTGGTATTAAAACCCGTGTATACTGTTAAGTATTCAATGTACATTCAGTATAAAGGTGGTACATGCACGCCATATGCTGGTGGGGGGGGGGGGCGAATATTCACGAGTGAAGTCAGAGATCTCTGTACCCCTCAGTTCACGCACGTTCTCCATTCTCGAATCCTTTGCAAATCCACTTTAACTTGTCAGTGCACAACTGTAGGGGGGCATGTGAGTAGGTGCGGGGCCACTTCGTGTGAATAAAGGGAAAATTAAGGGATCTAGGAAGTGTTTCTGTTAGAGGGGGGCCTGGTGATTCGGGGGGGGGGGTTCATATGGCCGTGTCAGAACCACAGAACCAGTCCCGTTGAGACGCTGCGGTCAAAACTAGGTTTCAGCCACTTGTGATTAAACCAAGTAGGCGAATACAGCGAGTTGTTGGTCTCAGTCATGCCCCAGTGGCTGCATGATTTTAAAAAAACTAACATTAAAATTTGGTTTTACCGTTGGCATAGTGTCAAGCTTTCAGGATTACAACGTAGTTGGTGTGGCTGCCACGCGAGGCAACGAAGCACTTATTGTCACATAGCACGTGGGATGATATCATCTGGTACAGATACGAGGCAATTGAAGGTATTTCTGGTATGTCATCTTCCAAAAGCCATCAAATAACACCATGTCATGTCACAATGCTCACTGAAAAAGTTTTGAATGGGAATTTGCTTCTCTCGTGACAGCATGACAACAACAGCGCATATTGGAAGACAATTTGTAAAAAGCATGCGAGAAAAAATAGAAAAATAGTGCACTGTGGCTTGTGATCATGTTTGCATACGTGAGTTTTGAGCAGAGACGTATAAATAGTCACTTTATTAAAATAAGTATCCAATCGGACGTGTCACGTGGTTCTATCTGCATGTTGCGTCCATATTATTTTGAAGCCGGGTGAGGGCAGAGTCTAGCGGCTCGTTGGGCCCTTCCTGCTGAAACTAATCAAATAGATTTAATCGAACACCGATGTACAGGAGGGACAATGGAAATGAAATGCACGGCTTTTGGGGATTTAAAAAATACCAAAGAATGACCATGCCTGGTGGCACCTTTTATTAATCTTTGCGGTCTGGAAAAAGCGTGCGTATCTGTGTATGTGTCAGTTTGTTTTTGCGCGTGTGTGTCTCTGTATCAGCGGTGGTGCAGTGGTTTGCACGATGGATGATGATCCCGGGCAATAGGTTCAATCTCCAGCCACGGCGAACATCATTTATGATCGTCCTTATCGTGGGATTTCCAAAGATCAACTCGGCAGATAATTTACGACTTACCTCGTGAGTGTGTAGACATCAACACTGGAGATAAAGGTGCCTTATGTGGGACTGGCCACATCACCCCCTCATATGCATTGCAGACAACTTTTAATAGGTGCCCACTAACAGCACTTGCCTCAACAGCCAATGTAAGTTACACGGGGGAGCTCTGTCATTGCATTTACAGTACGTATATGTCTATGTGTTGATCTTTTTTATTCGTGTGGATGTGTTGTCTCTTCGAATCAGTCGACCGGCATCTATTCTTCGGCTGTGCAACTGCAGTGTGGAAGCTACCCGGCCTGCCACTTGACAGGTCTCGGCCACAGTTGTGCCTTCTATTCATGCTTGCGAAAAGTGGACTCTTTTACAGGAACACCTACACTGTCTTTAAACATTCAGACTGTCCTCTCTACGATCCATCCTGAATTTGTATTGTTTGAGGAGCTCACAGATCCTTCAAATATACAGACACATCAGTGAGCTCCTCCGGCAAAGCAAGGCTGCGTTGGCTGGATCATATATGCCTCATGCCCAAGCAGCTTCTGTTTGGCTAGTTAGGGGAACCTAAATGGGTACGCCACGGGCTATATAGAGATGAGCTGATATGGTACAGGAGGATGTGGAGCTGAGTGAACTTGCCAATGACTGGTACCAGCAGTGTCAAGATCAGCCTCTGTGGAGGAAGCTCGTGAAGGACGCGACTGGGCAGTGAGGTTCATTAATCTTCCTCTAACAACAACAGAGGGAAGAGGAGCAACGTTCACAACAACTGTTAGATCGTCGGGCGGTTAAAACAAAGTTGGCACAGTAGGGAGCACAGGTGTTGCATCTGCTAGTCATCTCGGTGAGTCAACCCATAACACCTGAGTCTGTCAATGGACCTCCTGCCAGATAACCTTTGACACTCCTCGTGGCCTTCAATTGCATCTAGCCTGGCACAAGCGCTGTGTCACCGCAACTTAAGTGTTGAATGGCGGCTGATGTGCGTGGCGTTGGTGCCTTGACTGAGGTTAAATGTTCAATGCACATCTCCTGCACGACAGGGAAATGTCTCCAAATCATACCTGCAAGTTGCAGCCTGTGATCGGTTATGTCTCTTTGGCTCTGCACCCGTAGATGGGAGATTCAGCACAACATTTTCAGCATTCTCAATCCTCCGCTTGGGTTTTTCCTGCCAAATAAAAAAAGGCCTTGGCGCTGTTTGAATAAATAGTTTGTGTCTCTGCCCCTTAGGCTAGTGCTGTAAATTCCATATTGCCATGATAAGGGGACTGAACAAAAAGACGGCCAACGGTTGACTTCCCACAAAGTGGTGGGTCGTTTTGTATCCATCCTGGAGCTATGATGGATGGATGGATGTGTACACACCTGTTAACCCCTTGTCAGTGCCCTACCTTATTGCATACCCATTGAAAATGTATTGGTCACCTCTGTAAATCTCGACGTTCATCCCACAAAGTCCCATCACAAGGGAGAAACACAAACAAATAGACAAAATTGGTTTCCTGTATTCAAACGGCCGTACGCCATATGGGCCTGACAACTCAATGTCCCTGTACAAGAATGGGAGTAAAACGTCTGGGTGTGTACAGTGCCGGATTAAGCTAGTGCAGCGCCTGTGGCATATGTTATAAAGGGGACCTAAATAAAAACACAAATATTTTTAAAAAATGTACTTGCATAGTAAAGTAATTATTTTTTTTCATTTTCTATACGTCCAGATAATACGACAAATCGCTAACCTAAAACACCCAGTCGTTCATAAAATTTGAAGGCAGTATAGTACCATAGTAATACAGCAAGTGCAGAATCGCTTAACCGGAATTGATAGCTTGAAAGCATTTAGCGTGGGGCTCTTGAAAGTACGGGGAGCGTAGCATATGTAGCTACTTTTTATACTAGGATAATTATTCGGCATTGGGTGTGCACGATGCAGCATCTTGGGCTTCTACAGTTTCCGGTGCGCTATAAACTGAATTGAGTACCATCGCGCCTGTAAGGGGTTTTTGGTCAGGCGAAAACGAATGACAGGCCACACATATGCCCATATGGCTTACCATATGGGGGGACGTAGTGTGTGGTGCCAAGACCGCGGAGAAACTCCGCATGCGCCGGGATTCCCTCCCGGCCCCCGCACTAAACACACACCCGCACGCAGCGCACCCGCGTAGTGTCCTGGCAGGGGATTGTCTGGCACATCGGGTTTTAATCCGAAGGGCCCCTAGAGGGAGAGACCCACGGTTTCCCGGTGCCAAGAGATTGGCCGACCCTCGCAGGACAGGTTACATTGCGGTGCCCCTAAATTTGCTTAAAATTGTATGGGCGCAGAAAGTAAAGGTTCCCTGGGCCAACCGCAATGAGTTACTCACAACATTGGGGGGAGGACGGAGGGCGGAATATTAAGCAAGCAAAAGCGCAAGAGCCCTTCCAGACAATGTGCAATGAGGGACAATGGGTGGCCGGCGCCGCCGCCGCGGCACTTGAGGAAGGACGCGGTAAGAAGGGAGCGGTAACCACAGGTAGGCGCACAATTGGTCGCGCGGGACAAACACCACCCGGCCCTTTGAAGTGAGGGGATTAGGTCACGGTAGAAAGGAGGAAACGAGAGCGCGAGGGCGCAGGTAAGCGCACGATTAGCCTTGCGGTATGACGTCAGCCTGGGCCTTTGAAGTTTAGAGAATAAAAAGGGGGGCCCCGGACGATTTTCGGTCAGTTGTCTTCAACCTCCAGGCCGTCAAGACCCTCTCCCTGCCGTCCTGCCTCTTCAAGCCGCTCACAGCATCCGTGTCATGCCAGCGAGTGCTGCTGCAAGACAGTGATCGGTCAAGTCTTCTCTCGTCCTCCTCCCTCCGACTATCTCAGCGTCCGTGGGACGACGTGAGTCCAGCGTCGAGGTACGTGGTAGGACGTTTGAGCAGCTGGGTTCTTCGGCAGAGGTAGGCGAGGTTCCTTCCTGCGAAATATTCCCTCTCCAGGTAGGGTGTATATGTGCCATTAAAAAACTTTAGTTCAAAGTATCGGTGCAGTGCGATTTCTGTGTGTGTGGGTAGAAAGAACCTCGGCGTGGTGTCTGCGATTGGTGTGCGGTGCGACTGCGCGGGGAGACGGCGCGCGCGAGAGAGCAAGCGCATGGCTGCAGCGTCGGCGCGGTGGTGTTAATTTGAGCGTGTGGGTGAGGCGTGCGTGTATTTAAACATACACGGCCATTGACGCTCGCATGTGCTTACGCGCGCGTGTGAAAAACAACGCGCGCCTGCAGCGTGCCGTGTGAGTAATTAGGGCGCGGGGGCGGGGTGCGATAAACTCGCGCTCACGCGTTTACACAGCGACGATAGCGATAACAGCGAGGCGCGCGTGCATATTCATACAGCCCTTTAGCATTAGCCTTTGTGGGCAACGGATTACGGCTTAGCCACCCGGAGGGGCGCGCGTGTATTAATACCGCAGCCCTTTAAGCGCTAACCTTTGCGCGGAATAAGCGCCTGTAGAGGGGCACGCGTGGTTACGCGCGTGTGTGTGGGAACTACGCGCCTGCAGGGGCGCGCACGTGCACGCCTCGGCGTTCGCTTGTGTGGTGTTGGTGGTGTCCGTGGGCGTGTGCGGGATAACCCCAGGCGGTGGTGAGCCAGCCACAGGGAGAGGCGGACGAGGAGGAGGGGGCAGCGAAGGGGGTGGACGTCGGCCCCCCACAAGTGCCAGTTAAGGCGAAACATTCCGTTTTCCCGTGCTGGTAGTGTATGGGCATTCGTTTTTTTTGTCTTCTTCTGAAATTCCTTTGTAGTCTGTCCCGTTTTAAAAGCAGAAACACGCAACATATGGGCACGAACGCAACAAAGATGAAGATCCCTCTCCCCCCCGTATCGTCGTTTAACGCAGCGGTCCCCAACCTTCTTGGCACCAGGGACCGGTTTCGTGGAAGACTATTTTTTCACGGACCGGGGTGGGGGGGCATCATTGGGTCTTTCCCCCTTTTCAAAGAAGCTCTCCAACGACGTTTGTTTTTTACTCATTCTGGCTAGGGGTTAGCAGCTTGTGGGCTGACCAACACTGTGACACTGAGACAAGTGCGTAGTGCGGGAAAGAGGCGTGGACGGAAGTGGTGAATAATGAAACAATGGGGGGGACGGGTTCCACGTGCGGACTCACCGCCCTCACCTCCAGGCCACGGACCGGGGGTTGTTGACCCCTGGTTTAACAACAGGCGAGATTTTGATTTAAAGCTTTCGTGACTGCAGGGATTCATGTTCTTGGTTCTTTCGGTAACGTCGCGTAGAAGGGAAATAATAATATAATAATAAAAATATAAAACAATAAAAATTCTCACGACGTTTCGACTGCAACACAAGCAATCATCATCAGGTGTGACATTTCACATTGCTTGTGTTGCAGTCGAAACGTCGTGAGAATTTTTATTGTTTTATATTTATATTTTATTATTTCCCTTCTACGTGACTTTACCGAAAAAACCAAGAATATAACAGGCTAGATTTGAAGCTTTCGTGACTGCAAGGATTCATACTCTTAGGTGTTTTCGGTAAAGACACGTAGGAATTTTTTTTTCATTTTTTTATTTTATATATATATATTTACCTACGTGACTTTACCGAAAAAACCTAAGAGTATTAACAACAGGCTGTTGTGGGCCAAGCGCTGTGTTAACGAGGCCGACACGGCGAGCGAGTAAGGGGACGGAGGGGAGGGGTCAAGCACCGCGCCTGCCCCCCCTCCCAATGCTGATGCGTTTACACACCACACCAGGTACAGTGCTCGTTTAAGTCCGAGTCGACCTAGGGGAGACCCACCCACCCACGCCGTGACCTTGGTTCTGATTCAGATGTTGGTCGCGAGCGGCCAACTTCGCGAGTTCGTCGCTCCAACCGCAGCGCCACCGCTCCTTCCAAACTCGCACAAAACAACCACGCCCGGCCGCCTTTGTCTCTCCCCCCCCCCTCCAAATGGCGATGTTGACGACGCACCGCACCGGGTAGTAATTTGAGGCTGAGTCGACCTAGGGGGAGGAGGCCCAGGACCGGTTCACGATAATCGTCAACTGCGTGCGCGTTGTCGTTGGTCGGGTTCGGGCTGCTGCGCTAACCGCTGCGCCACCGCTCGCACGCCCGGCCACGCCTCGCTCCCTCCCGAGTTGGAGGTCGCACGCAACCACAGCATACACACAGCACACACAGCATACACACAGCACACACAGCACACACAGCACATAAACACACACACAGCATACACACACACAGCATACACACAAAGAACACCACGTAAACATACAGCACACACACAGCCAGAACCGGCCCTAGACCTTTGGGGGCCCTAAGCAAAATTTGGTTGGAGGCCCCTTTGATGTATGATTTTTTTCACCCACTAGCTAGCAGTGACTCTAGGGGGCCCTCTGCTGGCCACGGGGCCCTTTGCAATTGCAAGGGTCGCTTAGTGGCTGGGCCGGCTCTGCACACAGCATACACACACACAGCATACACACAGCACACCACATAAACACACACACAGCATACACACAGCATACACACACAGCACACCACATAAACACACACACAGCATACACACACAGCACACCACATAAACACACACACAGCATACACACACAGCATACACACACAGCACACCACATAAACACACACAGCATACACACACAGCATACACACACAGCACACCACATAAACACACACACACAGCATACACACACAGCACACCACATAAACACACAGCATACACACACAGCATACACACACAGCACACCACATTAACACACACACAGCATACACACACATCACATCATAACACACACAACCACACACACAGCACACCACATAAACACACACACAGCATACACACACAGCACACCACATAAACACACACAGCACACCACATAAACACACACACAGCATACACACACAGCATACACAGCACACCACATAAACACACACAGCATACACACACAGCACACCACATAAACACACACACAGCATACACACACAGCACAGCACAGCACATAAACACACACACAGCATACATACACACACACCCCACACACACCCCACACACACACACAGTACACACACGCAGCATACATACACACACACAGCACACCACATAAACACACAGCATACACACACACACACACCCCACCACACACCCCACACACACACACCCCACCACACACACACCCCACACACACACACCCCACCACGCAATCTCTCTCTCGCGTGAGTGAGTGCGTGCCGGGGTGGGAGGGGGACACACACAGGAGGAGGCGGAGGCGGTGGTGGTGGACGGGACCCGCGGCGACGTCGCGGGTGACAGAGAGAGGCGGAGCGAAAGACAAGCAGAGGCGGACGGGGAAGAGGTTGTGGGTAGGGAGACAGGGTCGTGTGTAGGGAGAAGGGGCAGTGTGTAGAAAGAAGAGAGAGAGATCGAGACACGGGGCAGGGGAGAGGCAAAGAGGGGAGAGACACGGGGGGGTGGGAGGCGACAACTAAGATTGTGACTATTGATTATCGATCACCTGCCTGCACATGGTTTGGACGAGGAGGGTAGGGAGAGCAAGGTGGTCAGCTTGGGAACGAGTTCAAGTTCATCAAGTTAATGTTATTAGGTGTAGCCCTGTGAGCCATTCGGCTCTTGAATCGGGTGCAACCGCAACCAACAGAAAACAAAAACATGAACAAGAAAACATCTTAAAGTGAGGAGAGCAGCCGGGAGACGGGCGACACAGCGAGGTGTGTCGACAGAGGGGAGGGGGACACGGACAGGGAGACAGGGAGACAGAGACGACAGGCAGGTAGACAGGTAGACTGTGATACAGACACAGACAGACACAGACAGACAGGCAGGTAGAGACAGGCAGACAGAGACAGGCAGGTAGAGACAGACAGACAGAGACAGACAGACAGAGACAGGCAGACAGAGACAGACAGACAAACAGAGACAGACGACGCGATGTGGTGTTGGAGTCCGCAGACCCCGCGGGACGACGAGAAGCCGAGCGACGTGAACACGGCGAGCGAGGCGGTCAAGCGGATGGGTGCGTGCAGTGCACACAGCAACATACAGCACACACACAGCACACACACACAGCACACACACACACAGCACACACACACAGCATACACACACACAGCAACATATAGCACACACACAGCACACACACACAGCACACACACGTACAGCACACACACACACAGCACACACACAGCACACACATACAGTACACACAGCACACACACAGCACACACACACACAGCACACACACAGCACACACACAGCACACACACACAGCACACACACACACAGCACACACATACAGTACACACAGCACACACACAGCACACACATACAGTACACACACACACAGTGCACACACACACACAGCACACACACATACAGCACACACACATATACACACACAGCACACACACACAGCACACACACACATATACACACACAGCACACGCAGCACACACACAGCACACACACATACAGTACACACACAGCACACACACACAGCACACACACATACAGTACACACACACAGCACACACACACATATACACACACACACGCAGCACACACAAACACACATATACACACACAGCACACACACACACAGCACACACACATATATACACACACACAGCACACACACATATACACACACACACAGCACACACACATACAGCACACACAGCACACACACATACAGCACACACAGCACACACACATACAGCACACACAGCACACACACACATATACACACACACAGCACACACACATACAGCACACACAGCACACACACATACAGCACACACACAGCACACACACACATACAGCACACACACAGCACACACACAGCCAGTACACACAGCACACACACACACAGCACACAGCACACACACAGCACACACACACATACAGCACACACAGTACACACAGCACACACACACGCACATACAGCACACACACACGCACACACACACATACAGCACACACACAGCACACACACAGCACATACACACAGCACGCACACACATACAGCACGCACACACATACAGCACACACACAGCACACACACACAGCACACACATACAGCACACACACAGCACACACACAGCACACACACAGCACACACACAGCACACACAGCACACACACACAGTACACACACACAGCACGCACACACATACAGCACGCACACACGTACAGCACACACAGCACACACACACAACACACACACACATACAATACACACACACAGCATACACACACATACAGCACACACATAGCGCACACACACATACAGCACACACACAGCACACACACACAGCACACACACACAGCACACACGCACATACAGCACACATACAGCACACACACAGCACACACACACACAGCACACACACATACAGCACACACACACAGCACACACACATGCAACACAGCGCACATACACAGCACACATACACTACACACATACACACAGACACACACAGCAAACACACACAGCACACACACAGCACGCACACATACAGCACACACACACAGCACACACACATACAACACAGCGCACATACACAGCACACATACACTACACACATACACACAGACACACACAGCAAACACACACAGCACACACACACAGCACACACACACAGCGTGCGCTCTGTGTGTCTGTCTGGGGCTTCGTTACTACGCACCCACTGGCCTCGGATGCTTAATCCCGTCAACGCATGCTACTCATGCCATGTTTACACGGTACATGTACTGTACCTGGGTGGGTACAGGATTATATTACATGTGATTACATTGTACTTAGATAACCATACGAACACACACACACACTACAATGACATGCATCACATGAACACAGACAAAAGTACCCCCTCCGTGTAGCCTTGACAGACTGTTGGGGCAAGTGCTGTTAGCGAGCACACGAGGTAGGGGGGGGGGCAGCACCACACCCGGCCGCCTTTGTCTTTCTAGACACCGCAGCAGGTACTCATTTTGAGACTGAGTCGACCTAGGGGAGGTCCAGGACCGGTTCAGATAATCGTCACTGATGGGGGCCGTGAGCGGGAATCGAACCTTGGTCACCGGGTTCGTCTCGCAGTGCGCTGACCACTGCACTACCGCTGCCCATACATGAACACATACACACGTGCACATACACACACACATACACACACACATACCTACACACGTGTACATACATACACATCACATGGACACACATCCCACGAACATACACATGCCTACACACATGCACACACATCACATTGGCACACATCACACAAATACATACACACATAATCTACACACACATCTCACGAACACACATGCACACACATCACATAGACACACATCACACGAATACACACATGCACACACATCACATTGGCACACATCACACGAATACACACATGCCTACACACAGGCACACGTCCCACGAGCACACAAGCACATACACACATCACATGAACACGTGCACATCACACAAGGTCTGTACAAACCATGTACTTTGGACTGTAAGTTGACTTTGGCCAAGAAAGTGAATGTGTTTATTCAGGGGGTGCACGACCCCCACTCCTGCTGATAAACAAACCCCTTTCATCTCCTTCAGCGGGGTCTAGAGTCGTTTGAAATCATAAAATAACATGAAGGTATTCAGTAAAACATCCTCTTCTTACTCTTAGGTTTTTTCGGTAAAGCCACGTAGGTAAAAATAAATAAATAATATTGTTATAAATAATAATAGAAAAATACTAATAATAGAAATAAAAAATTATTGTATTTCTATTATTTTTATTATTATTTATTTTTACCTACGTGACTTTACCTAAAAAACCTAAGAGTATGAATCCTTGCAGTCACGAAAGCTTCAAATCTAGAATAAATACATCCTCTTGTGTAAAAATATATACCGTAGTAATAATAATGGCAATAGCCAAACGTCTCTTGTTCGAATTCGCAAGTGGTCTCATCTGTCTGTGTTGACAAGTCTGAGACATTACTGGAAATTCCAGAATCTTTATGGCAGGATCTAGTAGAATATGACACGGAAGCCAATCTCGTAAGTTTGACAGTGTGACTAAACTCACAAATGTGTCTCATAGGTACAATACCAAACACATACATACACAGTACCGTACAATACTGTAATGTAAGTGTTTTATATTTGCTAGTTTTGAGTGGGATATGTGATTTGTCAGATGATTTATTTTGTATCCGCTTGATGAATGTCTGAAGAATGTGGGGTTTTATTTGTTTAGACTTTACAGTACCATAACCATAGCACGTAGCGGAAACATTGATTGGTCATTGTGAAGTGAGTGGACGGAGGACTTGTTTGCAGGTGTCAATGCATCTATCTGCTACTTGTAGTCAAATCTGTAAAATGGAAAGAAAGATCCATCATCATAGAAACACCATACCTTATCAACCCATACGGGTTACCCGTATTCTTGTACGCCGTACGGACTTTTCAATACGGGGGGGAAATGTTTCTGTCTGTGTTTCTCCCTTATGATGGGACTTTGTGTAGGTTGAACGTTGAGATTTATAAGGGCACGGGATGACCAATAAGGTCTGAATTGGTCTCTAATAAGAAACCGTAAGTTTCAAACAACACACAGGCCTCAGTGGTTTTTGCCTGATGCACAGAGGCCGAGTGTTTTCGTTTGTTTATACAAACACGACCCGGGTTTTATGTGTGTTGTGTGAAATTCACTCCACTATTGTGTGCCAGCACAGCCCTTGACAGAGTCCCACTGAAGAAGGTGTGGCTCTGACACCTGAGCTGTTTCGTCAGTGTTCAGAGATCCTGAACTTCCCCGAGGTCAACTCAGCATTAAGTGAAGTGCCTCCCTCTCCTGCGGTTTGTAAGCATCAGCACAAGAAAGGTGCTGGTCATACACAACCACCTTGCACACTTTAATATTAGTGCTGACTATAACAGCACATGCACGCCGAGTTTGCATAGCTATAGGGCATTTGTGCTTGCTGCTGTGCATCTGCCAGTCATCTCAGTCAACCTGGGTCTGGCCTGTGACCTTCTCCTGTTAGCAGCGAGCGTGGCCTCAAAGTGCACCTAGCCTGGCACAAGAGCTGTTGGTGATGACACTATATTTTCAAGAGAGAGAGAGAGGGTGGGTCCTTGCCTAGAACATCTGGCATTTCATTAGCATTCGTTCTAGCAAGCTTGCATGCTCATATACTGAATGTCGAAACCGGTTTAGTTTTCGTGTCCTGAATCAATGCTGCTGAAATGATGCACTTCCTGAAGGCGGAGGGTGACAATGGATTGCGTAAAAGTACTTTTAGGTATTGATGTGGAGGGACATAGATATATGAAGAAGGTATTATATTACCTGCTTGTTTATTTTAGTTTCACCAGCATTAGTGCGTATTATGGGTTCACAGCATAGCCTGGTGCGGTATATGTGTTCGTGTGTGTACGTGTGTGTGTGTAAATCGGTGTGTAACTACGGTATGCGTGTCAGTGTGTGTGTATGCGTGGGTGTGGAGTGCTGTATGTGTGTGTCGGTATGAACATGTGTGTAACTGTATATGGATGTGTCTGTGGGCGTACATTAGAGTATATATTGTGTGTATATTCCTTTAAGGTGTCGTGTTAGGGTTACATTTCAGTATGTGACCATGAATTATGCATACATAACAAAGCGTCATGCTGGCACAATGCCAACAAGCCTGTGCACATGTAGCTAAATGAAGCGTGCCTTTTAGGCATTATTCATATATCACGTATGCTTCCACTCATACTGCACATATTGTACTCGTGATGCTGTCACGTCATGTGCAATAACTGGGCGGTGGTCATTTTCATCTCGAATTAGTACCTGAAATTCCACATTCATATGAGAAGAGCTCGGATTATTCACATCACTGCCAAAGTTATTTATTTATACATGTCATCCCAACATTTTTTTAATCCCGATTTTTACTGTCGGCTAAGGCAATCCCTTAATGTTTTTATTGACGTCAACTTTGTGGAGCACGTTATTTTTCTGATTGTTTTGCAGTTATTAGCGCTCAAGAGGCTGCAGACATCAACTAAAACTGGAAAACGTCCAGTTTTTATAATGTTTGGCATTTCCGCCCAGTTGTATCCTGGTTGCGCTATTAATGTCGTGTCATCAGATGAAGCATTCATTCGGATCTTTCGCAGAACAGTGCAACCCTCCATGTTAGTGAACGTCCCACAGAAGCGGACATCACAGAGCTACCTCTGGGACCACTTTCAAGTTGACTTCTGGTCCACACATAAAGGGGCGGCACTTCCCCAATCCACTCTGCATACCACAGTGCCGTCCGTTGCATGACGCCCCCAATATGAAATTTAGAAAAAAAAATTACCCGTAAAAACAAAGTTTTTCACTATAAATCCTTTATATGCGTGGCGGCTAGAGTCCTCTCGTCCTCTGGCTTGAGATGGCTGCCACCTATGGGTCAGATGATTGCCTGCCACCATTAAGCAATTGGTAATTAAATATAATTTCTTTTTTCCTAAAAAATGTCAAATTTCGGAAAAAAAATTTCACGAAAATAAATTGTCACGCACAACGAGTCTGTGTGGAAAATGTCTGCTCGATTGGATCACGGGAAGTGGGTTAAAAAACGACCGAAAGATTTGCACGGTCGTAAGCACGCAAACAAGCAAGTTAACTTAATATAAAGGATTTAATTACATTGTCGTGAATGTCACACCTCCCGTGACTTGCCGTCACTTCGTAAACAAGTCGAAAATGATTTGCAAGCACCTGATTTGAGGAAATGCATCATCAGTGTAAGCAAATCAATTTGAATAGATGCATATACGCATTGTTACATTCCTACTCTTTTTCCCGTGTGGTGTATGTAGAATCTGTAGTGGTGTGAATCTTCGGCATTTACAGTGGTAGCTGTACATAAGGAAGGAATGGACGAAAGTGGGGGAGGCCTTTGTCCACCGGAAGGAAGTTACAGGCTGACAATAGATATTTACTATAACCACGTAAGAACTTATAAGAATTGATGCCCACATGCATAGTCCGATGTATAGTGGATTAAATTGATGAGTCGTTACATGCCTCCTGTTTAATGTAAATAACTATACGTTCAGCCTACAAGCTTGAGCTGGAGCACGCAAGTATGCCAGGATTGTGTGGGCAGCGCCTGGAGGCTATAACCAAGCAGTCGTGTGGAAACTTTAAAAATACATTTTTGCACTCCTTTATTACACTCAGAGGTACAGAGAGAACAGATTTTAGAAGCTTGTGCCCATGGCACAGACATTGACTCGCCCGTGATCATACTCACCGCTCTGATTTTCATCGATGCCTTTTAAATCCTTTATCCCTGAATGGAGCCAAATGAGACAGGGCTGTTTTGAACTGACATCAAGTATCTTGTTGTTGTTCTTCATGCTTTGCTCTTCGGCACCGTTGGGGAACATCTGCTGTTGTTGCCTCAATGCATGAGTGCTGCCCCCAAGGTGTTCTGCTTCTTCCCTGATCTGTTTCGACGTCAAGTTATGGGTGGGCCAAGTGGGATAGGGCCTTGGGAGCTGACAGCACACATGGATGCACACATTAGGCCATGTGACCATTAACATCGACACGCATGCATAAAATCTCGTACGTGCGATTTAACACGGCATAGTCACAAATGTATTGTCACGATTCAGGGTTGTGCTTTGATTGAAGAATCAATAACTTGTCAACAATGTATGGGTTCCGGAGTAGCGTTAGGGGTCACAAAAACTAACTAGCTGGCACATATATTAATTGAAAATAGCTTCATGTTCCAGTGTGTGACAAAGTCACACACTGGAACGTGAAACATGCCTGACATAGTCTCACAAGCTTTGGAACGTACACCTCAACGTCACATAACAACAACAACACCCACCATTCGTCACTAAGTGGCGGTGACGTCACCACGGCGCCTGTGCCAGGCCAGGAGCACCTTGAGGCCACGTGAAGTGCCGAAGGGTCGCTGATGGGAGGTTACGGGACAGACCCAGGTGCCATGGTTTGACTGAGATGACTGGCAGATGCACCAGCTGTGCCCCCTACTATGTCAACGTCACATACACGCACTGGAACATTAATAACACACGCATATACGCTGGAATTACGCACCTGTATATATGTATGTTGAACCTCCGTACGTAGCCAACCGTGCTAATCGGAGGTGCGGGGGAAGGACAACAAACTAACACAAAAAAGCAGTTCTTAAGAAATTAGTTTTCAATCTAGATTTAAAAGTGCATCACTCCAGTGGCTTCCTAATATCGGAAGGAAGAGCATTCCAGACAGCTCTAGAAGTGCATATGAATGTGCGAGATGCATTGAACGTTTTTGTTCGATGGCTAGCTAAAATCCACCGCGAGAGTAACCAGAGTTCGCGTGATGGTTTATGCTCCTTGACGAGAAAATATAACACAGTCACGTGCACATTGGAACCTAAACTCCGCCTTGACACATTTACAAATTCCTGCACAGCCGGTGACCTTTCCCACAGGAGTGATCGTGTCACGAGTCGCCTTCTCTATTTGCATTCAGTCGTTAAGGCACTGCCCCCATTAACGTCCCATTCAGAGCCATGAGCAGGCTGCTCTGGTAGTTTGTGCGCACACAGGGGCGAAACGGTGAACTTTGTTCCCTCAGTCTCTCTGTCGTCGAGGCGGAGTTGACCAATTGAAGGGTGAATCGTGCACAGGTGACAAGGGGGACATCTTGGAGGACGTGGGTGTGTGATACTGCATGTCTGCATTACTTACCTTTCCACACACATGTGATTCACGCACACACAATTGTAACGCATTGAGTTACGATCTTGATCATCTGGTTCAATTTCTGGTTATCCTACAATGTTAGTGGTCTAGTGGTATGTGAACCTATATGGGGTTTTATTTGATAAAGTCAACCTAGAAATGGTTATCTCTTGCAAACATTGTCACTTATAAAAGTGACTGGGTATGGTTCTGGCCACACCACCACCCCAGTTTGTCTGCTGTTGTGGCCTTAATAGTTGGTCTACAAGACTAAATGTCGATCTTTGTGTTTTCAGTGTGTAGTATATATGCAATTTGTTTGCCTATTTTTATTGATGTTTATCTCAAGTGCTTAATTACGTTATAGCAATTTCAACATGGAAAAGCCTCACTAAGTCTCAAGTCAGCATGTTTTACCAAATACTTATTGAAAAATTCTGCTTGAAGAAAATCCCCACACAAACAAGGAAGAGCACTTAAACTACAAGTTCTCCCAACATTTCCCTGCTTTGCAGGCTGCCTCCTACCCTGTCCTTCAATGCCCCCAGCCCTACCCGAGCCAGCAGGCACTGTTCCGTGCACCCTCCCCTTTCCCAGCCCTCTGGTCGCCGTGCCCCCCATGCCCTCTAACCCATGGCACCCCTCCCGGTCCTGGCTCAGGCCTGACTCTGGAGGATGAGGACCTCGCGTTGCTGGTGCGGGGCTCGACGGTGCTCAAGGCAAGCTCCACGGGCCGGCGGGGCCGCCGCGTCATGTCCTTGCGAGACGACTGCTCGGCCGTGCGGTGCAGCTCCCGCAAGCTCAGCAAACTGCGCAAGCGCCGCACCATCTGTGAGTCGAGATCGCCACACCCCAGCCTGGGTACAAAGCCACCCATGGATGAAGATCCAGCTGGGCTGAACACACATTCCGGATACATGCCCAGCCTGGATAAATAGCTACAGTACAATCACAATATCGATTTATCGCAAGATGCTGTACTAAAACAGTACGCATACATCTTCTTGGTTCTTTCGGTAAAGTCACGTAGAAGGGAAGTAATAAAATAATAAAAATAAAACATAATAAAATAATTCTCACGACGTTTCGGCCACAACGCAAGCAGCCGTCCTCAGGTGAAACCCAGGTCTGTCGAGGCGACAGCGTCTGAATGAAACAGCACCATGCTTGGAGCATATATTTAAGCTGGGTTGGAAGGGGGGGAAAGGGCGCCTTGACAAAATAATTTGCATATCAATAGGAATTTAGCATATTTATGGGAAATGCAGGTATGTGATTAGTACTACTTATGCCCATGCATTATGCAGGATTAGCAGCATCAAAGGGAGGGGATATGGGAAATGCAGGTATGTGATTAGTACTACTTATGCCCGTGCATACATATTCTCAAGAGTGAGCGAGTCAATTGCAGGCAGAGGGAGAAGAGGAAAGTCTTGAACATGGACTCGAACAGGAGCAGGGAGTTGACAGCACGGATGGCGATGGGAAATACGTTTTAGATGATGAGGCAGGAGAGGAGATGGACTAATAAAAACCGTGTTCAGTCACGAGATATATATTCATGGGCCTTCAGTCTTGGTGAACCTTAAGAGGATAATGGTGTTTAGAGGGGAGCCCTGCAAAACATGTGTCTTAGACAATGCTTTTTGACGTAGGGCCGAGGTTGATTGTCCTACTCTGTGTTGATGCAGACGTACACTCGAGTAGCGCTTCATTTCTCACTAAACGTATTCCAGCTCATTGATAGACTGGGGTTACTCAAGCCTCTCATCCCTACCGAGTGCTTGCATCAGTGCTTCTCTCGCTGCTGGTCCCTCCCTCCCTTCGCTGTCTGCGCATCTCACAGTTTCCATTAGCGACCTGGTCGAGGTGCGCGAGGGCTGCCAGACGGAGACGCCGCGCGCCCTGCCGTCCGGTTCCGGGGCGGCTCCGGGGACCGGCGGAGGCAACAGCAACGGCAACAACAGCGGTGGCGACGGCGCCGGGAGCAGCGGCGAGGATGGGCGGCAGCCAGCGGCGGTGCCCGGGCGCGTGGACCCTCAGCGCTGCTTCACGCTCGTGTTCCGCGGGCGGCAGGCCAACCTGGACCTGGTGGCGGACAGCGCCGAGGATGCCCGCCGCTGGGTGCACTGCCTGCGCAGCCTCTCGGAGCACTCGCGCACAATGGACACCCGGCAAAAGCTCGACACATATCCTGGCGCACGTTCCGGTGCCGGTGCTAGTCTCACCGCGACCGGGCACCAAGGGTGGCCCGTGGGATTGAGTTCAGAGCTTGGTTATTGTAATATTTAATTGTAAGAATGTGATCAAGCTTTAATACTTATCACGAGATAATTTTTTGAAGGAGGGTCTTGTATTAGAATATTTGGTCAAATTGTAAAAAAAAAAATTGTGGATTTTTTCTATCTTATGTGTGTGTGTGTGACAGCTCACCAGCTTTGGTACAGGGTGGATATAAGATTTAGTGCCGAGTGTAACTTGCTGAGATATCTGCCTGGCTTCTGGACGTTTTTTTTTTTTACCTGTGCATGAGTTTTTTTTTTCCTGAGTACTCCCAATTTTCTGGAAATAACAAACAGCAGGATTCTCCCGACAAAGTATTGAGACTCGGTGAGGCTTTCCTGCAACCCTTACCTCTTAAGCAACGAATGCCTGGTCTTCACTGTGGTGAAGTCAGCGATGGGAGAATATCATAAAGCTCGTATTCAGTGAGCCCTGCCTGCCATGCCTTCCCCTCCATCCCATGTCTCCTGCTGTTGTCTTCCTTAACCTGCCATTCACGTGGCTCTACCGTAGCTTCAGGAAGGCCGACAAGAACAAGGATAACCGGATGACGTTTGACGAGGTAAAAGACCTCCTCAACACGCTCAATGTCAACATGAACGAGGCGGAGGCCAAGAAGCTGTTTGACGTAAGTGCCGTCTTGCTCGCAATCCCTTCAAAATGGGGTCACCTCGGTTTATGCTGAGTTGACCTAGTGGATGTTCTGTCCAGGGTAGGATTTGTTGGTTATGTGCTTTGTGGGCAAGAGTGGAACACAGGTTGCCATAATCGTAGTGTAGAGACCTCACTAAGCTCTATGACAACCCTTGGAGCTTTATATACTGTAATGTAAATGTATCGTACAGCCCTTTATAAAGCCACTGTTGGATGCTCTCCTCCCCAAGCCATACCGGTCATGGTTCTTATTTAACCATACTTCACTACGCTGGTGAGTACTGGCTGGTGAAGACCCGGATTGGAGAGTCTGTTGGGTTCATAGTGTAGAGCGATAATAACTGCACTACCCCTTTGTACAATGAATTTGTGCAATACAGAATAAGTTGGATGTATATAGCATATAAATATAACTACGTTCCACAGCGCTGTAGATTCAGAGAGCAACTAAACACAACTGTATCACAAGGCCCTTCGGTATGAGAGGGGCGTTAGATTGGGATAGAAATTAAAGAAATAACGAAGGGAGGGAGGGTTGTGTACGCAGGGAAATGACTCAACAGGGAAGGTTCCTGTCGCAATGCAATAACTACTACTTAGAAGCGTTGGTGTAGTGGTTGGCGCACTGTGATATGAATTCTGCTACCTGAGTTCAAGTTCAATTCTGGTCACGGCTAATATCATTGTCAAGTAATATCCGAATCGGTCCTGGGTTGCCCCAAGGTCAACTAAGCCTTAAATTAGTACTTTTGTACATATCGGCACTGGGGAGACAATGGTGGCCAGCACCCCTAGTGCACATTTCAGGTGTTCATAGGTGCTCACTAACAGTCTGTTACAGGCTATACAGGGAGCTTTGTCTTTGCTCACATGTACACATGCTCGCACATGTGCTTTGGACGATCGGACGTATTCACATGTCCACATTTTTCTCACGCTCACAAACACGCAGTCTCATTTGCTCACACGTACACGTTCTTACGTGCGCTAACACATTCACGCACACTCGCTGTCTCACATGACCACACGTGCACACATATGCTTACTCGCTCACACATACATACACATGCTCATATACACACACACGTTCACACCTATCTTTCTTTGCAGCGTTTTAATGGACTTTTAGAGCAAGGGGGTGGGTGGCGAGCACCATGCTCAACCACCTTTGTCTCCCCAGTACTGATGTTTGCACACCACAGCAGGTATTCATTTAAGGCTTAGTCGACCTAGAGGAGGCACACTACCAGTTCAGTTATTCGTCACTGTTTTTGGACATGAGCTGCAATCGAACTCGGATCGCCGGGTTCGTAGCACAGCGCACGTACCTCTCCACTACGACTCTCCATGCACACAAGCTCATACGCTGCCTCGTGTGCTCATACGCTGCCTCGTGTGCTTATACGCTGCCACGTGTGTGTGTGCTTCACAGGAGAGTGACAGCTCGCACACGGGCAACCTGGTGGAGGGCGAGTTCGTGCAGCTGTTCCGGAGGCTGACACGGCGCGATGACGTGACGACGCTGTTCAAGCGCCTCTCCCCGGACGGGATAGGGCTGCCCGCCGCTCGGCTCGCCCAGTTCCTGCGGGACGAACAGCACGAGGAGGATGACAGCGAGCACCGCGCCGCATGCATCATTGCCGAGCACGAACCGTTGGATGAGGGTACGTGTCTCGGACAGACAGCTCACCTCGCCGATTGAACGAGGGACGGATATTGTTTTTTTATGTATGGAAACGCACAAAGCAAACGGGTCTCATGTTGAAGCTACGTACCTAGGCTGTGCTTCCTGTGTCTGTCCATCACAAGTTTGAAGCTTCAATAATGAGAAACGAGGAAGAAAAATAATGCGGAGCCGGCAATCGATGAGTCCTTACATTTCACCAACCCCTCATGGATTGCTGAATCACCCCCCCCCCCCCATGGGGATTTGAACTCCGGAAACTTCCGATTGCGAGTTGAGTACTCGAACCACAGCGCCACCAGCTGCGGCAGAGGGCAGGAATCAAATGGTTTGCATTCATTTGCGGCACGCGGGTCCAGGCCGAAGTGAGGGACTGATGACGCTGGATGGTTTCGTGCGCTACCTGACTTCCCCGGACGGCTCCCTGTGGGACCAGCGGCACGACTTGGTCAGCCACGATATGACGCAGCCGCTCAGCCACTACTACATCTCCTCGTCGCACAACACCTACCTCACGGACGACCAGCTCCGCGGGCCCAGCAGCACTGAGGCCTACGTGAAGTACGCTCAATATGCAGCCCACACCATTGCCAAGTTCTCGTACAGGTTTTTTTTATTGTCGGGAGTTTTTATTTTAAAGTGCCCTGGCAGGCTCTGCATTAAGAGTGCTCTGTAAGAGCAAAATTGTTCTTCTGCTATCGCTTTGGTTTGTTTGCCCCAGAAGGTTATATTTACAGATCGAGTTCTGAAGTGCTTCCAATTGGCCCTTTTTGTCATATGATCAAAATGTATTAGTTTTCACAGGTGGAATATGCTCGATTTGGTGAAAAAAATGTATGTAACGTGTTTTTATTGTACAGTCATAGGTGACTGGGTTGCAGCCATTATATCAGCATATTCGCGAGGCCAGTTTGATTATGGCTTGCTCAAACCTGAATTTGAAGTCAAGGTCTCAGCATTGCAAGCTCATTATCTGACTATGATCAATCCACTGCTGGATTAAAGCCTCTTTAAAGTCACCCGCCATGTTTTCTAGTCACGCGATGTTATTATTGCTAGTGCTACTTTTCTATCGTGGCGTTCTCGTTGCAGGTCGCTGATGCGGGGCTGTCGTTGCGTGGAGCTCGACTGCTGGGACGGGGCGGATGGGGAACCGGTCATCTACCACGGCTACACGCTCACCTCGCAGATTTTATTCCGAGACGTCATCACCAGCATCGCCCACGAGGCCTTCAAGGTGATGTGCCGGTCAAACGATCGGGAGGATTGGCGGGCGGGCGGGTGGGCAGGCGGGTGGGCGGGCGGGTGGGCGGGCGGGTGGGCGGGCGGGCGGGTGGGCTGGCAGGTGAGCGCTTGGGTCGGCTGGTCGTGCCGCACTGTGGTCACCCACTTGGACGCAGTTGGTCACAGGGGTATTTAGCTATTTTCAGGAGACACACGTGTAATGCAGGCAAGTACAGGTGACGCACACACATCACACAATTGAACGGGGGTGACACGCGTGACACACAGATGAACATTGGTATTCACAGGTGACACACGTGTATAAAACACACACGACACATAGGTATTTACTGGTGATACACGTGTGACAATAATATAGAGGTGACACATGTGATGCATGTGAACACAGTTAATTACATAGTCAATTACAAGTGACACACATTTGAACACACACGTGTACACACGATCACAGGTAACAGCAGGTGACTATGTGACCACAGGTTCCATCATATTACTGGAGGTGACAATCGGGTACAAATGTTTTAATCAAAAAATGAATTTTAAAGGCAAACTCAAAATCGTCTCCCAAAAAACACGATCTCCTAGTTTCTCAGATTCGAGATTAAGCCCCCGAGGGTTGATGGAGGGCGTCGTCGCGCCCAGTGTCTCACTGCGGGCGTGCGTGTGTGCCCTCGGCGTGCAGGCGTCGGCGTACCCAGTGATCCTGTCCTTGGAGAACCACTGCAACGTGGAGCAGCAGATAGTGATGGCGAGGCACCTGCGCTCCATCCTGGGCAAGCGGCTCGTTACGGCACCGCTGCCCGGGTGGCCCCCCACTCAGCTGCCCTCCCCAGAGGTAGTCGTCATGCCGACGGGTACCCCATCAGCGCGGAGGATGAAAAAAGAAAAAGCAGGATAAAAAATACCATGCTTTAAACGGTGTTTTAACAGTCAAGCATAGGAGTATAAAATGTTAGTACTCGCAGCTGGAATACGCTGAATGAAGTGAAAAAACAATTTAATGTTGGATTGGTCATTTGTCTGAGACAACCAACTCACTACCGCCTCACTGTGTTTGGTGTCTCAAGCCTGTGGCTCTTTGATGATCTTTGGAGTGTTTGACACGGCGCATTCATTCCTCTTATGGGTTTATTTCTCAACACAAAATCATTATGAGGCTTTCTGTCAATACGAACATTTCTAGATATTTCATTATCGCCATCATCTATAGAGTGTCTATTCTGAAACAAGTGTTGACCAGTCTCTCAAAAATGCTCATTGTTGACTTCCAATAAATTGGGAATTGATGTGATTTGAACCTGCAGCCTTCTGATTGCGAGTCAGCCACTTAAAAATTACGTTGCTGGTGGGAGCGGTACTGTTGTGATGTAGACTTTATCACGCAGATGTGTGCCGTGCCGGCTTTAATAGGTGCTCGCAAACAGCACTTGTTATAAGTCTATCCATGGCTGCACAGGGGAGCCTAAGCACGTTGCTCTGAGCTTCCTCCTCTCTCTCTGTTGGCAGGAGCTGAAGGGGAAGTTTCTCATCAAGGCCAAAAAGCGGAGCGAGCCTGTGAAGAGCGAGGCTGAAGGCAACGGCGGCGGCGTGCAGATCGACTCGGCCGGCGCCACGACTGCTCCGAGCGAGCTCACGGGCAGTGACAGCACTGCGGACAAACTGTGCACGGGCATCGAAGACACCCGGTCTGAGCCAAAGCCAGAGCCACCGCACACCAACAATCAGCCTGAGACACAGGCTGGAGCCCATTCAGAACCTCAGCCGGATCTCCAATCTGAAACATGGCTGGAAAGCCAACCACAGCCAGAAATCCGGCCTGAAACACATGTCCAGACAGAGGCAAACCCAAGCAGCATGTGTGCCAAAGATGAGAGCTGGCCGAGCGATGCTGCGGTGCTCAACGAAGAGGAAGGGGACATCCCGTTCATCGATGGAGACAATGAAGTCACGGATGGAATTGCAGATGGGGTCACCGGTGGGGTAACGAACAGGGTCACAAATGAGATTAAGGATAGGGTTGCAACTGAGGTCGCGGTTGAGGTCGTGGATGAGGTCACGGATGGGGTCAAAGGGAAGCAGTCAGAAACCAAGGGCATGGGACTCAGGAGGAGTCTCTTGATGAAAGTTGACAGCTTAACAAGGCGTTCATCGGGGTCTGGCAGTGTCAAATCCTCTGCCAAAGGTCTGGGGCAGGTGTCGGACACCGACAGCGATGTGTTTGAAGACAGCAAGCCGTCGACGGGAAAGCACAAGTCCTTAAAGGCGGAAAAGTCAAAAAAGAAGGTACTGCTGTTCTAGCTTGTCAATTATAACATTAAGAATATCAATGCTGGGCTGTAATAACTCAGGGTGATCTAAAATGTAGTTCTCTGAGATAAATACTATCTCATGCAACGAACTTTTGCGTATTGTTTTTCATTTTAAAAGGAAGTTTCCAAGGAGCTATCGGACTGCGTCGTGTACTGCAATGGGGTGCACTTCGTGGGCCTCGAGAGGGCGCAGAGTCATCAGAAGGGGAATGAGATGTGCTCCTTCTCCGAGACCAAGGCCATGGGGCTCATCGAGACACAGGGTGAGTCTTATGCGGCTGAGATCACAACCTGAGTAACAGGCGAGGTGAGAGGGCAAGGTGATTGGCTGAGGACACAGGGTGAGGTTGCAAACTTGGTTGTAGACAACCAAAGGCCTCGCCTTCTTTTTCAACACTGTATAATTAAAGTGCCGTATATAACGAGCGCTTGGGTTGTGTGTTCGAGACCAGATGGAGGTGACTCACGAAACCTGGTCATGACATCTTTGTAGAGGCGTGAGCTCACTCCGCAGAGAAGTTAGAGATTAACCGATTCACCTGCTCCATGATTCCATGAATTGTCAGGTGTTCACTTCACACGGTACATGCAGAACCCGTAGCGGTATAAGTTATCTAAACATCTAAACATGTACATGTCGGACAATTTGTCCTGCAATGTTAGCATCACGGGGGCGTAATGATTTACCCCATCACTTCCCACATAAATTGTCACGTGTATTCGAGTCCGTATTTGTGTATAACTTCACTGCACATGGATACTCTTTGGTTCTTTCGGTAAAGTCACGTAGGAATAAAATAAAATAAATAACGAGGTTTCGATGGCAACACAAGCGGTCGTCCTCCAGTGGAAAAAATATAATCAAGCAGTGGAACTGCTGAATAATCGTGCCCTTCATTTATCCAGGAAGGAGATTTTTTATTTTGTGTCTGGTTTCCTAGGTTAATTGCGTGCGTTATTTTTTTTTGTCTTGGCAGGTAACGCGTTTGTGCGGTACAACATGCAGCACCTCAGCCGCACCTACCCCAGCGGGACTCGCGTTGGCTCCGGGAACTACAACCCCCACGAGATGTGGAACGCCGGCTGTCAGATTGGTAACGAGCAGCACGCCGCACGTGATCAATGTTAATGTGAAACATTATTATTGAAACAAATATTGTGTATGTCTGATTCATCATTCATTCACGTTTAACCATTAAGTCCAGTTTCTCCCCCTCCAGCTGCAGAACCACACGTCGTAATTTTAGAAAAGACCCCGACATATTAAAAACCTTCACCCGACATCCATCAGAGGTCCAACTTTCATAACGACTGAACGTCCAGTGTTGGTTAACTACTGCGACAGTGTTGCTTATCATCCACCACCCATGCTATGAATTGCGCGAAGGTGTTTATTTATTTTCACCAACCACACGCCGCCCTTACTCAATGGCTGTGTTTGTTGTTCCCTCCTGTCCATGTGTCCCTGGCTGCAGTGGCACTGAACTTCCAGACCCCGGGCAAGGAGATGGACCTGTACGACGGCCTCTTCCGGCAGAACGGCGGCTGCGGCTATGTGCTCAAGCCGTCCTGCCTGCGTGATCCACACACCGACTTCGATCCCGGGAACCCGGCACGGGGCACGGGCCGCCACCCGGTCAAACTCGCCATCACCGTGCGTTTCCCTCCCACGCGTCCGCACCACGTGGCAAATCCCACCAAGGCCGGAATACGCCAGGGCAGGGTTTTTGGAATGATGGCCCACGGGCAAGATTTGACCCTTAATTCTTCTTTGAGCGGTCCACCGAGCTGTGGTCCAGAATAGTGTGATGAAATAAAGATAAACTAGAAATAGAGATGAGAGCGCTGTAGACAAGAGATAAATATTAGTGAGATTATGGCGAAGTAAACAAGAGAGACACGAGAGACGACCAGCCTCTTTTGCTCCTCTTATTAATTGTGACCACGCCGGCCCACGTGTGCAGGTGATTAGTGGGCAGCAACTGCCCAAGGAGAGGAACAGCCGCCGGGGCTCCATCATCGACCCGTTAGTGAGCGTGGAGGTCCACGGGGTGCGGGGCGACACAGCTGTGCGGGAGACGCGCCACCAGGAAAACAACGGTACGTAACACCCCACAACCACCATTCTACCCTGCTTCATCGGCACCAGGGACCTTTAGTAATGATGATGAACTGTAAAATTGTTCATCTTTTGGCTTTTGCAATATGATTAACTCCCTCCCCATTTATCTATTTTTCTGGATGAAGAAATAGAAATAGTTTTTTTAATTAAAGAAAAATATTGATTCTGTGGGGGACAAATGGTGAGCACTTCAGCCCTGAAGTTCCCAATGTGTTATCTGGCCAGTGTGGTTAAGTTTGGTCAAACAATCTCCATGGCTGGTACACAATACAATTATTTTTATTTATTGATGCTATTAATAATGTGTGGTTGTGATTTTTCATTGAAAGGCTAAATAAAAATAAAACTGATTTATTTTCCCATTGAGAATGAATGAAACTTGAGAATGGTGATGAAGACAAAAGAATTAAGATCGTGATCTTTATTATCTTGATCATGATTGGCATCGGTGATGTTGAAGAACATAATATTGAACGTGATGATGATGGAGGGGGGGGTGACTTGTTATCCACCCAGGCCTGAACCCCATTTGGAAGGAGGAGTTCTCATTCCAGCTGACTGTGCCCGAACTCGCCCTCATCCGCTTTGTCGTCAAAGACTACGACGTGACTTCACGGAACGACTTTATCGGCCAGTTCAGCCTGCCCTTCTCCTGCCTCAGACAGGGTACGCAAAGCAACGATACGGTAGCTCAGAGCCACTCGTGTGTAAAGAGAGAGACGGGGGGTGAGGTGGCTGGGTTTCCTGGGGGGCTCAGACTGTGTCAGAGACACTGGGTTTAAGCCGTCTCTGATTTAAACTGGGTTCTCAAATGTAGCAAATTGATAGTCTTAGCTCGGTCACCAGTGACTTGTGCAAAGAGACAATTATATCAAATTAGGATTGCCACTAAGAGCATTATAAACTATCTCCGATTTGCATAGTTGGCTATGTACGGTGCAAAAGAAGTTCAATATACATACATATATGAAACAAACAGTTGGATTGACATGCAACGAACACTCTTCGAGGAGCACTTACTGTAAAAATATGTGGCCCTATTGCTGATAGCGAGCATATTGGAGGGTTAAGTAGTTCCGTGACATCACCTACCAGGGTCATTCTATGAAACAATGTGGTTCACTGCTTACTGAAAAAGTTCTGAAGGGAATGTATTTTTCTCTTGATGTAAATTTGATAGGACAAGTGTATATCTATGGTGAGGGGAAAATGAAATAACGCAAAAAAAAGCCTAAGGATGAGGTTATTCAGCGATGAAGCTCGGTTTAGATTTATATTGATATAAATAAACTGGAAAGTTGTCTTTTTATGGCTGACATAAAGTCGCTTTTATTTAACTTAACGATTTTCTTGTTTTCCTTCAGCATTTATTTAAATGGGGAAAACATTGGACCGGTTGAGTCTCATCAGCAGGATACACTGTTCACCCACGTCGTTTCTCATGATCCCCCCCTCTCCCTTCACAAGCTGTCCCCTCGCTGCGTAATCCTACGTGCCTGCTGTTAATCCCATTAAAGCGTCTCTCCATGTTCTGTGTTGCAGGCTATCGCCACGTCCACCTCCTGTCGCTGGATGGCCGGAGCCTCTTCCCTGCGACTCTGTTCGTCCACATCCGTATCACAGAGCTGAAAAAGATCGAGGGCCTAGATCAAGGATTGTAGATTGTGGGATGTAGATTAAGGGGCATAGATTGAGGGGTGTAGGTCACGGGTAGTAGTTCTGAGAGGAGTAGATAACATGATGTAGATCTAGCGGTGTAATTGATAGTGATAGATCGGCGGATTTTGATCAATGGAGGCGATATAGCGGCATAGACCAAAGGACGTGGATCAAGGGATGCTAGCTGAATCCCTTTATATGCAATTTTGTGTGTGGACAGGGCACACCTGTGTAAGTTCTCATTAGCCAAACTGTTTTTCTGGAGGCATGTAAGTCACCTTTTTGGAGTCGGGTACACTGTGTGCAGTCTTTGACATTTTAAACGTTTTTATCATAAATGTTTAGCAGTTTTAATATAGCACAATGTTATCCCAGCAGATTACATAGTTCTGTTTTTTCTGCAATAATTGTGCATTGTAAATAGTTTGAAAGTAAAAGGAAAAAAACTTGGAATCGTTTTTATGAAAAAATACAAATTTTGATGTAATAGAATTGTTGAAGGTGAGCTGCCAAACAGCAATAGCTTTTAATTCAACCAATGTTTACAATTGCAATACAAATTTACACTAATATACAGTCATGAGTACTTCGCTACAAAATGACGCTCGTATGAAGCCATTCTCATTTCATTTATTGTGGGCAGTGATGTGGCCCAGCAGTAGCGCTTTTGCTGCTTGTTGCAGAGGCTCACGGTTCTAATCCAGCGGCCACCCTGGTTATTACTGCAATAGTAGGCCACTGTGTGCCAGCGTATGGGTCCAAATTTGCCAAATTCGACAAATTAGTCAATTGGGATTATAAACAAAACAGCAATCATCACGCTCCACTGGCAGACTACATTAACACCATGGAAATGAGAACTGGTTAAACAAAGAAACAATGTTACCGTGTGTTATAGTTTTTTTTAAATCAAACTTAAACTAACGAGGTAATTGGTCACATGGCCAAAATACAATCATATGTGGGGTTTTTTAAGTGTAGAAGAGTTGTAAGTGTGGCAGAGTTTTAATAAATAGCAGTAGAGACAGGTTACCTCTTTAGAGTCGATTTCAGCAGATGCTAATTGTCAACCTCCATTTCCAATAAGTTTAAATATATGCCAGTGAGGCAATTGTTATTAATTGAAACTGTTTTTTAGCAGAAAGGTGGATTGCAGTCTGATGTATCAATTGAAAGGAAATATTGACAAGCACTATCTTGTGACATTCATGTTTTGACTGCTGTATAGTCTTGAGTCGCTCATTACTTTTAAACTACACACCAAAGCAATCCAGACGATTTTGTAAGACAAATACCGCAAAAAATGATATTGACACTATCATAGAAGATTTTGCCAAGGTTATTTGCATAGTGATTTTAATCACTGTTGCAAAAATACATTAAGGTTCAAATCAGGTGGTTCTTACGTAACTACGTTTGAATTACTGATACCATCCTATATCGTTAAGCATGCCATGGTGCATACATTTTATTATTACGCCCGCAACGACATGTCATGAGAATAATTGTTGCCATGGTATACAAACTAAACTCAAACGATATGTTAATTTTACATTTCAGCTCATGTGGCGAACCAAACTGTACAAACAGGAAAATAAAGACACGGTATACATATGTGCGGGGGGGACGGACAACTATAAGCGGCGCGAAACAATCAATTCTTGAATGGAATGACAACTTAAATTAAGGGGGGTGTGGGGTGGAGGAGAAACGGGTAAATTGCCTGCAGCTCATGGTATGTTTTTGTGGTGGAAACTGAGAGATGCCTCAACAGAATTCTCATGGGATTGTCTTTGTAATTTCTGGAAAAGCATAGCAACCATACGTAGTTTCACCTCTGTACTTTTAGAAAGACGTGCTATCACAATTTTCACACTGGTCGGTATATTATTACAGACATTTACCAGGGATTTTTTTTAATATATAAAACTTTTGTCACTTTTTATATGCTGTGGTGCATTTTATAAATACTGAATTGTTGCAATACAGCAGATAACATTGTTTATGCCACACTGCTTTGTATGAAAAAACTCAACTTTAATATTGAAGAGGAGCGTCTTATCTCAATGGGCCTTACCAAAGAGAAACTGGCTGAATATTAATGATTGTTTACATTGCCGAATTCAGATTTTTATGTTTGTGGTCATCTCTGATAGAGGCCCTAAAATATAATTGCGTGGCTGAATTGGTACTGTTATAAAAACACTTTTAAATGCTCATGGCTGTTTTTGATTAACATTAAAAGCTTTATACACTCCTACAAAATATACACTTGGAGGAATTATTTTGTTGATTATTGAAACAGTTTAAGGACCATTTTTTTACATTTATAATTCACTGGGTTACACGATATGCTTTAATGGGTTTCTAAATTTTTTTACAACATATCAATTGTAAGAAATTGTGAATTTGATAGATGTTTTGCATTTTACACTTTTGAACTGACATGTAATAGTGATACGTATGTTTCTGCACTACTTTTGAAAGAAGATTGTTTCTACTTAATGTTGCGGACGTTTCTGTCACGGCTTTCTTTTTAAGCTGTTTATCACGTTGGTTTTAAAGCTTTTCCTTTTTAATATTACACTACAGTAATACATATCACTGTAATTGCAATGTTCTACTTTTGTGTATTTTCTGTAGCATTTAATCTTGATATTTTATATGTATCAGAATGTAATATTACTATGGTACTCCCATTGTAGCAGTTTCTGCTTTTCAAAAATGCAATAATTGGGAAATATGGTTTGTTGCATTAAATATTTTTTTCCCTCTTTGACTTGTTGTGCCATAGGAATGGGGAATTTCCACCACTGGCTCAGGACTGTAAACAGGAGATGTGCAACTACGCCACGTTAATTTGAACACGAAGCCTCTTTCGCTTTTGAGATGGAGATGCAAGGGTAATAAAAGTATTTATAAAGTATTACATTAAGGTAGATTATGTGACTCGCCGCAAGTTGCCAACTTTTTGCTTGAACTACCTCGAGTGATGATACTCTACACAACATTTCAGTGGTTTCGTCAGGCACTGTGTTAATTTTGAAATAAACCAAGAGAAAACTCGGTTGAGTGGTGTTCAGATAGCAAAAATAACAGTTTCCATGGTAGGACGGTGAGAGTGTTGTATCTAAGGGAAAACCACTTGCATACACCTGCAAAATCTGTACCAAAACATATGTAAATTTGGTGGAAAAGTTGGCTGTTCCAACAAAATATTATCGCATACACGGGTTTAATTTCAACAACCAGCCAGTTTAGCAAATGCTTGCTTTGTCTTTTGTTTATATTCAGTAGAACAATATAAATTAAAATATCTCCCAAAGTAAACTTCATTTATTCCATCACGCACTCTAAACATTTTTGAACCGTAGCATTTCCAATAAGTTATATAAACCCACTTTGGCTTTAGAGGTAACCCCTCCTATCTGGCAGGGCCCTGTAACACTAACACGCCCTCAAATACCCTAGTCACGATAAGGACCGCCCGGTGGTTGCACGACTTCTGATTGGCTGTCGGGGTGTGTGGGGGGGGGGCGGCGACGGGAAAAACAACGCGCGCGATTGGTCGAAGCGTCCTGCGTGCCCTCCTCGCGACCAATGGCGAGAGGGCGTCGCGCGTGCGAGCTATGGAATTAAATCGCTCGCACCGAGCCGTGCAGAACGCGACGATGGTGGTGGATGAGGTTGGTTGAGACGCGTTGCGTTGCATTGTCGAGCGCGCTTTTGTTTTAGTTCGTTCAATTGTTAGCAACCCTGTCGTCTGCAGGCTAAGCTCGACGTCTCGACAGACACGAGGGCTGAGTTGCGTGTGAGTTGCGTGTGAGTCGAATGTGCAGCGATAAAAGTGCGCCAGTTACGGAGAGGCTGGAGGAGAGAACACTTTCATCGTCACCACCGTCTTCATCATCATCATCTTCTTCTTCTTAACCTCGTCTTGTTTGTTGTGTGCGAGCGTGAACGGTGCGAAAGTAATATATCTGCGTGTTCTTGTTGCAAAGATTTTACGGGGTCAATTTCGCAGCAAATTGACATTTGACCTTTGACCTCCGCTGTCAGTGGGGCTGGCAGCATTTGTGAATTGTTTTAGATTAATTCGCGTGGTCAAGTTATTCGTGGCGTTCTTTCTTTTGGTTCCCCGCCGTATAAATGTGTCACTTGCACTGGGGTCTGTAAACTTGGAATGCAGTCCTCTGCTGACCTTTTGACGTATTTGTCAAAGTCACTGCTTTCCCGAGACTCTGAAAGAGTACGCATTGTTGCTTGAGGTTCTACCATGTGGAATAGATGCCTTTATTACACACTTGTTGCTATTATTGTACAGGGCACTCACTGTATTATGTCTTGTGCGCGGTAACAAGAGATGATGCTAAATTAGGGTCGTATAGGCACACCAGCAGCTATAAACAGTGTCCCACAATTGCCGAAGGTAACTAAGCTGTAACCCAGTTTTTATATTAGCTTCACTTTCTAAAAAAAAAAAACTCCGCAAATGGTGGGTAGGTTTTTTATTTCTGGCAGCACCAGTGAAAATATAAACCTCTTTATTGGACTCCCGTTTGTTTACTTGGCCTCTTCCCAGTGCCCACGAGAAGCAACGCGATTCTAAACAACAGCGGTCTTTTACACTCCTCGTTAACCATGGTGTTACATAAGCCATGCATATTGTAAATACTGTACAGGAGCATTTGGCGTGCATTTAAAAAAATAATACTGGTGAAGAATAACGAAAATAACAAAACCATTTTTTTTAGAATCGTATGCATTGGAATGTTTGGCCACGTTTAAGGAGTGGTTTGCATGGGCATGATGAAATTGGAGAGCCAGGGAAAATCCGACATGTATGTGAGAGGACGATGCATCCTCCGGTTTGTGTAGTCTGGTTCACCAGCCAATTGTTGTACTACTATATCGGTGATTTTTGGAGGTTTACCAAGAAATTCACTGTGGGTGTACGTTAATACACATACGGCTATAAATGTGTTCTCACATATTGTATAAGGTGTTGAATTTAAAGCAACTCGCCCTGGTTTTTTTGTCATACACCTGCCTCCCCTGTATTAGTTGCTTTTGCACTGGAGAGCAGGACACACCAGGTAGAGAACATGGAGGAGTGTCACAGTCTGGAGCAGTCAGGAAAGTATGTGGACCAGGACACAGAAGAGAAGAACACTACAGTGCACCCAATGAATGAAGCACAAGAGCAGAGACATGAAAAGGACTGCAGTTCACAAGAAGAATTAGGTGATAATTTTCACTATCTCCCCCCAGTTGCCGGTTGGAATGTGTGATGGTGATGATGGCGAAAGTCACAATGGCAACAATGCCAGCAAAAATAAATGTGGTGACGATGAGGATGGTAAAGCAATCACTTGCAATATTTGGGGCCGAGAAAAGGTTCAAAGAGTTTGTGGATCATCTGAGAAGTCTTCTTCAGACATCCCAAGAGCAGCCTCTAAGATTGACCTTGCTGACCAGGGTTGGCCTGTGTTAAATTCTCAGCACACTCAAAAATATACTATTAAAAATATAATAGGCCTTGATCCAGCAGTGGATTGACAAAGGGTTATACATATTCTTGGTTCTTTTGGTAAAGTCACGTAGAAGGGAAACAATAATATAAATAAAAATATAAAACGACAATTCTCATGACGTTTCGATTGCAACACAAGCAATCATCATCTGATGCAAGCAATCATCTGAAACGTCATGAGAATTTTATTGTTTTATATTTTTATAATTTTATTGTTTCCCTTTTACGTGACTTTACCGAAAGAACCAAGAATATGAATCCCTGCAGTCACGAAAGCTTTAAATCAAAAGGGTTATACGTTATAATGCCATTGTGGGTATGCTGACTTGTTTGCGTGTGTGCGTTCCTAGCAGCCCCCGCGCGCATAGACCCTGTCGCCGCAAACCGGTGCTCCGAGTGCAGCAAGTGCTTCCGTAAGCGAAGTCACCTACTGGAGCACATGCGCCTACACTTCCCAGTGCCCTGGCTGGCTTGCTCGGCCTGCGGGCGGCACTTCACGAGCGCAAGCAAGCTGCGGACACACCGCCTGCGCGAGGAAGGCCAGTCCCGACACGCCTGCCCGCACTGCAGCTTCCGAGCTGTTGAGCGTCACTCGCTCAGGTCTGATGACGTCAGTTTTGTTTTTGGCCTCTCTGCTGGCTTTTTATTTGATTAACTCGCCCCCCCCCCCCCCCCCCCCAACGATTCCACGAACTGTCCGAATTTAAGGTCGTGATTTGATTTTAAAAGGCATTCTCTTTTACATCGTTTTTTCCGTCTTTATTTATTTTACTAGTTTCTCATTTGCACAGCGTTTCTTCTCCCACTTCTCCTTCGCTTAATTAGCTTACATGAAACAGCAAAACATGCATATAATTCGCATAAAAGTGTGTTAATGCATAATTAAATATTTTGAGAATAGGTTTTAATGAATCAATTGATTTATTGTTATATGCATACTTTCTGAGTTTCCTGATACGATTTTCACCATACAGTGCTCAAGTGAGACTGACCAACCGACACGGTTCCTTTCTGGTGCGCAGGCGCCACTGTGCGAACGTACACGGCGAGGTGGGCGATGACGTTGGGAGTGCGCTGTCCGGCCAGCCCGAGGGCTTCGTGTGCTCGTTGTGTGGCCTCGGCTTCTCGCTCAGCGCTGACCTCAAGGCCCACTGGAAAGCAGCACACAAGGGGGTGGTGGATGACGGTGGCACCAGCGGTGGCGGTGGTGGCACCAAGATGACGGTGCCTTTCACTTGCGCCGAGCTGGAGTGTGGATTTGTTACGAGATCAAGGCCCGAGTTTGTGCGGCATGTGAAGGTGCTTAATGCGATATGTCCCGAAAGTTATGTTGCACATATTTTATTTTTTGAGAAGTGTTTCAGTCATTTATTTTCAGCTTCAAAAAGAATGTGTGTTTGAGAGCTGGCATTGGAGATATCTTTTGAGATCGTTTTCCATTGCCTCAAACTCCTGACAGGAATATTTTACAATGCAGTCATTGCAGCTAATAAAATATCCATTAAGGCTTGGTCTTTGTAACATTAATGAATAATACTCTTATACAAGCGCACAACTTTATCTATCTGTGATGAACGCTGCACTTTCCGTCGTTTTCATGCAGGGGGCGCTGCAAACCTACGCGCCCCCTGCATGAACGACGGAGACGCAGGGACAGACATTCGATTACGTTGGAATCGATCTGCAGACGGCGGTCTTCTCGCATGGCCAGCAGCTCTATTTCGACTTTTTTCGATCCCGCAATCCCAAACAGGTGAAAGTCCGCATCGAACCAATCCCCCAGCAAGGCCATCTACTTAACGATGAGAGAAAATTCACACTAAATGTCATTTTCAATGAAGTCTTCCAGATGTAAAATGATATAAGATTTGAATGAAGAAATGTAATTATCTAGTTCAAAACATAATACAATTCAAATATGTTTCATTTTAAAACTTCAAAACGGAGCATTGGGTGCTTGTGTGAATGCGTCGTTCGTGTGCAATTTTTTTCGTGACTTTCCTGGCCGAATGCTGCCCCCTCACAACCAGACCGGAGGATGCACTGTTCCCTCGCATACCAACACAGGATTTTTGAGAAATTAAATTTATAACTGAAATGCTTTTTGCATTTTTGAGTAATTTATAATATTTGACGATTTTTAAGTTTGTGTTTTATGGTCGAATTTTGTTGTTCATGATGGTGCCACGTCCCTTTGCATGCACTTGCATGACAAGGCCAGGCACGGTCGTCCGGCGGCGCCATGCCCGCACCGTTCGTGCCGCGCGATCTTCAGCGACCGGGCGGCCGTTCAGCAGCACAGGCGCGAGCGCCACCTGCCCTTCCACTGCGTGAGCTGCGACTTTGCATGCTCCAGCAAGCTGCAGCTGCAGAGGCACCGGCGGGCGGGCCACGCAGGGCCCCATCGCCTCACCTGCGAGCTGTGTCCGTTCAGCTCGCACAATCCCGTCGAGCTGGAGTCGCACCGAGCACGGGCACATGCCGGCGAGCGCCTGCACCGCTGCGCCGAATGCGGCTTCTCTACGCCTGAGCGACGCATCCTCAACCGACACGCGCTCACACATAGCGGTGCGTCACCACAGAGACACTGCGAAGGACAGCAGTCCTACAGAATAGAATGGCATTCATATGGGCTCATCAGATAGACGGACAGAGATAATGTCTTCATGCCTTCAACCCGAGTTGCAAGTTATTTAAAATCTAGCGCAAAAAGCAAATAACTCTTGTAAATTCATACATATGCAGTAGATGTATCAATGCATCATTGTATTGATTCAAAGCTGATTGTTAAGCTGATGATGCATGCATAAATTTGCGAGAGGGAATTGGTTATTTACGATTTATGTAAATTGTACTCTAAAGTGTAGACAAACTTTATATTTAGGTTAAGAGGGTGGACAAAATTATACAAATTCGATTAAAATTTGAAGACAATACAATCAATTTCTAGAGTAAATGGTGGCTGAACCTTTAAAATGAATTCAATCACTGGAGAAGTGGATTGGTTCTTAATAAGGACTGCAGTTCAAGGTGCATGGTGCCCTCTAGTGATATCACTGAAGTAATACTATTTTTCTCTCAACAAGGCTTCATTAGTTTGGAGGACGGCTAGAAATAGGCACACTTATACATGATAATTACCTTTATAGCCAGGTCGCCCACATCAGTGAGTCTTTTTGAAGGAAGACTTAAGTTTAAATAAGTCCATGAAAACAGCAATAAAGTATAAACAAAACACAATAATAAACTATTTCTAATGAGCACTTTTCACAAATCGGACACAATGTTCGATCGAGAACTTGGAGGCGCGAAAGCCAGAGCTTAAAGTATTTTGTACGCGAGCCCAAACAAGCGAGAGCCGGAACAGGTGGGTCTTGAGCTGCTTCTCAAAGTTGGATGGTGCTTGGATGTTGCGTATGTGCAGTGGGGGAGCATTTTTAGATGACTGGTGCATCTCCGGAGAAACGCCACTCTACCAGGACAGCATGGTCAAATAACCCCCCCCCCCCCATGTTCCACACGGCGTGGGGAGGGCCTCAACCAGCAATGGAATGACAGAGGGCTCTACATGTACAAATGCATTATGGATGCTTGCATTATTTTATTTTAGAAAATATTGCAGTCCTAAATTGCAATTGAACGCAGGCTTTTGCGACCAATATTCATTGAAGTTTTTTTTGGGTTCGGGTAAATATAAATTTGTCGTTAACCCAACACCACGCAGCCAATTAGTAAGATTTGTCATGTAAACAAAATGTGCCAATAAGTTACGAGAGCACACCGGTATGTTGGAGAGTAAACCCACAAAATGTACAATTTTTAGTATGACGTTTCGCTGGTAATTAAAATCGGTTTCATCAGGCGATTTTGCCTGAATTGCAAAATATAATATTTTTTCAAATCTAGAATTCAAATCGTATCTGTTTATTTTTTTTGGTTTGTGTATTCGTTTGACATGCCTTCCCTGCCCCCTGTGACAGTTGACAAGCCTCACAAGTGTCCAGAGTGTGAGTTCGCTTGCCGGGACTCAAGCTACCTGACGCGGCACATGGCCAGGCATCGCGACGTGCGCGAGCACATGTGCTCCGAGTGCGGCTACCTCACCAAGTGGAAGTCGGCCCTCACCATACACATGCGCAAGCACAGTGGGGACCTTCGGTGGGTGGGCCCTTGAATCCACGTACCTTGCGATCGAGATTGTCCGCGAGTTATCATTGATAGCCTTCTTCCACCTTCACACCCCGAGGGCTCTAGGCAGAGCTGACGGCTTTGAGTTGTGTAAAGAGACTTTTACTGTTCAATAACATCGGATGTAAGGCAGAGCACTGAGAAAAGAATACTGTTTGGAGGGCTTGCCTGGGTGAGGAATTAAAATTACAATGTTATTAATCTTTTAGATGTTATTAGGGATAGGGTCTTAGGCTTTGTATGCGTCTTATGATTTGACAGTGTTTTATGTCGGAATTTAAAAAGTGATGTTTCTTGTAATCTGCAATCTCCACACTGTTGGGTGAGCATCTTCACATTGCAGGTCACATGGTGGTTGTAGGTGATTTTGAGTGTAACATTCAAATCTCTAGGGCAACAGAACCCACACTGCTCTAAAAAATGTAAAAAAATCGCAATTATAGCAATCCATTCCCTTGCACCTCCGGCTTTGATGAACTGCAGTGCACGTTTGATGCGAGGGTGTGTCTTCACGCGCGTTCGCGTCCACGCTTGCCCTGGCTTATGACGGCAGGTACCGATGCGACATGTGTCCGTACCGGTGCCACCGTCCAGACCAGCTGAGTAGCCACAAGCTGCGGCACGGCGAGAAGGGGCTGTGCTGCGAGGTGCGTATCCGGCACGGATGCCCAAACCCTTGAGCTTAACCAAGATTGCAGCTCATCACTGCAAAATGACAGCTGCTGTTAACTACCGGCGATGACGTTTAACATAGAGCTTGTCGCCAATAACCTGAATTTTAATAAGCCGTTACAGGTTTTGGATCTTTAAATGATTTACAGCTTTGAGATTCTTTGGTAATGTGGATTTACAAATGCATGCTAAAATGAGTAAGGTCACGAGTCTGCATGTACTCGTTATCAAAAGCCTCTTTTCATTTGATTTTGCAGTTAAAATTATGTTAAAGAAATAGATTTTCAGTCACGTTGGCACATGCTTCACCGCTTTGTTGTGTAGTGGCCGGTAATAATATCTGTCCCTCTGCGCTGGTGCTGCAGGTGTGCGGGTACGCGTGTCGACGCCGGGCCGAGTTGCTCCGTCACAACGAGGCGAAACACAGCGGTTGTGGCGCTGCTGGGCTGTCCCCCTCGTCTGGGATGAGCGTTGTAACGTCAACATCGTCGTCATCATTTGCCGTGACCACGGAGGACACAACCAACAAGCCCAATGGAGAGGGTGTCTCGCCCAACACAGCCAGGCCAACTCCACCACTGCACTGCAGGTGTGCCTCATTTTTTTTAAATGCGTCCCTGTCTTCTGACTCATTCGTAGGTGATGTTCATCAAGCCTGCAGTACGAGGTGGCGAAGCCAAGTTTGCACTGTGTTTACACTGACAATGATGCCTTTCATAATCAGAATCTTTATTTAGACGGATGGTGGTGAAGGAGACATTTAAGATTGGACTTGAGCTCCAGCCTCCCCTCAGTCACATTCTACATCACATTTAAGGCTCCTAGTTTTTGGTCCATCGCTGAGTCTTATCACAAAATGCAGGGGAAAAGTAATACATTTCGATTTAAAGCTTTTGTGACTGCAGGGATTCATCTTCTTGGCTCTTTCGGTAAAGTCACGTAGAAGGGAAATAATAAAATAATAAACATATAAATTCTCACGACGTTTCGGCCACAACGCAAGCAGCCGTCCTCAGGTGAAGAACAGGGCTGTCGGAAAGACAGCGTCCGACAGCCCTGTTCTTCACCTGAGGACGGCTGCTTGCGTTGTGGACGAAACGTCGTGAGAATTTTTGTTTTATTTTTATTATTTTATTATTTCCCTTCTACGTGACTTTACCGAAAGAACCAAGGAAATAAAAAGTAATAATTTGGGCACGATTTTCAAACTTTTTTTTAACAAAACCGCAGGTACTGCAACTACAGAACACCCTACAAACAAGCACTACTCAACCACGAAAATTGCAAGCACACGCACAGCCGTGTCTTCAGCTGCCCGACGTGCCCACACGACGCGTTCAGTGCTTCCAGCCTGCTCAACCACCGGAAGAAGCGCCACGGCTACCAGCCTGGTACGTACACGCACTCCACCATCAAGGGCTCACAGGCGGCGCCGTCTACACACGAAGCGGCCGCATCTGGCAGCGTGGCCATCGGCCACAGCGGGGGCTCGATCGCAGTCGTTTGGGACGCCGGTGACTTCAGAGAAGCCACTGCGCCGGTTGCAAGTGAGAGAGCCGTTAGATCCGGCCTTAATGATGTGGAACGCTCCGCTCTGCCGACCTTGGAGCCCGAGGAAAACGATCGGGAGCACAATGGGGTCGACCTTGACGGTGAGGACCTTGGCGGTGGCAGCAACAGTGGAATGCTCGTGGGTAGGGGCGTTTTAAATCGAGATGCGAGTGGGGTTAGTGATCTGGTTGCAGTTGGAATAGGAGATGCAGTGACTCAATACGTGGAGGAGGCTTTACTACAGAGCAACATCACAGTCAACGAGGTTGTGGCAGAGTCGCATCGTGCAGCAGATGCTTCTGATGTACCGCACAACTCTGGACTTGCAGTGGAAGAGGAAATGCGAGACGCCGCTCAGGACCTGGTTGTGCCGGCAGATATTGATCATAGTTTTGGAGATGCTGTCACAGGCAGACCTGCGACTACTGATTTAGAGGGTGGACAGCACGAGGTAATGAGCGGTGAGCGACCCCCAGTCTTGGATGGAACTGAGCAGGAGCTTGTGCGGGCCGTGGATGGTGAGGCCTACGGGACCTTGAGCAACGCAGGTGGAGTCGAGGAAACGGCAGCTGAAGTGGCAAAGCTTCTCGTGAGCCTCTACCCAACCGCTTGTCAGAGTGAAAGTCTGCACGGCAAACTTGAGCACAGCCGGCAGGGGCATGATAGCGCACTACAGATGCTCGAATCGCAGCACATGAGTAAGGAGAGCATCGCTGGAGACTGCACCATGCTTTTGGAAACCCATGATGTTCAAAATACACAATATCTTCAACCCTCACATCATCAAAGTGAAAATGTCGTCTGTGGAACATTTCAGGAAAAACGTAGTTACGAAAGTATCGTAGACTCGAGGGACAAGACAGTGGCTCTACCTTTGCTTGCAGTGACTAAAGTTACGGAGCCGGTGGATCAAATAGTGTATTCTTTAGGTAAGGAGATAACAGAGACAGAGATCTCGCTTGCATTGAAGCAGCTGCCGCAAGGCATTTCCCGGGGCATTGAGGAGGCGAAGACTCCTAAGGCAGGGCAGCCATGCGATCCCGTGGCGCTGCAGAAGAGGCGGGACCGCACATGCGTGGGCACGCTAGTGGAGGAGGGCAAGGTGGAGGTGGTGGTGCTCTGTGAGGCGAGGGGTGTGGGGCGGCCCGTGCTACATTGCGAGTGGTGTCCTTTCTTCACACGGAGCGAGAAGGCGCTTGCCGTTCATGCCCGAGCGGCCTGCGTGGCCAGGGGAGAGGGCGGAGGGAGTATCCGTGCCGCGACCGTCGCCCCACATGCCATTGCCTGCCCCGAGTGTGGCACCCAGTTCAAGCAGCGCCGCGCTCTCAACACTCACCGGCTGAAACGGAAGTGCCCCGCCATGCGCAAGCAACGCAGAGCTGCAAGCAAGCCTCTGAGAAATGGCATCAGTGTCAAATGCGAGAGCGCTCGGATGAGGGAGGTGGATTTACCACAGCCTCAGCTGGGGTTCATCTCAGGAACTCGGAGAGGTGGAAGAGATGTTGGTAACGTGCAAAAAAAGAGCACGCATACCAATAAAGGTAAAATCTGGAGAAATAGAACAGCCAAGATCACAGACGCCGCTAATTGCAAGAGCATCAATACTCGACATAGCACAGATACGCAGCCTAAGGTAAATGATGATCCAAATAGGGAAAGGTCTTCACATTGTCAGGAAGAAAAAGACTGCAAAGAGGGGGAAGCATGGGTTTGTGATCAAGGACGCTTCCGCTGCCTGCACTGCCCATTCTTGTGTCGGCAGCAACGAGCGATCCTGTCGCACGGGAGGAAGGGCTGCCTGCGGCCCGGGCAGATCCTGTGCGGAATCTGCTCGTTTGTGTGCCAGTCAAACGGAGCACTCAGCAACCACCGGAAGTTGTTTCATAGCACAGCCAAGGCAGACGAAATGGACCCGCCATTGAGTGAGTCGCTAGATAGGAAAGTCACAAAGCTGGACAACGGGGATGGGGGTAAACAGGAGGGCAGTAGTGATTCAATGCCAAATGTGGATGCCACACAAGGGAAAGAGCAAGATGGTGAACTAGTAGTAAATCAAAAGGACCATGCAGATGGCTTAAAATTGAACAAGGACATTTCGCAATCAAATACACGCTTAGTAGCTGGGATAGAGACTGTAGAAGATGGAAATCGGTGTCGATCAAATAAACACAAGAGCGAAAACAAAGCTGTTACCTGCAGGAGTGAGGACAAAAACATCGTTGTAGTGAATGAAAAACAAACTGGCGGCACGTGCACAGCAGGAAAAGAAAATGTAGTGCAATCTGGCGGGGAGGAAATCGGACAACGAACGCGATCCAAAACCAGGGCGAGCTCTAGACAGGAAATTATAAAACTTGAGAGGCACATAGACATGGTGTCAGGTGTAGATGGGAGTTCCAACAAAGGTAATGGAGAATCTGAGGGCGATACGGGAGAATCTCCCGAATCAAGCAACAAAGGTAAGAACGGCAGCAGGAATTTGGGGTGTGAGGGCTGCGTCTTCCGCTGCAAGCAAGAGCGAGTGTTGGAAACGCACCTGCGCAGGGGATGCATGGGGCCAGGCGAGGTGCAGTGCCGGCTCTGCCCCTTGGTGTGCAAGTCACCCGTTGTGCTGAGAGACCACAGCCTCTCGCACAGACAGGCCGGCCGTGCTAGGTCCAGCAGGAGAGCGCCGTCCGCAGCGTCGAGGCTCACTCTGCTCCAATGTAAGCAGTGCCCCTTCTGCTGCAAGCAGGAGGGTGCTCTCCGACGGCACGTGAATCGGCAACACCGCGGCGTGTTGCCCTACTGCTGCACCGCCTGCGAGTTCAGCACAAAGCGGCGATACCGACTGACGGCGCACGCGGCGGCCGTGCACGGGGTGGGAGGCGGGGGGCCCCCACTGCGCCCGCACGGCTGCGACCAATGCTCCCGCGTCTTCCTTGAAGCGACCAAGCTACGCAGCCACCGGAGGCGAGTCCACGATCGCAGGCCAACGCACTTCTGCAATCGCTGTGACTATGCCGGGTACGGAACGCACGACGTCGCGCGGCATGTAGAAAAGTGCCACAGCCAGGTTGCGGCCGGCAAAGGCAGCAGCGACGGCTTCCCCTGCAAGAGCTGCAGCGCAACCTTCAGCTCGGCATCGGCCCTGCGTCAGCACCTGTTGAGAAAGCATCGCCAAGAGTCGCTCGACAAGGATGGGACTCCCTCGCCGCCAGTGGCGGCAATTTTGTGTGCGTCGCCGGGTGGCCCTGAGCCTGCCATCCATGTTCAGTGCACAGCGTGTGGCCAGGAGTTCTCGCAGCACGCAGATTTGAGGGAGCACCGGCGTGTACAGCATGGGCCCCACCGTCGGCATGGTCACACCTGCCCCACGTGCCCCGAGACGTTCCACGGCAAACAGGAGATGGTGCTGCACATCCTGCGCAAACATGAGGCCATCGACACAGGATGCACCACTGACGGCGTGGGGGAGATGTGCGACGGTGCAGACGAAAAGCTGCTACGCTGCGGACTATGCAACTTTTCCTGTCGGCACCAGGTGGTGCTGGAGCACCACGTGCGCTGCCATGGTGGTCGCAAGCTGTACCGGTGCCGGTTGTGCACGTACAGCACACGGAGCGGGCAGAAAATCGCCTGGCACAGTCGCATCCACACAGGCGAGAAGCCCTATCGCTGTTGGCTGTGCGAGTACACTTGCACCGAGCCCTCCCGCCTCAAGGTACCCACACGTCCATTGTATCAACACCTTTCCACGCATACTTACCGACTTGAAGCATATTTTTATTTGTTACCAATGTCGCACAGTAATTGGTTTGTAGAAATAACAACGTATAAGTGATTACATTTGAGTTGCTCTAACAACATGGCAATGTTTTGCACTGAGTGCTGTGCGATGTTGTTTGTGTCAGGTCCACATGCGGAAACACAACCCGGACACCAAGTACCTGTGCCCTGTATGTGGTTACACCTGCAAGTGGGCCAACCAGCTTAAGTACCACATGACCACGCACACAGGCAAGCAAGAGGTTATATGATGGCTTCAAATACAGTGGGACTGTGAGTTTCGGTTTACAATTCGATTTGTGTTTACGTGTTTCTAAGGAGTTGCAGGTGTTGCATAACAAAAAATATATACAAAGTTATTGGTCTATAAATTCAAGGATGCCAATGCAAAACAATTATTAAGGATTCGGTGAGGCTTTCCTGTTGAAAGATTGAAACTTTCACTTTTGTGATGAAATTAACCTCAAATGCAAGATGAAAGATGAACCAGATATTATGCTTTCATCATACGGTTTGTGCACTCTCTCCGCGTTAACACCCATGTGTGTCGCTGACCTCTGCCAGGGGAGAAGCCATACCGGTGTGACAAGTGCGAGTACGCCACGAACCGCAGCGACGCCCTGCGCACGCACGAGGCCACACAGCACCAGGAGGGCCGTGCCTTTGTGTGCGAGCACTGCGGCAAGGCCTTCAAGACACGCTACCTGCTGGGCAGCCACATGCGCAAGCACGCCGAGGTCCGGCCACACGTGTGCCCGCAATGCCGCCGCACCTTCCGCTGGCCAGCGGCCCTGCGCAACCACCTGCTCACGCACCGCTTCGAGCGCCCATTCGCCTGCTCCTTGTGCGCCTACCAGGCGAATCAGCGGGCTCAGGCATGTTAATACCTCTTTCTACAACGTCCAGCAGTAATACCGCATTTCCATGACAATTGCATCCAGACTCTGCCAGAACCCAAATGATACAAGAATGGCCCAGGAATAGCGGCCCCAGTGGGTTCCCACGCTGTACGAGTAATGAATACAAGTGTAATGATGCGTGGATTTATTGATTAACATCAATTGTTTAGGTTAAATCGTATATATAGGAATGGATGTTTTCCAATTTATGTAATTTGTTAATTATATGGTTTATTTTAAACGAATGCACTGAATGAACAAAACTGTGCAAAATAAAACGAACATTACTAATGACACCAAAAAGTGAGACGAGAAGAGATTCTTTAATCGAATTGGCCCCAAATCATAACATTAATTCCGGAGTGGCGAAATTGAGACGTGTGTGTTGGTGATGCCTGCGTTTGTGGCAGGTGGTGAGCCATCTGGCGAGGCGCCACACAAGTGAAGCGGAGCAGGGCGTCGTGCTGGACATGCGGCACGTGCCTTCCGAGATGTCGGCGCTTCCTCTGCGCAACCAAAGCAGGCGGGGCCCCCCATTCGCCACCCGAGGGGACGCTCCGGTAAACGACAAGCAGCGTTTCAAATTTAGTGGTGGGTTGTGGGCTATACGGTTCAATTGCGCCCATTTTAAGGAGGAATATTTGCATTCATGGAAATATCACCGTTTGGTTATTAATCCTCCTAACAAAATGAGGTTATTGAAGAAACAAAGCATTCTCGAACAAATGTGCATCTGTTTCATGCAAGGGTTTTGTATTTGTAAAGCACGTAATTGCTTTAACTGTATTTAGTCAGTAGAGCTTTGAAGTGATTTACATTGCCGTTTGCGTGCGGTTCGCTGCAGGAGAATGTTATCGGTCAGGGGGTCGGAGATCAAAGCAAGCAAAGAAGAGAGGGAAGCGAAGAAACCAGAAAAAGGAGCAGCCTCGGTCCGATGGAGCCACCCTCCCTCTGGGTTACAGCTGGGGGTGAAGTGGGGGACAAGGGTGGGCTGAGGGCCACAACTGTGTCGGAGGAGGATGTGTCCGTCGGAGGACCTGCGTCTGACTTGGGAAACGCGTCAAGGGTTGAGCTCGGGGTAGCGGTGCCTTCTCTTCCCGTGCAGCCCACATTCACCAGCACACAGGTTTCCCTCCATTAACTCAACACAAAGTTGCGAAGAGCAGAAAGATGCCAATGTGTTTGAAACAGCAGTCATTTCAACAGTCTCGGTAAAAAAATATATGTACTTTCCATCGTAAAAAGGTTTGCATTTTTTTATTGCAGGGCATTTTAAAAACTGTATTTGATTGTGCTCATATAGTCGTTGCATGGATTGTCATGCCGTATGTGAAAGCTGTTCTTTATTTTCATTGTTAGATGTCATCACTGCTGTCGACTACAAGAATAAAAATATATATATGTAGGCACTACATTTAAGCAGTTATGTGCATACAAGTAAATAATTGTCATGCTGTTAAGTTGAATTGTTAGTCGGCCATACACTGTATGAGCTGTTGCAGAAATCTGTCCCTGTAGTGCTGCTTTTCTGTTAACATGTGTTCAAATAACTGAATGAAACAATCCTGCCGCAGTAACATTGATTGTATGTGAAACATGACTCCCTGTTGTCTCTCGCACAAAGTTCTGCCAAGCATGATTAAAAAATGATACAAAAAAATTCAACCATCTTAAGCGTGTCTGTTAAACCATTGCATGCCAATGCTAAGGCAGTGAGTGGACAGTGTGCATTATTTAATACCTGTACAATTCCAAACTGTAATTTATGTTTTGTGTAGGTGAGCTGTCACCTGATTGCAAGTAAAGTTTCATGTATATGTATATTATAAATAATTTGAGGATAAGTGTTTACAACAAAGTAAATGTGTACATCTCATTTGCTCAAGTATCGTCGTGGTGGTCGCCACATGGCTTCATTGAGCAGTGGTGAAAATTCCACATTTCTAAGACAAATCTATGCATTTAAATAGCACAATTGACTTTACACAAAGCAGCAGGTATTTGAGTGTACCAAGGAAATATGGGTTCAGTTGACCCTAAACCTGTATTTGAGCTTGCAATCCTAAAAAACGAAACTTGGTATAATTTAAACAACCCAAAAAACAAAGCCAGACCTAATGAAGACCCTGCTTATGAAGTTTGGCCATGCAAATCCTTGTCCCAGACCTGAGTAGAGAAAACGACACATGGAGAAGGAACGTTCAAATGCTTCTGCACAGACGTCAATTCGCACCCATACGCGTGCACACACGTTGCGTGTCGTAAGGTTAAAGGGGGGTGATTACAAATCAGCGGCCAGACAACATGGTGAGCAATGAGCGATCTTGAAGAAACAGTCATTTCTCAAAATGGTCCCTTTTAAGGTACAGTGCATGCTCTCGGTCTGTCGGAAGTTCCATCGTTCTTGGAAGAATGTTAATTCCCCAGCAGTCTTTTCACAGCACACGCTGTGGTGAATATGGACTTTCTCCAAAAAATTATCCCACAATTTCTAGATGTCTCTGGATATCTGATTTTTTTTTCGTCATTCGTGTTATTTTTCTCGCTCGTACAGATGTCTTTCGAAATCCTGATTTTCCCTCTAGATTTGTGACTTGTTTCTGATTGTTTCCCCCCCAGATGTCTTTGCATATTTCAGACTTGGCTTTCAATTATCACACGTGGCCAATTCAAACACCTGCAACAACAAAAACAAGTATAACCCGTATAAACAAAGTTTTTCACTATAAATCCTTTATATGCGTGGCGGCTAGAGTCATCTCGTCATCTGGCTTGAGATGGCTGCCACCTATGGGTCAGATGATTGCATGGCACCATTAAGCAATTGGTAATTAAAATATTATATTTTTGTCCTAAAAAGTGTAAATTTTTTGAAAAAAAATTTCACGAACATTAATTGTCACGCACAACGAGTCTGTGTGGAAAATGTCAGCTCGATTGGATCACGGGAAGTGGGTTAAAAAACGACCGAAAGATTTGCACGGTCGTAAGCAAGCAAGCAAGCGCGCAAGTGAATTTAATATAAAGGATTTAAAAACGAAAAACCCTGACTTCCAACCGAACGTTCGCTCTTCGTTCGAGCTCCCTCCATCCGTGCCAGACCACGGACCGTCCAATCATCCTGCAAATATAGAATCTTCCCGGCCACTCCTTTGCATCCCCCCCGTGATGTGATGCGTGAAGTGTGAACACGGAGCAAAGCAGCAGGGCGGAGCAGAGAGCGAGGCTCCTCCCGTGTCACCCCGGGGTGGAAACGAGTGGTGGAGGAGGAGGAGGAAGCAGATGCAGGCAGGAGGATGGACGACAGAGTGGAAGCACCTCCCTCCATCTCCCCTCCTCCTCCCCCCCAGCTCTCTCGGGGAGCAGGGCAAGATGGAGAGGCTTTCACCACCGCCGGGGGGCTGATGGAGCCTCCGTGGGCAGCTGCTGTTTGTGTTTCTCCTTCCCCGTGGGGCCCCCTCCTGAGCAAAGGGAGTCTGATGGACGGGGGCATCAGAAACCATTGGCTGTGGAGCGGGCAGGGAACGCTGCTGATGATGATGATCCTGCTGCTGATGATAATGTGCTGATGACCGCTCGTGTCTAGGTGGGGGAGGGTGGTGGTGGTGGGAGTTGAGATGTCCGGGGTTGGGGGGCGGGGGAGCTGAATCTGTGGTTTTGGTCGCCCGGAGGAGGCGTAGTGGAGCCGGCGGGGGAGGCAGGCAAGGCAGGGGGGTGGCTGGTGATGACGACGATGATGCTGGGGGAGGAGGATGTCTGTATAGTTGTATCGGTGCCTCTGTATTTATGTAACAATAGTGCTTGTACGTATGTTGCGTGGTAGAAAAGGACGCTCCACTCCTCAACACGTATATGTGTGTGTATCTGAGCCGGTCATGTGTATGCACCTTTACGAATGTAAATCTCGTTTGTGCGTGCTATTGTTTGTGTGTGTGTTGTCTACGTTATTCACTCCTGCTACAGCTGTATATGCGCGTTGTCAATAGGTGCTCGCTAACGACACTTTATCCAGCAGTCGGGCTGAAGGTAGAAAGGGGCATTCGCCGGCGGCGTGTTCACTCGTCGGTTGTGTAAACGCACACGTGTACACACCGGTACGCGTGTGTACACGTTCGTGTGTGTACACGCGCGTGTACACACACGCGCGTGTGCGTACTTGCACATCGCATACCCCGTGAACGGGTGAGTTCGCAAGCACTGTCGCATTTAAGTGCCTCTGCACGTGGTACGCGTGTACAAGTACGGTGGGTGTATACACACACGTGCGTTTACACATTGAGTGTTGGCGTGTAAAATGCATTGTATGTCGTAATGGGTATGTACACGTGTGTGTGTGTGGAGCGGTGGGTGTAGTGGTTAGCGCACTGCGTTACGAACCCAGGACCCGAGTTCGATTCCGGCTCTCGGCCAAACCCCAGTGACGATTATCTGAACCGGTCCTGGGCCTCCCCTAGGTCGACTCGGCCTCAAATGAGCACCTGGTGCGGTGTGTAGTGAACATCACCACTGCAGGGGGGAGGGGGGAGAGACAAAGGCGGCCGGGTGTGCTTGCTGGCCACCCAACCCCCTCGTGTGCCACAGTGCCGGCCTTCATAGGCGCTCTACAACAGAACTTTACCCCAAAAGTCTGCTCAAGATACACCGGGGGGTGGTGGTCTTTGTTGTACTACACACCAGACTACTGGGGTGCATATTCGTATCGGGCTAGCACATGTTAGGTGTTCAGTCTGCACGCGTGTGTGTACACGTAGCGTATTTCCATAAGCGTGCCACCTATGAATGAATGAATATAGTTGAGAGGACGAGCTACCCACGTGGCTGGGCTTTCAAATGTAATACCGGACACAGCTGGAGGCAGCGGCAGCAGCAGGCGAAGGTGACGACGACGTTGATGATGAGATTGTGATGAGGTGTGGGAGGCGAGGGTTGGGGGGGGCATTGTTCCAGAGACAATTAAGGGGACCCTCCTGGCACCGTGGGGGTTCGAATATCCCCCGTCGGGAGAGGCGCACGTGAGCGTGCATGCTAAATGTGTTGCTTTAGCAAGAGATGGGAGGATTTACACTTTGTAGAAGGGGACCCAAATTATAGTGTTAAAATACACTTGGTGGTGGTGATAAGAGAGTTTATTGATATTGCAACTATGGCATGGGTAGTTAAGGGGTAGAAATTCCATACCTGTCAACCCATACGGGTTTACCTGTATTCTTGTACAGGAAATTTGAGTTTTCAGGTCCTTAAGGACAAATTGTGTTTGTCTATTTGTTTGTGTTTCTCCCTTGTGATGGGACTCTGAAGGATGAAGGTTGAGATTTATAAAGGGCACGGGGGTGACCAGTAAAACCGGAATTGGTCTGTAATAAGGGAGAGCACTGATAAGGCGTTGGCAGATATGGAAATTGTTCGTCAAAACAGATACTTGAATGCTCATCTTGATTTGTATTGTCAACAGGAAGAGGTGATGAAAGGAACCTCTCTAGATAGACGCAACAATAGTTATGTTACTGGAGTCGAAAATATGAATAAGAGCCCCTTGTTAATCGGAATAATCTTCCTATAAACCAATACTAATTGGCTTAATGCATGCACCAGATCAAGACAATGGTAAACATTATAATAGCGTGCATTGTGAGTTACAGGAAAAGTAATGAGTGAAGAAGAGTCAGTATCTTAAAAAAAAACGTGTGAATAATAGTTAACTAAAGCATTGTAATACTATCCTTGATTGGCAACTGTTATCATAATTATGAATTCATCTAAAGCTAAACTTTTATCATAAATAAATAGAATTAAGTTAATTCCACAATCATGTTTGTTGTTGCGGTGGACACTTCAAAATGCGAATCAACAGCAAACAAAGCAAAGATCCCCCGTGTAGCCTTAAGATTGTTGGGGCAAGTGCTGTTAGCGAGCGCCTATGAAGTACAGCACGGCACTGCGAGTGGGTGGCCAGCACCACGCCCGGCCGCCTTTGTCTCCCCAGTGGTCATCAGCAGCAGTATCGGTATCAGCATTAATAATAACCACAGCAGCATTACATCAGCAGCAGTAAAATACAAAATAATTAGCAGCGGAATAATCAACAGAAACAACAATCATTTCATCATCAGCACATCATCATCATCCCATAGTCATCGGCACGAGCAGTTTAACAATACAAATGTCGCCAGAATCATATATATCATGTTCATCATCACTGGAAAAACACGACTGACGTGTGAATTATGAATCCATCTTCAACAATCATCAGTTGAATATTTAAAGTCGTATCCATCACGTAACATGATCACCATATCGTAATCATCATCAACAGCAGGAGCATAGTTCATGATCATCACCACCAACATCATCAGCAACATCACCACCAACATCAGAAACATCAACAACATCATCAGCAAACATCACCACCAACATCATCAGCAACACCAACATCAGCAACATCACCAACATCATCAGCAAACATCACCAACATCATCATCAGTAGCAACATCATCAGCAACATCACCAACATCATCATCAGCAACATCATCACCAACATCATCATCAACATCACCAATATCATCAGCAACATCACCACCAACATCACCGCCAACATCATCATCAACATCATCATCAGCAACATCATCATCAGCAATAGCAGCAGCAGCAGTGGGTGGGGTGGGGGGTCCGTGGATGAAGGGGGTCTGGCCGGGCTGGCGGGGCCGGGTCCCCGAGGGGCCGGGGGGGGGGCGCCGATCCCGGCCGGGCAGACGGCCGCCTCCTCCTCCTGCTCCCTCCCTCCACCTCCTCATTCCCCTTTCAATCAACAATCTCCTCTCGCCTCGTCACCCAACAGCGGTGAGTTTTCGCTCAAGTAACAATGATGATGTGTTGTTTTTTAAGCCTTTGTTGTCCGCGTTGTTGCGCGTTGAGACGAGAGGGTCTCGAACACGTGTTGTGGATGCTGGGGAGGGGGGTGATTGGGTTGTTCTGTGCACTATGGAGTGAGAGGTGTATATCATCATCATTGCCACAAACATACTGTCTGTATTCGGTATTAGCACCAGGCACTGCCAGTCTTCCACTCAGCATAACCATTAGTCTACGACTATCAATCACGTTATCATCATGACCTCACGACCACAATTAGTATTTCAACATCGTTACCATTCTCGAAATGACGCGTATCATTTTCTAGTAATAAAACTGATGACTGGATTCATGATTGTGTGTTATGGTCTGTAGCCTGAAATGTTCCACTGAAATGTAATATTGACGTGTCAATTAAATAATACTCGACGTATGTTTTATTAAAGAACGAGTTTGGGGAGACGAAATTGATGGGACATTGTCCATCTCCTGGAGACAGACGTGTTATTGGAGCGATCTCGGACTTGAGTCAAATTTGACTTTCTAGAGACTTGGACAAAATAGATGGATGTCCACTGGCACATGGAGAATTGATCCTTGTTGGAGAAAAGGAGCGAATGCATAGCAAGAGTTTGATAGGCATACATTTTGAGACACGAAGGAAAGCATGGCAGTGCTGCACTTGAGTTCTTTTGCTTTTGTATTTTTTGTGAGCCAGGTTGTTACGCTTGAAAAATGAGACTGTTATGGTCTCTTTAAGTTTTCACTGGGTTCAATAAACTTGAAGCTTTGTATGGTGAGCTGATATTTAGGAGACGGGGAGAAGACATGATTATGATGTAGTGGTCTGAGCTTAAGGAGAAAGAGAGTGGAAGTGGTATGCGAGTTGTCATTTTGCAGAGATGTTGGGAGAATGGACAGAGGGAAATCCAAGCCATTGGTGAGGCTGTCCTCTTGAGAGTCAAGGGGTGATTATATAATTACTGACTTAATCAGATTTGAAGAGATAATTTTATTGAGGGTGTACCTCTCATCATGATGCGTGGCATGAGGTAGGGACTGAGGAGGTGTGTGTGTGGGAGTAATGGGTGGTGTGCATCAGGGTAGATGTCTCAAAACCTTGCCAAGTTCCTGTTACAGTATTTGTAAGTGGTAACCTTGCAAATTGTTTACAAACATGCAATAGGTATATATGTAGTGCACGATGTATTGTCGACAATAATGCACTGTTATACTGCAGTGTTCATCGAAAATCCTTCATCCAGCGGTGGTTGACGATGGGTACTGACGGTGGTGGTCTTAAATGTACTACCGAAAATTATTATATCGTTCATGTATTGCAATTATGATTTAATGGAGCATATTGTTCAATGCAAATTCATTCCATTTGGTTGAGATGGAATGACGTGGAGGTAACTGGGTGAATGTTAGGCGAGTTGTGGGGTGATTGTAGGTTATTCGAGTGAATGCGCGAGTGTGTCTCAGGAGATGGAGGAGAGAGCGAGTGGACCAAATGCATTTTGAGTGATTGGATGAATGAGTGGGAGAGAGAATGAGTTGCCGAGGAGATAAACCGGGGAATGACTAGATGAGTGGATTAGTCAGGAACAAATTAGTGAACTATAAATGATTGAAGCAATATTCATTTCACACTTGCATGCATAAATTAGCAATACAGAATATAGATGCAGTAGAATGTCACTTAATCAGAGAACTGAATTTTGGCCAGATATGGGTTTTGATGATGGCTGACAGGTGTAGGATAAGATAAGGTCTTTAGTAAATATATATCCACGAAAGACAAGCAGATACAACCCGACAGGCAGACACACAGCCAACAATATAGACAGAAACCCAGACAAAAATCCTTTCAGACGGGCATATTATAGAACAGACGGGGCAGACGTAGATTGCCAAACTTTGGTGCAGGCACAGACAGCGAGCCAACTAAAAAACACACATCCATCCAGATAAACATGAAATCAAGAGAGCCAAACAAGAATGTGGACATTCACACATGCAACAGACTCTCCATCGCCCATGATTCCATGGGGCCATGCAGTTATGCAGTCAATCATTGCCGACAGCGGCCAGGCAGACGGCCAAACATGTAAATAGATGCAGACAAATGCTTGAAAAGAGACGAACACAAGTCGGATCCATAATCTTAATTTGGGGGGACTCGACCGGGCCAGTTTGTCCAGACCCATCATGCACAGGATGGTCGAGACGTCTTGTGACCTCCATTTGATCCTCTCAAACGTACTATTTTAAGTAAGGTGTATTTAAAACATAAATTTATATGCAAATGGGAAAAAAATGTTAAATTAATTGGGGGGGGGGGGTCACAAGGCATACGGACCATACTGTACAGTATATCCATACCTCTTATACAACCATATACAGATAAACGAAAAATACATAAACGTCAAGGAAACCCCGTGGGGTGGATGATATAATCAGACATCCCCAATTAACAGCTAAGACAAGATATCCAAACGGATATCGCACGAGAGTGCCGATCATCTCGCAATTGCACAGCTAAGACACGTGGAGATACACACCCAGAAGCCACACGGACATCGTCTCATCCATTCCTTCGGTGGGATTTGTGGTACCAGCCAGCCAAATAATAACAACACAAACCGCAGCCCCAAATCGGACATCAAAACAGCGGGGACAGCTCCACACAGAGGGCCCGGGGACCCCCGGTGGGACTCATGGGTGGAAAAAAAACCCGATTTTTCCACAATTACACCCGATTTCGTGGGAATTGAAACCTGGTTTATTGAATACGAAACTCTGATAGGCTTAGGCTGCTATCGTAGAATGCGGCGGGCAGGTTGGTCTTGATGAACACGAGCTTTTTCTCCACAATCGTGGGCGCCAGTGAAGTTCCTTAGCTTGGAATGGATGAAGCCCATCGTCGAGAAGTGCGGTTCTGCAATTAGAACCAATTAAACCGGATTTCTCACAATCTCAGATGATCGGGTTTCATATAAAAAGAAAATTAAACCCGATTAAAAAAAAAACAGACTGTGGCCACCCTTGGGTGGTGGGACCACGTCCACCCCAAACTTTCACCCAGAATCTTAAAGATTTCGGAGATTCCATCACCCCGCTCACTTTTAGGGGATTAATTCGTTCTCCCTGCAGCGTGTGGTAAGGGTGGGTTATGGTTTAGAGTACGAACAGTGGCTAACAATCAAACAAAAACGTCACTTTCGCTGCGGCTGTTGTTGCTGCTGCTGCTGCTATTGCTGCTTCCTGTTGCTGCTGCTGCTGCATCTGCTGTTGCTGCTGCTGCTTCTTGCTGCTGTTGCTACTACTACTGCTGCTTCTTGCTGCTGCTGCTACTGCTGCTTCCTGCTGCTGCTGTATCTGCTGCTGCATCTGCTGTTGTTGCTGTTGCTGCTTCTTGCTGCTGCTGCTACTGTTGCTGCTGCTACTGTGGCTGCTTCTTGCTGCTGCTGCTACTGTTGCTTGCTGCTTCTGCTGTTGCTGCTTCTTGCTGCTGCTGCTGCTACTGTGGCTGCTTCTTGCTGCTGCTGCTACTGTTGCTTGCTGCTGCTACTGTTGCTGCTTCTTGCTGCTGCTGCTGCTACTGTTGCTTGCTGCTGCTGCTACTGCTGTTGCTGCTTCTTGCTGCTGCTGCTGCTACTGTTGTTGCTTCTTGCTGCTGCTGCTGTGGCTGCTTCTTGCTGCTGCTGCTACTGTTGCTTGCTGCTGCTGCTACTGCTGTTGCTGCTTCTTGCTGCTGCTGCTGCTACTGTTGCTTGCTGCTGCTGCTACTGTTGCTGCTTCTTGCTGCTGCTGCTACTGTTGCTGCTTCTTGCTGCTGCTGCTGCTACTGTTGCTGCTTCTTGCTGCTGCTGCTGCTACTGTTGCTGCTTCTTGCTGCTGCTGCTACTGTTGCTGCTTCTTGCTGCTGCTGCTACTGTTGCTGCTTCTTGCTGCTGCTGCTGCTACTGTTGCTGCTTCTTGCTGCTGCTGCTGCTGTTGCTTGCTGCTGCTGCTACTGCTGTTGCTGCTTCTTGCTGCTGCTGCTGCTGCTGTGGCTGCTTCTTGCTGCTGCTGCTGCTGTTGCTTGCTGCTGCTGCTACTGCTGTTGCTGCTTCTTGCTGCTGCTGCTGCTGTGGCTGCTTCTTGCTGCTGCTGCTGCTACTGTTGCTGCTTCTTGCTGCTGCTGCTACTGTTGCTGCTTCTTGCTGCTGCTGCTGCTACTGTTGCTGCTTCTTGCTGCTGCTGCTGCTACTGTTGCTGCTTCTTGCTGCTGCTGCTACTGTTGCTGCTTCTTGCTGCTGCTGCTGCTACTGTTGCTGCTTCTTGCTGCTGCTGCTGCTACTGTTGCTGCTTCTTGCTGCTGCTGCTGCTGTGGCTGCTTCTTACTGCTGCTGCTGCTGTGGCTGCTTCTTACTGCTGCTTCTTGCTGCTAATGTGGCTGCTTCTTGCTGCTACTGTTGCTGCAGCTGCTTCTTGCTGCTACTGCGTACTGCTCTGCTTGCTGGCTGCGGCTTGCTGCTCGTGTTTGTCCGTGAGGGATTGAGGCTGAGGTGGTGGTGGTGGTTGTGGTGTAGCCACCCGGGGCTAGGAGGCTGCGAGGAGCGAGGGTGTCCGTGGGGCTGGGGGTCCGTGGGGCGAGGGGGTTCGCCGTGACCGCCGCGCCGGGCAGAGGGGGCCGGGCCCGGCCGCCATCTCCCGCCTCGTTCCCTCCTCCTCCTCCCCCGCCGCCGCCGCTGCCTCCTCCACCGCCGCCGCCTCCTCCTCCTCCTCGTCTCTCTCCTCCTGCTGCTGCTGCTGCTCCGCGGAGTCTCTGTCCCGACTCTCCCACTCACATCGCTGCTGCTGCTGCTTCTTCCCTGCGCATCAAAACCCTCCTGCACAGGCAAGTCGCGGGCGGTAATGTCCCTCCTCGCCTCCATCTCCTCCTCATCCTCCTGCTGCTGCGAGAGAGAGAGACGCGGCTGCTTGCCGGGCTCCCCGTGTCTCTCGTCTCGTCTCTCTCGCGGAGGGGATAGATGCCCTTCTCGTCTCTCTCTGTGTGTGTTGGACGTCGTTCCCTCTCGTCTCTCTCCTCGTCTCTCTCCGCGGCTCAGCCTCTCGCCTCTGGCCGCCGCCGCCGCCGCCTTCGTCGCTTTTGTTGTCGATTTGCAGGCGGCGGTCGTTGTACGAATCGCGTCGCTGCTGCTGCTGCTTGGTGCACATTATTATTATCATCGTCATTAGAGGCGTTGCGTTGGTTGCCCTCACGTCCGCGGAGGGTGGTGGGCACGCGAGTTTATTGTCTGTGGAGGGGGGGGTTGTCTTGTTGTTGTTGTCGTCTTTGTGGCGTGTTTAAAAGACGACGACGACGCGGGGCGATGTCGCCTCGCGGCGGCGTCGGGGCGGATGGCGGCCCGGGCGAGAACGCCGCCGCCGCGGCTCGCCCTCTCGCTCTCTCGCCGTCGTTTCACTGCACTGTGGCTGTATGTCAGCGCCGTGTTTAGCTGCTGCGATGTTGCTGGTGGTGATGGTGGTGGTAAGCGGCGAGGCGGAGTCGTTGTTTGCCGCCCTCGTTGCTCGTGGCCGCGGGGAGGAGGAGGTGGTGGAGACGCGGCCGGGCCGCGTGCGCCATTTTCGGGCCGCGGGGCCCGCGCAGAGACCGCGACGGTGGCGAGACGCGACACGAGACCAACAACAACACTAACTACCACTACTACTAACTACCACTATACTACTACTAACTACTACATACCAACACTAACACCACTAACTACCACTACTACTAACTACCACTAACTACCACTAACTACCACTATACTACTACTAACTACCACTATACTACTACTAACTACTACAAACCAACACTAACACCACTAACTACCACTACTACTAACTACCACTAACTACCACTAACTACCACTATACTACTACTAACTACTACAAACCAACACTAACACCACTAACTACCACTACTAATAACTACTATCACTAACTACCACTAACTACCACTATACTACTACTAACTACTACAAACCAACACTAACACCACTAACTACTACATACCAACACTAACACCACTAACTACTACTAACTACTACCACTAGCTACTACTACCACTAACTACGACTACCACTAACTACTACTAACTACCACTAACTACTAACTACCACTACTACTAACTACCACCACTAATCACTAACTACTACTAACTATCACCACTAACTACTACTAACTACCACCACTAACTACTACCATTACTACCCACACGAGACGACCACCATCACTAACTACTACTAACTACCACTACTAACTACCACTACTACCACTAACTACGACCAACACCACCACTAACTACCACCACTAACCACCACTAACTACCACCACTAACCACACGAGACTGACTCTACTGAGAGCTGCCACCGTAGAAGCTGAGCAGAGGCCGCAGAGTTTAAAGAGACGCGGACACGAGACGCCTGTTGGCACGCAGCATGCAGATGGGGGGGTGGCTATAGGGGGGCTAGGGGGCTATGAGGGTTCTAAGGGGCTATAGGGGGGCTATGAGGGGCTAGAGAGGGGTCTAGGGGGGCTATAGGGGTCTAGGGGGGCTATAGGGGTCTAGGGGGGCTATGAGGGGGCTATAACACCGTAGACTCTACACAGACGCACGATATACCACTGCAGTGTAGACACGTGCGTTATTATATATAAATACACAGATTGTACAGCCGTGGACGACTGCTTAGATGTGCGATCGTAGACTGTCGTGACAGGCACGATACAAGCGTAGTCGCGATGTATACTCTACACTTTAGACTTATACACTTGCAACTATACAATATACAATAGTCTATGCACTGTAGCATATCGGCTGTACTCTACATAAACATCCCATGTATGATCATACAAACTGGATAGACATGCACGGCAGAAGCACACGGGCGCTTTAGACTATGCCCTGTAGACGAGAGAGATTATAGAGTCTATGTGCAACACACACACACAGACCCTACCGGCATGATGATCGCTCTAGACAACACACACTAATGCAGAAGAAGAGCTGTGTAGCTCCACGTGTACACTCACCACCACATGGCGTCTTGGGTGTGTGCAGACATTGCTGGTCCCTACTGCGGGGACAGCACCCACGATTGGCTCGGTTGTGCTACGTACGGTGCGAAAGAAGTCCACCATAGTTCACCAAGTCCACCATACATACACAATTCATGGCCTATTCCGTACGGTGCGAAAAAAGTTCACCATAATACACAATTCATGTCCTATTCCGTACGGTGCGAAATAAGTTCACCGTACATACACAATTCATGTCCTATTCCGTATGGTGCGAAATAAGTCCACCATACACAATTCATATCCTATTCCGTACGGTGCGAAATAAGTCCACCATACACAATTCATGGCCTATTCCGTACGGTGCGAAATATGTTCACCATACATATACAATTCATGTCCTATTCCGTACGGTGCGAAATAAGTTCACCATACATACACAATTCATGGCCTATTCCGTACGGTGCGAAATACGTCCACCATACACAATTCATGTCCTATTCCATACGGTGTGAAATAAGTTCACCATACATACACAATTCATGGCCTATTCCGTACGGTGCAAAAGAAGTTCACCATACATACACAATTCATGTCCTATTCCGTACGGTGTGTGCGAGGTCGGGGAGATCTCTGGGTGAGTCGAGGAGTGCTTGGATGTTGCTGATCTTTTGCAACGTGTTAGGGGCCTGTGGTAGTGACGGAAATAAGGTGAAGGTTTACGCTGTTGATATTGTTGATATTGTTGCTGCTACTGCTGCTTAATTGCTGGTGGTGGCTTCCCCTTGACTGCAATTGTTGATCACCAGTGAGGGAACATTTGCAATTGTGCGTAGCATGTTTTTGGCCTGGTAGGTGTAGGGTTGGCTGCTGAGATAAACCGGGTCAGCTTGAGTTTCACAGAGGGCATTATAATGCTGCACTCAGGTAAGATTTGGGTCAAGTCTTGTGTAGAGCATCTTCAGGCTGGAGAGACTACGGCATGTGATGTCACGGGTCTGCGCTGGATAGGATTAGGCCGTCAATGTTGGGCATGGGTATGATTAAATCGGGTCATACAGGGTGAGGAGGCAGTGTCACAGGTATGGCGGGGTTAAGACTGGATTGGTGTGTGTGTTGTTACGGGTGGGGCTTTGACTGGGTCAAGTACCGTCGGGGTAGAAACTGCGTTGGCTCGAGGGGGTTTAGGGGTTTGGTTTGGACTGGGATTGGGCAGCGACAGAGAGAGAGAGGCAGCTGGGAGACGGTGGAAGGCGAAGAGGCGTGTTGAGACACGTGGAGGGGGGGGGGGGCAAGAGGGCCCCCCACATCATCCACACAAGGGGGGTGATCCGCGGGGCGAGCCACCCGACAGCCGTTCCGCTGCCTACCCCCACACCGCCCCTTGTTGCCTCTCCCCGGGGCCTCTCGGGGGAGGAGGAGGAAGAGACGGTGGTGGTGGTGTCGTTTAAATGGCTTAGGGAGGGGAGTAGGCAGCGTGTACAGTGTAGTGCGGAGAGCGCACACGTTTGTGTGCAGTGGTGGAGCCGCCGTTATATATTTGATGACGAATCCTATGGGAAGTAAAAGACACGTGTCATTGGCGAATACATTTGGAAACAAATTCCTAATGCGATGCTGCATCCGTCGGTATGTGGAACCGCAGACTGCGTACGTTTGGGATGAAACTGTTCACAAAGGCAAAATTTATGGCGCAGCAGCTTATGCGCATCGCCGTGGTGACCTTTTGGGTCAAATTGTCTCGGGAAACATAATTGCGCACGGTTATATTTATACAGCATTGGCTGTATTTTACGTAGAAGTAATTGCGCGTAAGATATCCAGTGATCGTTCTGGAGGCCGATTCCAAGCGCAGGCATGCGGATTTTCCACCATTCGTTCAGTACCCTGCTATAGGAGATGCGCACCACCCCCCCAATGCTAATTTGTTGCACTCTGCGTGTACGTACGCTTACAAATATTTTTTTTGCAGGAACTATTCCAGCTACCACATGTTCAGGGTTAGATGCCGAGCCAAGCACCGAGCTATGCATCATGGAGTGCAGTCAGCCGGGGAAGGTTTGGTGGGCAGGGATGGGCCGCAGGTTACACGTGCGTAGCCCCCACAGGTTACACGTGCCGTCACCCCCACAGGTTACACGTGGTGTCGCCCCACAGCCAGGACGCAAAGCCGGCCTCGGCATGGGGCGCCCGCTGTGCGAGCAACAGAGGAGATAAAATTTGTTCTTGCAGCTGCAGAGAGCATTGGTGATTGTCCAAGGGCAGGCGGGACCAGCGTGCTTTTGTGTGCACGCGTGTTGCATGCATGCATGCACGCAGGCTGAGGGCGGCCAGCTTGCCGGGGTTTGTGGTGGGGGTGCCGCGGTTCAGGGCAGAGCGAGGAGGAAAAGGAGGTTGTAGCAAGGGACTCAGCCGGCTGTCGCCGCTTGAGAAGGAAAGGCATTAACGCTGTGGCTGCACACTGTTTTGTGCGCATCCTGCCAGGTCTAAATTATTCTATACCGTGCTGTTTGGGCTTGTGGGAAAACACATGACCTAATGCTGTACATTGAAATATTTCCCTGGGAAGCCCAGATTTTGTGTCTTTAAAAGAAGATGCATGGAGCCTGAAATAAAAAATACACTTTGTTGATGGCAAGCTTGGCTTTGTGTTCCAGGCCATCTTATTATGAGGTTGAAGCTGTGTTAATGAGCATGATAAAATAGACTGTAAATGTACAGCCAGGTGCTTTATTATTTATTATATATTAGACTACCGTCAAGGCGACAGTAGTCGAATATATTAATACATTGTCACTGCATTTATTGCATGAACACTGGTAGTGTCCGTGACAACCAAGTCTTTACCATTCAGATATATTTTTTTCTCACTTAAAAATGCTTTTAGCTGGAGTCTGACAGCCCAGGACACAGCCCAGGACACAGCCTAGGTACATGCCAAAGCTGTTTGCCTTTTGCACTGCATTTTCCTATGGGTTTTTTCAGAATGGTCCAGCTTGGTTTGTTAGGTCAGTACCTTATTGAAAGTGGATTAAACCCACATCATTCGGGAACCCTATAATGCACCATGAGTAGATCTATGTCATATACAGTCCATCTTCTTGGCAGTATAGGGTTGACACGTAGGCTTTCGAGACCAATATAAACATGAACTTGCAGGCTGCACTCTTTGCCCCCCCCCCCATCAGCCCTTGGAACCAACACCCATGTCACATGTCAATAAAAGTGTTTCCTTAATGGTATAAACGTTTAGGTTAGAACCTTAAGGTTGTGTTGGAGAGTGATGTTAATCATTAACAACCGTTCAAGCAACTTTCATTAAAAACCAAACGGAATTGTTTACCTATAATACTTTATGAATTACATATGCCGGTTGTATTTATATCCAGGACAGCCACTGAGAATAATGTTAAACGTGTGTTTGTGTTCTTTGAAAATAAGTAGGGCCTTGTGTGGCTCGAACACCAGATTCGAAAATCTGACGGTAAACAAATTTGAATGCGCTGTGTATAACACTGACGTCTGGTTTTGTCTTGTATTTGACTCAAGAGTTTGCAGATGCTGCCTTGGCTATAGCCACAAACACAGAACCACATTTTACGAATACTTTTGGCAGCTCAAAAGCTTGCATCATCAAATTCAGATACTTGCTTGTGTTGTATGAACAATTATTGTGATGCTGTGGAGAAGGAGGTTTAAAAAAACTGTTCCACTTGTAAAGCACGCTGTTATCTATCCTCAGGGAATCACTTGCACAGATATTGTTTTGGGCAGAAATAAAAAAAAGGCTTAATTTTTGTATCTGCTTAAGTTTCCTTAACAACAGCACTGGGTGTGTTGTACTGACGGCAGCCTGACCAGAAAAGCAACGCTGAGTAACATTTTGTATGTATGTATGTTGATCTTTGTGACTAAGGCACAGTGGTAGACAGCATTTCCTGTGAGTGCATGGGCTGGCATGGCCGAGATCCCTAGAAAGCACTGAATAAGACGCGCGTCCACGGCTGGGCATGTGTGAATTCTAACGCGCGTACCCGTGTCACACAGGAAGGAGCCGCGGCTCCCGTTGTGCCTCCAGTAGGTGAGGCGGCGTGACATGAACGGAGACCTGCAGAAAAAAGGGGAAGGCGTGCAGACATCCGGGGCATCCACGATGGCCTCCACAGGTGAATTGTCCACCAGGGCTCGGGTGCAGGGGATCGTGAGTGACCGCATTGTGCAAGTTAGCGCATCGTCCTGAGATATTTTGTTCTGTGAGCCCCGCTGGGTGGAACGAACAGACCAAATCCGTCAGATGTCTGCTACCTGGGGACTAAGAGACAAATTGGTCTCGGTTTATATATTTTGTAATTCCTGTGCCCCTGTTCCGGCTGCTTTGAAATTGTAATGTATTGTAATAATTGTAATGTATCTTTCCGTTTTGATTTTTGCATTGATGCAATAGATGTTTGGACGCAGGATGATCTGACGACGCTCCTTGACCGCATGCATGCCTTGGTTCCCGAGAGCGACACATTGAAATTCAAGACCACCGAGCTTCACTTTGACTGGGAGAAAGTCAAGTTCGGTCCCTACTCGGGCGAAGTATGTCGTGAAAAATGGCTAAAGCTGACCACCGAGGTGAGGTCTGCAATGTTTGTTTAACAAACTTTTTTCGTGGTACTGTCTCAATCTTAGATCATCCACATACCAAATAGTACCTAGCGCCAGTTTGGTCACATGATACTTCCCACAATGCTCTCTGATGTGTTTTCAGGTTGCGCATGTTTGATTGTTTCCGTAAAGCCATAAGCATGACTGCGAAAAACCTTTGCAGTAGTATACTCTCTCAATTTACCGACATGATCAATAATTTACCGGTAATTAATTGTGTAGTATTTGGAAGCAAAATCTCCACCAGTGGCCTACTGTTGTGAACAAGCCATAGAAATGTTTTAACGTATACACAATTTTTCCACTTTTGGCCATCCCACATTTCTACACTATTTTCATCTTTGTCTTGGAGCCGCGAGGCTATAGAAGTGAAGGCTGATGGCTGTGTTTGTGCTGTCGGTGCCTGCAGATCCGCAAATATCGCACGATGACGGAGTTGCTGATCGATGCAAGAGAGTTCGTGAAGAATCCCTACAAGGGAAAGAAACTTAAGGTGATGCTCTGATTTCTTTTGAGAGAAATGACCGAGTGATAACCGTGTAGTGTGTCTCAATGCCACCAGTTATATCTGTATTGCCTTTGCGGTTTGTCATTAGGTAAATAAAATAACTACGTTTTTCCAATTGGCTGCTGTAATAGGGATAAGAACCAGTGGTCAGGCCTGTAAAGATTTCCCCCCTCACAAATAGATACATTTTCACACTTGAGGTTGTAATTCAATTCTAGCAGTGTTTTTGTTATTGTTAATATAGTGGCCTCGATTGGCAGCATAGGTTACGCAAACTCATCACATAAAAGTCAACAATAATCGATTCTTACAAGCATGATTGGATGCGTGTATCAAGCGCTGTAAGAATAAATTAATCAACGTGTCTATATTTCATGTGCTTTGGCATTTGCAGGGGTTTTTTGTTCTGGGTTGCGCGATTCACCGTCCGTTTCTGTCTCTCGTACATGCAGACACACCCCGACTTCCCTAAGAAGCCGCTCACGCCCTATTTCCGCTTCTTCGTGGAGAAACGCTCCAAATATGCAAAGCTGTACCCAGATCTCAGCAACCTGGACCTCACGCGCTGCATGTCCAAGATTTACAAGGAGCTGCCCGAGAAGAAAAAGGCATGGCCTCACAGCAGGAACAGCAAGCGATGATGGAACACTTATCACCAGCACCATGACTCGTGATATTGACATGCCTGCAATGTTGTGTGTTCACATACCTCTTGGGTTCAGTCAGTCGGTCTTACATATTGCCTGGTTTCAGTTGCCCCTTCGTGTAGTGAACCCTGTCAACCACAGTACTGCTTCGCTTATATAATCCTGTACAACAGTTGCAAATGCACAGATTCGTAAGTGAAACATTAAAATAAATTGAAACGTGAGATATTGTAGATCTTGGATTCAGGAGAGGCCATGGATGTAATTCATGTTCTCACATTGCACCTCGAAGTGGTACGGTATACATTGCCAATCCATAACCCCCATTACTGACGTAGCGTGGAAAGGCCTCCATCCAGCAGTGGATTGAAAAAGAGCTGTGATTTATTATCATACTACAATGGTGATCATGCTGTGTTGATATTGTATCTCAAAAAGCAGATGAAGTACATAGAAGAGTACCAAAGGGAGCTGGAAAACTTTGATAAGGCCATGGCCAAATTCCGGTGAGTTGCGGGCTGCTGCTATGTCATGATTAAGTGGGAGCTGTAAAAGCTAAATCTACAGTGCTTTGATGCGATTGTCTGCGACGACTCTTTCACACGTATTTACACAAAACGTCAAATAATAGTTTCTGAAAAAAAAATCTTCCCCAATCGTGACCGTTAATCGAATTGTAGGGGGTAGGAGGAGTGAATCATTAATTACCTACTCTCTCACTTGGGTCATAACTGTAGGTGTATGTGTTTGTGAGATTGAATTGGTGTATGTTCCAAGTGTGTAGTTTGTATGTGTGTGTGTGTGGTTTATGAAAGTTATGATTTGTTCTTGGTGGGCAGGGAGGAGCATCCAGAGCTGGTGGACACTGGAAAGAAGAAGTCTGATCACCCTGAGAAACCCAAGACGCCACACCAGCTGTGGTACAACCACGAGAAGAAGATCTTCATGAAGCAGAACACGGAGGTCGGCCTGTCTGCTTGGAATACACTTCTTGGAAATGCACAAACTATGATTCCGTTTAGCTTTTCCTCATTGCCATTCACGTGCCACCACTTATTTAATAGTTTTGACTTATGCCATCGCTAAGCCTAAAGCTGCACCTGCTTAGCATATGGATGTGGCTACGCTTTCGCAGAAGAAGCACGATGCTGCCCAGATTGGTCCAGGCTCATGTTTAAACTCTCCGCACTCGGAAACACTGATCTGGAAAGCCATATTTGTTTTCACCACTCAAAACATAAATGTCGCTAAGCTACGTATACATGTCGAGGTGCTTTTGTCACGATTTTATATTTTACCTTGGGGGCCCCTTTTTCAGGAGTCTCAGTGGGATGTCGCTTAGTCTAAATCAATTATTTGATTGATTGGAATATCCATATTTATATATAGGGCCTTAAGTCCATAATGGATGGGGATTTCAGCTCATGTGAAAAACTGTAACTACGTGGCCTCATTGAGCATGGGATGCATCATTACCACATTTTCCTCCCCACCGTGCGCAGATGAACCAGCGGGATGTGAAGGAGGCTCTGCGCAAGCAATGGTCTCTCCTGCCCGACAAGAAGCGTCTCAAGTGGATCCACAAAGCCCTGGAGCTGCAGAAGGAGTATGAGGTGCTGCTCGTTGCACCCACATCGCCACTTTTTATGGCAAAGGGAGCAAGCATTACCTATCCGCAAAAATATCAAATACTCATTTATGACTAGGTCCTGAAGAAATTGGGCGCTGTACAAAAATGTGGGTTTGGTCAGCCCTTGATTTGAATCGTGTGGCCTGAGCTCAAGTTTTGAGGTGCTCACAGCTATGCTGTCGATGTCACCACATCATATCTCACCATCACTTCTGCCAGGTCCAGCAGCTGATGTAAACTTGACACCCGACTTCCTAAGATCTTTTCTTACAGAATCCCACATCTTTAGGTGTTCCCCTTTGGTTGTTGACCTCTGGGTGTCAACTGCGGGACTGGTTTAACATTTACTTACTGGAAACCCAGCAAGATGGGTTTACGCATTTATTTTCAATATGTTTTTGCTTCTTGTCTTTGAAAATAATGCTCACAAAACTGTAAATATGTATGTATGTTGAACTTATTTCGTGCACCGTATAGCCAACCGTGCTAATCGGAGGTGCGGGGGAAAGACTAAACTAAACGCAAAAAGCAATTATCAAGAAATTCGTTTTCAATCTAGATTTAAAAGTGCATAGCTCCATTCTAGATTTGAAGTTTTCGTGACTGCAAGGATCCATACTCTTTGGTTCTTTCGGTAAAGTCACGTAAGTGAAAAAAAATAGAAATAACTAAATTATATCACGACGTTTCGGAAGCAACACAAGCTTCTGTCATCAGGTGGGACAACCACAGCAAGAAACAATATTGCTGTAGTGCCCACTACAGTAATTTTTATTCAAATTTTTTATTTTTTCACCTACGTGACTTTACCGAAAGAACCAAAGATTATGCATAGCTCCAGTGGCTTCCTAATATCAGAAGGAAGAGCTTTCCAGATGGCTGCAGAAGCGCATCTGAAGGCTAGCCAAAAGCTGGATTGGCCGCAGTTTGCGTGATGGTTTATGCTCCTTGGCGTGCTGAAACAGGATCTATGCGAGTCTCCTGACTGCCGACCCCGTCTTGATGGTGGAGTCGCGTGCGTTTGCGCGGTGCTGTGGGTTCCGTCGAGCAGGGTGCGGTGCGCAACTACATGGAGAGCCACCCCGAGTACGTGCACGACGATAACATCAAGTCGGTGCTCTCCAAGGCAGAGAGACAACTCAAGGACAAGCACGACGGGAGGCCCAGCAAGCCCCCTCCGTGAGCTCGCGCTTGCGCATACACGCACACGTACACAAACGCTGTGCCACGTACAAAGCATTTTCATGAGGAAGGGATTGCTCCCACATTTGACAAGCTGTTTGTAATCGTCGCACACCATCTTTGGATGGTAGCCCTGATAAGTGCCTGCAACTAAGTTGTAAAATTCTGTTATTTATGCTTGTGTAAATCAAATTCATCAGGTCTCCCTTGGAGGAAAACCTAAAATTGTACTTGCATAGCTCAATGAAGGATATTACTGATGTTATTGGTAAATGATAAGAAACCTAGGTATTTAAGAATAGTTTTTGAACCACCATCTTGCATATTAATGCAGCCAATGTGTCTGCTAAAACCTACGTGTATCGTATGTTGTATGTGTCCGTACTGAATTGCTTGTGATGTCCCGCCCATGCACTTGTGTACTGCGTGTGGCATGTGGGGGACTGCTTTAGGAATGGCTATGCGTTGTTCTGTGCCGAGCTGATGGTGGGGCTGAAGGACATCCCTTGCACGGAGCGCATGATCGAGTGTAGTCGGCAGTGGCGGTCGCTACCACACAAGGAGAAAGACTCCTTCCAGAAGCGTTGTGAGCTGGTGAGTGTATGGTCCTGAAGCATGTTGGTATGTGACGATCAGATCAGTGTTGTGCTGAGATGGTTGAATGTGTGGTGCTGAGTAAGGTCAGCGCGTGGCACTGACCCTCCACTCTGCTTCCATCTATAAAGTGCAGCCCCCTTTTATTATTGCCAGAGCGATGAGAATTCAACTTGAAGCTCAAATGAACTCGGTTTCTTGGTCTTGAGATTGCACAAAAAAACAAGGAATTGTTTACAATGCCACCATATTCTCATTGGATCTGTAAGAATTAACTTAAGTAGGTGCTCCCATACAAATACTGTACTGCAGTCACTTTTCCTTTTAAGTTCGGAGGCCCCAATGATGCTTTCCCATGTAGACTAAATGTCATCGATTTTTGTCACCTGACTTAAATATAAGCGTATGTTCACTCTTGCAGATGAGAACTGTTTTCTGTACTGATGTTTTTTTATTGTTTCCAGAAAAAACGGCAGTTTGAAGTTGAATTTCAGAGGTTTCTTGAGGTACGTTCGAATCCCGCCGAGTATTTTGCGTGCCACATCACGGAGATTTTTTAATGAATTTGCCAAATTCAATCGGGAAGCGACCCTTAGGCGGTGCATGGCTTGCCTTGAGGGCATTGGCACGGAGCTTGGGTTAAAGGGGGCGCGGCAGGGTCACGACGATGTCATCGTCACTGTGGTGTTCCTGTGCCCAATGTCCGAAACAGAGCCTACCGGAGGAGGAGCGGGAGAGGGTGGTGAATGAAGACAAGGGCAAGGAGGGGAAGTTGGCGACTTCCACTGCCAGCCGGCCACCGGTGTCAAAGGTAGTGGGATGCAAGCCCCCCCCCCCCGACCCTGACAGTGGTTATATGTATTGTATAGCCTTATGTCATTCCACTACAGGATGAGGGCTCTTCCAATTTGTCTGGGTCCTGAGGGTTATTTAAAGATCCTTCACCACTCTACTGAGTGCAAGTTGGTGGCGCTGGGGAGCATAAAAGTACAGTACAACAATAGATATTGCTGCGTTGCCTGCCGCAACAGCCCCTCAACCAACAACAACATTGCATGGTGGCCACCCATCCAAGTACTGTTCAGGGCTCAACCTTGCTTAGCTTCTGAGATCTCCCAAAATCGCTGTCATGACTTAGTAATAGACGACACTTGACAGGTTCGGCTTCAATTATAACTCAAGCTGATTAGTCCACTCTGAGCTTGCAGTCTACCATTTGCCGCACCATGTGGCTTGGCACGTAAGTGCCTCGGTGCTGACCTCTCGCTTTCTGGCAAGCTGCTTGCAAGAGAGTCACAGGGGGCTTCTTTTTTTGCACAATTTTTGTCCAGGAGGAGGATGGGAGGGACAAGAAGGAAGCCTGGAAGCGAGGAAAGATGCCCGAGACGCCCAAAACGGCAGGAGGAGATCTTCCAGCAAACGAAGCTTGTGGAGTGCCTGGTGAAATACAAGGTGAGGATCAGAATTCGCTTTGCATCGGCCCGCACCGACGGTGACTGTTGCACACTTGATTGCATCCCACACACCGAGTGGCTTTGCTCATTTATAATCTTTTCTAAAGAGATGTGCTTTATGACTGTGATTTATTAATTGCAGTATTGGTCTCTCTGTGTGTATGTCTGCTTGTTATATATCCATGCGATGCATTTATCCCCTGAATTCAATGAATTCTTCCGACTCATGGTCTCGATTAGGTTAAATAATTCATTTGTTTTTGCATTGTGGTCCATGCAGCGCCTCTAGTGGCTGCATGGGTCATGTGATCAAATTGCATACGATAAATAGAAAATTATATCTAATTGTAAAATGTAATGTGTACATCATTAATAAAATCTGTTTTAATAAATGAATTCACTCTTACAGGCCTGTTGCATTGTGGAATGTATGCAATGATGTCAAAGCATTGAACACAACGCACTTGACGCATGATTGTGTGTTGTTACTATTAATGTGAAGGGCAAAAAATAAAACGCCGACCAAAAAAAATTCACTAAATACAGACTTTGCCACAAGTGTGAGTAGTGGTGGACTGCAAAACATAATGCTACTTCACATTGGCAAGATCATGTTTTGTAAAGCCACTGCTGGATTCACCACATTTCCGTGCACTGTTCATTTCAGAATGACAAGAAGAAAGCCCTGAAGGCGCTGGACGCAGAGTGGAAAGGTTTGGACAAGAAGCAAAAAATATTTTGGATCAAAGCAGCGGCAGAGGACCAGAAGCGATATGAGGTGCGCACGCCCGTGTAAACGCCGACACGCTGCGGCAATGGCGGTCGTGCGCTTCTTCTGCATGTGCGCTTGCTTTCATTTGCGTGTATTTGTGCTGCTCACTGTGCATCTGTGTGTACACATTGTACCTGTCCAGAGAGAAATAACTACCCTGAGGACAACGGCCGCCCCCACACATAACAAGAAGGTGAAGTTTGAGGGGGAGCCCAAAAAGCCACCAGTGTAAGTGATCCGCCGCTTTTACACTCGCAATGTTTCACTGACAGTATGTGGGGCTGCATGCGGCAGCGCACACCTTGACGCACTTGCGTCAGTTTAATGCAGACATGTGGAATTTGGTCAACAAATTTTGTGGTTGCAGACTAGGCGTGTAATTATGCATTGATTCATTGATTGAAATTCGTTATAATTCTCTTGATACATGTATCGATTTATGAATATGAGTAATGATTATTGTATGCACGTAATATACGAATAATATGCTCATGTTTTTTGGGGTAATTGTGCAAACGAAATTATGCAAAGGACACAAAAAATTGGAAATTACACGACAGTTGATGAACAAAATAACAAAGAAATCGATTTTTGGATTGATTTACATCCCAGATCTGTGACAACAGAATTTGTGATTTGTTGGGGGCAGATGTGAATTGTTACATTCCTATTCTTTGGTTCTTTCGGTAAAGTCACGTAGATAGAAAAATAAAAATAAAGTGAATAAAAATAAAAATCATAGAAAACAAAAAGACCACTAATGTAGACTGTAGCCTGGTTCTTAAGTTTGGTAAGTGTACTGGTAGTCTATAATGTAGACTATAGCAATGGTTATTAAGCTGGGTGAGTGTACTGGCAGTCTATAATGTAGACTGTAGCATGGTTCTTAACCTAATAACCAGGTTACAGTCTACATTATAGACTGTCAGTATACTCCGATTAAGAACCAGGCTACAGTATAAATTGATGTTTTATTTTTTTCGATCTCCATGACTACTGAAAGAACCAAAGGATATGAATTCCTGTAGTTACGAAAGTTTGAAGTCAATATTTGTTACATGCCTATTATGGATTTATTGTTTATATATTTTAGTGGGGAGTATTGCGTGTGGGTGTAGATGGGGTGTTGAACTGCGGTGAACTAAAGCGTGGATCTGTGCTGTTTGCCTTCGCAGGAGCGGTTATCAGATGTTCTCGCAGCAGTTGCTGTCGAACGGTGAGCTGGCGCGCATCGACCTTAAGGACCGTATGGTGGAGATCGGCCGGCGCTGGCAGAAAATGTCACTCGCGCAGAAGGAGAAGTACAAGCAGATGACGGAGGAGGCACAACGCAAATACCAGGTGGCGCTCGACGCCTGGATCAAGGTGTGCACCCTGGAATTAGTTTCATCAAGGCAACACAGAACGTATTGTTTTTCATGGAACCTGAATATATTAAGTGGTGGCACCTAACATTGCTATGTGGGGTACCTGAATATGACAACTCCGATATACATACATGACCCCTAGATGTAGTTTCGTGACAGTCTCTTCCTAGCGGGCTGTTCTCTAACACACGGAGCTCCGAATGGATACTTCATCTTATGGTCTGGTTCCAGGAGCACATTTGGAATAACATTTTAAAAGAAAAAAAATAACAATGATTATTTAAACATGATTCTTTTGACATCTGTTTTTTTGCACACGATATATCGAGTGACCTTGTCAGTCTGCGTTTGTATATTTTAATGCATATTTTAACCTTCTTGACAGACGCTGTCATCTTCTGAACGGGCAGCATACAAAGAGTCCATAGCCAATGTGAGTGGCACCTCCGCTGTATCTCATTTCCTCTACACAAAATAACACAGCAGCAGTAGCAGATACCTTGTCTGCTGTACAGGAATGCATCTTGAAGTGGAATATACTAATTATGGTTTCATGTAACTCCCTTGAACAGTTCTAGCCATAATACAATGTGCCAGCAATAATATATGCTTTTATATACATCTATGATACAAATTAGTTATATATTCAAATTAATACCGGAAGGGTTTTCAGTTAATAGCTGCTAAGACGTAACTTAATATGCCAATAAAAAAAAAGTGAATTGGAATTTTTTTCAAAAATGCCCTGTGGTGTAAATTCTCATCACTATCTTCTATCTACTCTGTCTCTCTGGTCTCTGTGTGCTATGGCCACAGTGTTATTGGCGAATGTGTTCAGCATTGTATTTGTTTCCGTTGCTCCCTTGCAGCTGTTAACCATGGCGGTGCTTTGTGTCCCGGCTACCCGCCCGCTCCCCGTGTTCCGATTCCTGCTGCCGCTCGCTGTCTTAACAGAAGCGTAAAGGCGGCACCAAGTCGAGCGCACCACCAGCCAAGATGCGCATCACCATGCCCAAGGCAGACACTTCGGTGAGCGAGTGTGCCCATTCCCAGGGCTTATTTTCTCACTGAATAAGTGCAAGGTCACCTTGGTAGACTGGTGTAGGCCTAGACAGTAGCCACAGCCAGTGAGTGGTATACGAGATGCTGTAGTATGCTGTTCGTGAATATATATTCCAATTGACTAACCTAGAAAGACTCGACTGAAGTTAAGCCGTGTCCATGGCTCTCGGGCATATCATCCAAGCTCGTCGTTTAACTTTCTGATACATTGACCTCTGAAGTAAGAATGTGCGATTTCCACCACTGGCTCAGAGCCACCACTGAAGAGGAGTGCAACTCAATGCACTCATTCAAGAGCGTAGACACTTTGACTTGACTTTGTCCAGCACGCCTTTACGTTTTTAAATCCACAGATGGGCAGAGGATATCACAAGGACGATTTAAAGATACTCTCTTTATGTTTTTTACGGTGGTGACCAAGTGATTTATGGCTACATGGAACAGACTATTTTTAGTGTATCCCACAGGTGCAACACTTCCGCCCTCTGTATAATTGATATGCACATTTTATACGCTGTACACGCATCTTGGGCGTTTATTGAGATCAACTCCCCTGCAGTTGCACACAGGGCAGCAATAAAATGTTGTATCCTAGTACGGAAAATAAAGCAAAACAGTATGCACAACTCGGTTGATACTTAAAAAGAGACATATAATACGAGTCGACAACCCATCCTATGAATGAGGTGAAATTACTCACAAACTCACCTGACCTTCGTCATTCACCACTCGCCCGACATTCGCCAATTTATACAATGTCATGGGAAGGCCGTTTTGACCCCGTTCACAAACTACATATCATAAGCTCATTTAAATTGATTAAGTGATCTAGGGGGGTTTCTGTGGACAAAGACCCATACAGATTAGCTGCTTGTTATATATAAATAATGCAGATGTTTGCATCACTTTTCCAATGAAGTCTTTTGACACTGCTTCAGGTGCAATACATGCTGTTCATCGCTGTTAATTATTTTAAGTGAAAGAAAACCAGATTGTCGATAATTGCCAGGCATAAGTGCCACGAGTTTTTCACAGCTGTCTTTTTATAATCCTTTACCCAAGAAAGATTAAAAGTCTCTGGTTTCTCTTTTCCAAGAGAGTTAACAATTGGACTCCTTGGTCTAAGATGTGGGATAATCGGCATTATACTCTGAGCGGCAGCTCTGCTGAACGACGAGGTTAACAGTGATGCCGGTCCTCCCGGTGCTCAGGACTCGAGCGATGGCGAGGATGATGATTCGGACGAGGAGGAGGGCGATGGGACATCGGGCTCGGACAGCGATGACAGCGATGAAGATGGCGAGGAGGTGAGGCTTGGCAGTGGTCATGTTCGATTGCGGACGTGGATTGTGAATACTTTGTTCGTCGGTATTTTTTTTTTCAGCGTGACTGGTTGATTACTTGCGTGCATTGATGATGAGCCAATCAGTTGGCAAAAACACTTCGTAAATTGGTGATGAAGTCGCCACGCAAAGGACTGCTGTTCAGCACAGGTTATATAATCTCCCTATGTAAACCAATTTCACCCTGCAAAGAATAAAGGTGCTTGCACATTCTACAAAAATTTGGGAGACTATTGATTCCTATTGAGAATAGTGGCACCAGCATTAGCTGGAGTTGCAGTATATTTTATGCTGACAACTTAACCTGCTTTGCTTAGAAAATGCATACCAACAACACCCATGGGTAGGATTTGCTTGATTGGGTGAGAGAGAGTGTGTTTGCCTGTTACAGATGCAGTTATTCATCCCTCTACTTTGAGAATAAATGTGGTGTTAAAATCGGCTTTTTTTATTAATGTATTTACATATTCTTGGTTCTTTCGGTAAAGTCACGTAGAAGGGAAATAATATGAATTGGTCTAAGATGTGGGATAATATTAATATATTAATATTATTTTATTATTTCCCTTCTACGTGACTTTACCGAAAGAACCAAGAATATGAATCCCTGCAGTCACGAAAGCTTTAAATCAAGATTTAATGTATTTACATGTGAACATCTATTTTTAAACATGTGATTGCGTGTATGTTGAGTGCAAAAAAAACGAGAATTGACGAATGTTACATTGCGATTGTCCACTTGGCATCTCCGTGTGTTGGTGCAGGCAGAAGAAGAGGGAGAGGAAAACCAGAGCAGTGGCAGTGATTCTTCGACGGATGATTCTGATGACTCGGACTCTGAGTAACCTCTGCCCAGCTCGTCAGTACCGACCGTTCCATCCAAACTTAATACTTTTTTTTTGTATCCAACTACCCTTGCCGTCTTACATGCAACAAAAACTTGCATTGACACACACGCACGCACCCTATTGCTGGTTGAATTTTCCGGCAGGGTATACATGTACAAATTGATAACATTTAGGGCATTATGAGCAGCCATTTTACCTTTAAGCTTCATTACCATCTTTGGCATGTCGTGTTAGGCAGTTTTGGGAAGAGAAATAGTAAAAAACACTAACTGTGCTGATTTCATTTGGAGGTTATAACTTTTTTTTACATAAAGCATGGAACTTTATGATGTTAATGACAACCCAAGGGCTGCCAATTTTAGCAAAATTTGACAATTTATGGTTTCAACCAAACAGGTTATTTTTTTTACACATGCGACCTGTTTCTTTTTTGTCATCACTTAGTACATATTGTGTAATTTGTGAACAATTGTACATTCTTTTGCTAATGGGGATTTTACATCAATGGGGATCTAACTTGGCGGTGACATGGCCCAGCGATAGCACGTTTGCTGCGTGCTTCAGTTGTTCGTGGTTTGAGTCCAGCAGGCTGCCCTGGTTTATACAATGTATGTGTTTAACCGTAAAATGCTTTGCACCCTCTGCTTCACGGAGAACCTGAAGGGATCCCCTGATGTTATTTGTTGCCCAGAATTTGCGAAATTTTAAAATAGCCGACAAATTACTCAGTTGGGATGACACATGGAAGTCATAATCCCCGACTGGCAAACTAAATATAATGCCTGCTTTGCAGGTGGGTTGAGTCGTCCCCTCCTGCTGCACAGGGATAGCTGCCATTGCGGTTCCTTTTCAAACGTTAGAAATGTGATGCAAGTTACTTAATGTGTAAATTGATCTGAGGGCACTTTATTAAAACAAACAGCATAGATTTAAATAGTGTGTGGAATATTTTTAGTGGCTATCTTGGATTGTTTGCAACCATGTTGGATGTTGTTGTGTGTGGTCCAAAGTGTTTACGATTGAAGCATGTATCCATCCTTTGTAGACGTCTAATACTTAAAACGTATAGGTACTGAATTATAATAAGAAAGCCATGTTCACTCTTCATATGTATTATTGGGACTTAATTGGAATTTCGGTATCCTACATTTATATAAAAAATTACGTAGATGACAATCCTTGACAGCCACACAATGAATGACCTTAATATTACATCCATCACTAAGCTATTTCAAGAATGTCCATCTGTGGGTGCAAGCAATAATCTGAAGGCAAAGCTAAAAAAAAGTGTAAAATATTAATTCTGGATATTCATGCAATTGGTAATTTGGCATCCGTATTTTAAGCTAATGTTGATATTACAATTCCTGCTTTATATAAGCAGAGGTTGAATGCCTAAATCTTAAGTAATCTTGTCTCGTACAGATAGATGCCAACACATCAAAACGTATGGTGAATACATTGCAAAATCCAAGAATGGCTGCATATGATTAAAACGATGGATAACAAAAAAAAACATTTTATTTACTGTAAATCATTGATCTAAAAATCTACATTGGCACAAATGTACCAAAGATTTTCACATCATCAATCTTGCATTATGTTGCCCTTAATCAGTGATAACTTTTTTGTTGTAACAGTTAAGTCATGTGTCCTGATTTCATACAAAAGAGTTGGTTCATTTGGCTAAACCACAAACTATGATATTGATCATGTTAATTGGGGCGAGGGAGGGGTTGGGTGGGGGGGAAAAGGGAAAAAAACATCCAACAATGGCTGCACCTTTTGTCATCTTTTCATTCCATGTACTTAAATACGTTGGATGAAAGCCACTTGTTTTGCCTGAAACACATTCATCTTCAGGATCACAAACAACCTGAGTGTTCTATAATGGTGGTAAATAGGTCTCTAGGATTTTTTTTGCTTTAAGTGTCGTAAACAGTGTTCCCTGTCATGTAGGGATTTTTATATAACTAAACTTTGATCTGAGCTGCAGCCTGTTATGTATGTTTCCCTACATACAATCCTGCGCCCGTATTGAAGGGACAATTCATTCACACGTTAACTTGTATTAGCAACCTTGTACAGATTGTTTTGTTTACATTCGGAGAAATGTGATAAATTGTTTTTTTCCTAATCTGCAGTTGTTTATCTTTGTTTGCAGTATAGTTTTGAGTGGCTACGTGAGCTGATCACGAAGTGCAATCACCACACAACTTTGGTACTCAAGACTGGAGCATTCAATGTCCCCTCACTACCTGGTTGTTTATGAAGAATATACTATCAAAGCACATGATTGTATAACACATGGTGAAGACCCTGCAGTATCATGCACAACAGTAGCCCACATCCAATGTTTGAACCATACTTGGGTGATGCAAATCCCTATACTCGAAACAAGATTAACTTGGGTGCCTTGTAAGAGCTCATCAGTTGCACTGCTGGATGAGGTTTTTTTTATATTGTGTGGGAAATGGAGGTTATTTGACCATACTTCACGCTGCTCCAGTTTGGTGAAGGGAGGGGAGCATAAACGGCGTGGTTACAGGACTTCCTGACAATGTAGCCCCACAGCAGCTTACAACAGGTGGCCACACATCTATATGCAATGCAGACTGAATCCTACTTTGCTTCCGAGATCCGATGAGCTCGTACTTATTCCGGTTGATTTGGTAATAGCCGTATACCCGTTAAAGGAACAAAGCAAATACGATTAGAGAGGTTATTCTGGCATTTGGATTGTAAGTCATGAAACTGAAATCGAGAGTTTGCGTTGGGATGTATTGCTTTGCAAAGAAATCAGAGCTCCGTGCAGGACTTAGTGGCCTTTACTGGGCTCATTGGATGTGGTCTTTGCTCTGCCACCCATTGTTTGAGGGGGTGGGGAGGAGAAAACTTCAGAAATACCTCGAAACAATGTAGTGCTTTGCTGCATGCATGTCATTAAAGTGAAATGCGTGCGTGTTGTTGAGCCGACCATATATTGCGACACTAGGCATTTAAGAATACGCATTTCCTCGCTCAGCCCAGCTATGATGAATTCCCACAATTCAAGGCCCCTTCAATAATTATCTATTCACTATTGTCTAGCTTGTGCAGTCGATACTGTCTAGTTTGTATTGCACGTCTTGATCTAATCTCGTTCCATTATGTTAAAGGTAACATTTGCATGTTATTTCTAGAAATTGTATCGTCCATTTTACATGCACAGTTCGTTATAACCATTTGAGACCTTTTAAAAATGGGGGGGGGGGGGGTTATAGGGAGAGCGGAGTTAAAATATTAGCAAAACATGACACTGCACAAGGCAAACCCGTAAAAGTAATACAATATATCAACCACAAGTTATTTTGAACACAATTCTGGCAATATTTAACCGATTGCGTTGTGGTCAAGACAAGCAAGATGTTTAAATCGCACACACAAATATCCGGTTGAATAATAGTGGTCAGCGCAGCATGCAGCTTGGGAATTCCTTCAGTGACGGAAAGAGTAGTCATCCATCATGTGTGCGCCAGCCAGCCACCACAGCAGCACAGTGGCTGTGCCAATTGCCCTAGGCACGGTCGGGCGGTCGGGCTTGGCACAGCGTAACAAACCACACACCTGGACCGTTTAAGGTGGTTCTGGGGATGGCGAATCCAGATGGGCCGCTCACCCGACCCAGTGAGATGCTTGCCAACGATTCCGATTCGAGCAAAGAGCTTGGGAAATGTGTTGTTTGGTGAAGGTGGGGAAAACAAGTGGTGGTCGTATTCTTTGGGTCTTTCGGTAAAGTCACGGAGATAGGTTCAATGAAAATTTTAAAAAACTACGACGTTTCGATCGCAACACAAGCGGTCGTCATCTATGTGACTTTACCGAAAGACCCAAAGAATATTAATTCCTGCAGTCACGAAAGCTTTAAGTCAAGTGGTGGCCAACCGCTGCGATTGCAAGAGTTGGCAAGTACAGATGGTGTGGAAGATCCTGGTGGTTGCAGTGAGCCCAATTCCTTGTGCGCCTGAGAACTGTTTACAGGTGGATGGAGTGTGCCACACTGTCCAGGTAAGGGCTTTAGTTTGACGGTGACATTTAAGATTGTTCACCTGGTGGCCACCGCTAGACTCCACTGTTATGAAGGGCTGACACCGAGATGGAATGTCCATCTCATAAGTGGACACTGGCAGTGGCCAAAGGTGAAAACCAAGCTTGAAGTAAATTGTACCCGGAACAATACGATACATTCATACGGTCCAATGTGTTCATTTATTGAAGACCGAGAGGGTATACAATTGTTTTATAAAATTTTAAAGGAGGAATACCCACATTTACCGGTAGTTTAATGTATTTACTTTTGGGATACGGCACAATGATTGAGGCGCGCAAATTTGCGAAAGCATCGGAGTTCTCAAATTAGCATGCGTTTACTATGAGTGTCAGAAATGTGATTGATGAATAGCTACATGCCTAAACGCGTGTAAATGAAGCCACACACGGGTTTCCACATTTAGGCTCGTACGAAGGGCACGTGCGCCGCATGGCATAATTTACCAAAAAAAAAAGCGACGTGTCTGCCGGGAGTTCGCATGATCCCATGGGTTTTCACTGCAGAGGCATTGCACGACCCAAGCCTCGACCTCCCGCCCACGTTTGTCAATTTCCACCCCCTTCATTTCGCCGTTGCCAAACCCAGTGGGGTCAGACGCACGCGGATCAAAGTGCCCTCCGCCACCGAGTCGAGGCGCACACGTTGAGGACGCCGCAGCTGATTGGTCGAGCTCGCGATCAGCGCCAGCCCCGCCCCCTCCACACCCCCCCCCCGCCCGAATCTCCCGCGCGCTGATTGGCCCGATCTCTGCACACAAAGATTTTATTTCGATTTAAAGCTTTCGTGACTGCAGAGATTCATCTTCTTGGTTCTTTCGGTAAAGTCACGTAGAATGGAAATAATAAAATAATAAAAATGAAACAATACAATAATTATCACACTTTTTTTCTTTTTGTACGTTTCGGCCACAACGCAAGCAGCCGTCCTCAGGTGAAGAACAGGTCTGTCGATAAGACAGAGTCTGAATGACACGTCCTAGGCTTGGAGCGTCTATTTAAGCTGGGAGGGAGGAGGAAGAGCGCCTTGACAAAATAATTTGCATGTTTTATTATTTTATTATTTCCATTCTACGTGACTTTACCGAAAGAACCAAGAAAAAGACAAAGATCCCGCGTGTAGCCTTAACAGACTCCACGAGGCAAGTGCTGTCAGCGAGCACCTATGAAGGCCGGAACGGTACACGAGGGGGTCGGTTGGCCAGCACCACGCTCGACCGCCTTAGTCTCCCCCGTAGCGATGTTTACTCCACACCGCACCAGGTAGGTAACACATTTGAGGCTGAGTCGACCTAGGGGAGGCCCATGACCCGTGAGCGGGAATCGAACCCGGTTCGCCGGGTTCATGCCAGAGGTCGCAAACGGGTACCTGGCCGCACCAGGGTCGCAAACGGTTACACGTACCCGGCCGGGTACGGGTATCGGGTACCCGGTTGCGACCTCTGGGATGAAGCCGTGTTGCAGGCGCGGGTGGGTTGATTCTAGGAACTTGAATTGTGAGAAGAGACAAGACGTTGGGAAATTAGTGACAAACGGTGACTCACCAGTGACTCACGGTCTACCCGTACCCGGCCGCACCAGGGTCGCAAACGGGTACCCGTACCCGGGTAGCCGGGTATCGGGTAGGGTATCGGGTAGGGTATCGGGTAGGGTATCAGGTAGGGTACGGGTATCAGGTAGGGTACGGGTATCGGGTAGGGTACGGGTATCGGGTTGGGTACGGGTATCAGGTAGGGTACGGGTATCGGGTAGGGTACGGGTATCGGGTTGGGTACGGGTATCAGGTAGGGTACGGGTATCGGGTAGGGTACGGGTATCGGGTTGGGTACGGGGGTAGGGTACGGGTATCGGGTTGGGTACGGGTATCGGGTAGGGTACGGGTATCGGGCAGGGTATCGGGTAGGGTACGGGTATCGGGTAGGGTACGGGTATCGGGTAGGGTACGGGTATCGGGCAGGGTACGGGTATCGGGTAGGGTACGGGTATCGGGTAGAGTACGGGTATCGGGTAGGGTACGGGTATCGGGTAGGGTACAGGTATCGGGTAGGGTACGGGTATCGGGTAGGGTACGGGTATCGGGTTGGGTACGGGTATCAGGTAGGGTACGGGTATCGGGTAGGGTACGGGTATCGGGTTGGGTACGGGTATCAGGTAGGGTACGGGTATCGGGTAGGGTACGGGTATCGGGTTGGGTACGGGGGTAGGGTACGGGTATCGGGTTGGGTACGGGTATCGGGTAGGGTACGGGTATCGGGCAGGGTATCGGGTAGGGTACGGGTATCGGGTAGGGTACGGGTATCGGGTAGGGTACGGGTATCGGGCAGGGTACGGGTATCGGGTAGGGTACGGGTATCGGGTAGGGTACGGGTATCGGGCAGGGTACGGGTATCGGGCAGGGTACGGGTATCGGGTAGGGTACGGGTATCGGGTAGGGTACGGGTATCGGGCAGGGTACGGGTATCGGGTAGGGTACGGGTATCGGGTAGGGTACGGGTATCGGGTACCCGGTTGCGACCTCTGGTTCATGCCGCTCCGCACTCTCTGCACGCGCGTGCGCACAAGCCCCGCCCCCGCCCCGCCCCCCACCCCGCGTGTGGGCGTGGCGATCGGGGTGGGTGGGGGGCCCCGGATGTTGTGCAGGAAGCTCCATGAATGAAAAGTGGACGCGAGATCGCGCGTGACGTCGTCGAGACGCGATCGCCCCGGGTCGCCATCTTAGTCGGGGAGAGGGCGAGGGGGGAGGGGCAACGGTGGCCGAGCGAACGTTGCGCACCTTACCCCCCTCCCCCCACACTGCGCGCAGCTACGGTGACGTCACGACCGCCGGCGAGTTTCGATTGGAGGAGACCGCGTGGCCACACCCCCTTCTCCTTACCCAACATGGCCGCCGCCGCCTGACTTGTACAAGGTGGTGGGGGGTGGAATTGCCCTTCCTCTTGTTCTTTAATTTCATTTCAAATCCGCTGCCCACGCCGATGTATTATCGATAACAATAACAACGGCGCGAATGCTACAGTCGTCAAACAACAACAACAGCAACAACCGCGCGTGATTACGGTTCTGGCGATGGGCGGTGGCCGCCGCCGCCGCGCGCTGCCGGGCGGCCCTCGCCTCTCCGAGCGCCGCCGCCGCCGCCCCTCGCGGCCCGGGCGATGCCCGTGAAGCGGCCTGCCCGGCGACCCCACGGGCTCCACGAGTCCTTTCCACCTCCTCCTCATCCTCCTCCTCGATCAGCCGCGCATTTCTCTTCCTCGCCGGCAACGGCAGTAGCAGCAGCAGCGGTGGTGACGGTGGTGGTTGCCTCGTAACCGAAGTAGACAGACACCCACGTTCTCGTCGCAGAGACGCGCCGCTCGTGGAGGATTCTCACCCCTCGGCTGTCTCCTCTCGTCCTCTTCTTCATCTTCATCATCATCTCAAGCAGAGGCAGCAGCAGAAGCAACAGCGCAAGCATTGGCAGCAGGTGCGGTTGTGGCCAGTAACAGCCAGTCCCAATCCGGGCTCATTCACGGGGAGGAATACGGCGAGTTGCGCTTTCTCGTCCATCATTGTCATCTTCGCCGGCTCTGGCTCCATCATCGTCTAAATCGAGAACGACTCGGGGCTTCTTTACGGGTGGCTCTCTGCACCTGGAGGAATCGAAGTGTTCGTCGGCTCGGATCTGTCACCTGCACAAGGGACCCGCGTCTCGTTCAGACTTCGCCTGAGCAGAGTGGAGCTGCTTGTAAGATTCTCTTTATGTCTGTGGGCTTTGCTTCATCACCATCGACATCAGAAGCATCTGTAGCAGATTAGAGAAGCACCTGTAGCAGCAGCAGTAGACCCTTAACACATCTTGACCTGGGTTGCTTCACAGGGACCAAGGTTCCTTGGATTTCTCCTCTCCCGGCTCCGTCAGCACCCAAACAGATTCGAGCTCGGCTCCTTCCTCAGCTTCACCACCACCAACTACCAACAACCTCTGAATAAGAAGAATAATCTTCACTTTGAAACGCTTCAACCCAAGCAGACGTTTTACCCTTGCAGAGTTCCCACACGGTGGACTCCATCCCTTCTGGTTTCTCTTTCTCGAGTTCCAAATATCAACAGACTCGCTCACCACCACCACCAACAACAGCAGCGGCATCAGCAGCAGTGAAGCCCCCTTCCTCTGAACCCTGGAGGTGGTCGTACGGAGGAGCCATAGCGAGAGAGGAGGAGGGGACACATCCCCACGTATGCGTCTCTCGACATTGCTTGTCTGTGTCACTCGCTTGCCAAGGAGCACGGAAGAGCGTGAGTTCGCCAGATCTTTGTGTCTTTGTGTGTGTCTGTGTGTGTGTGTATCTGTGTGTGTCTGTATCTGTGTGTGTCTGTATCTGTGTGTGTGTATCTGTATCTGTGTGTGTGTGTATCTGTGTGTGTCTGTATCTGTGTGTGTGTATCTGTGTGTGTCTGTATCTGTGTGTGTGTATCTGTGTGTGTCTGTATCTGTGCGTGTGTGTCTGTATCTGTGCGTGTGTGTCTGTATCTGTGCGTGTGTGTCTGTATCTGTGTGTGTCTGTATCTGTGTGTGTGTATCTGTGTGTGTGTCTGTATCTGTGTGTGTCTGTATCTGTGTGTATCTGTATCTGTGTGTGTATCTGTGTGTGTATCTGTATCTGTGTGTGTATCTGTATCTGTGTGTGTCTGTATCTGTGTGTGTGTATCTGTGTGTGTCTGTGTGTATCTGTATCTGTGTGTGTGTAACTGTGTGTGTCTGTATCTGAACCGGTCCCGGGCCTCCCCTAGGTCGACTCAGCCTCAAATGAGTACCTGGTGCGGTGTGTAAATATTGCCAATAGGGAGACAAAGGCGGTCGGGCGTGGTGCTGGCCACCCACTCCCTCGTGTGCCGTGCCGGCCTTCATAGGTGCTCGCTAACAGTACTTGCCCCTACAGTCCGTTAAGGCTATACGGGGGGTCTTTGTGTATCTGTGTGTGTGTCTCTGTGTATGTGTCTGTATCTCTGTGTGTGTGTGAATCTGTGTGTGTGCCAGTGTGTGTATGTGTGTGTGTGCCAGTGTGTATATGTGTGTGTGTCTGTGTGTGTATCTCTGTGTGTGTGTGCCTGTGTGTATGTGTATGTATGTGTGTATGTGTGTGTGCCAGGGTGAGCGAGTGGCGCTCCGAACCCTGCGGGTTGAGTTTCAAATCCCCAGCCACGGCTTGACGTCGGTGGCGAGTGAAGTCGCCAACCGGTCCCTGGCCTCCCGAGTAACCGAGGAGGGCCCATTCGGGCCATTAGTGAGGACTTTGTGCGGTGTAAACACGGGCACCGGTGGGGAAGGTGGTGGTCGTGGTGGGGCAGAGACGAAGGCGGTCGTGCGTGGTTCTGTGACCACGGACGGGCAAACCCTTTGTGCGCCGTTTTAAAAGGGGTACACACGGGGAATCGTCTTGGCTGATGTCGGTGATTTAAACGCGCGTGTGCAAAATGGTCGAAGGTACACAGACTCGTGGCGGATGTGGGTGTGTGTGTGTGGCTCCGCTTTGTTTCTTACTTACTCCTGCTGGCTTGCCCCGGTCCATTGTGTCGCTTAATTCCTGAGCTCGCTTCAATTCGTCTCGGCGGTGCCAAATGAGCGTGGGACGTGTGTTGGATACGGCGAAAGACGAGATGCGTCGCCTACACGAGTGCGCGTGTTGTGTGTGCGACAGGAGGAGGCTGCGGTGAATTCGGAGGGCGCGAGTTGGTGGGCTTGGACATGGAGGTAAGAGAAAGAGAGGTTCCACCTTTTAAAACAATCGCGTACACAAAACCAGGGGGTCATTTGATCAGCGCCTTCCATTTTCCCATTCGACTTGGCTTGTGACAAAAGTAATCATTTGCAACCGTTATACAATCCACTGCTGGGGCTCCACGCCGTGGCGGTGGTGATGGCGGGGGGGGGCTTTAATTGGTGCGTCAACGCTGGTAGCTGCGGGTTTGCTGTTCAGGGGGGTGGTGGTGGTGTTGTAGAGGGGGCACGTGGTTGAGCGGTGGTGATGGCGGGGGCTTTAATTGGTGCTTCAACGCTGGTAGCTGCGGGTTTGCTGTTCAGGTGGGTGGTGGTGTTGGTGGTGGTGTAGAGGGGAGACGTGGTTGAGCGGTGGTCATGGCGGGGGGGGGCTTTAATTGGTGCTTCAACGCTGGTAGCTGCGGGTTTGCTGTTCAGGGGGGGTGGTGTTGGTGGTGGTGTTGGTGGTGTGTAGAGGGGGACACGTGGTTGAGCGGTGGTCATGGCGGGGGGGGGGGCTTTAATTGGTGCGTCAACGCTGGTAGCTGCGGGTTTGCTGTTCAGGGGGGTGGTGGTGGTGGTGTAGAGGGGGACACGTGGTTGAGCGGTGGTGTGGCAGTGAGCGCGCTGCACTTGAGCTACCCGGCGACCCGAGTTCGATTCCCTGCTCGGTCGACTCGGCCTCAAGTGAGGCTGGAGATACAAAGGCGGCCGGGCGTTTGACTACCCAGCTCTTGCCCCAACATCCTGTTAAGGTTATACGGGGGATCTGTGTCTTTATAGGGGGAACTCGGGACCAGGTCAGAGCACCTGATGTCAGCCGCATGAACCACTGCACCTTTGCCCCCACGCGGTCATTTCATATTGCGGGTTTAAAAGGAAAACCAAATCATTGTCACGTATGTGACTGTCATTACAATTGGCCGCACGGTGTGACTGCAGGCGCGCTTTAAAATGTTAATGCGATTATGGCCGTCTCAAGCCGTAAGCGTTACGGATACAAAGCTTGGCTGTGCATTTCGGTGCTTTAAAATCTGTGCTCATCGCTACAGCTTCGGTGAGTCAATTATTCACGACATCATCAGGAAGTGATTCCGTTGGACTGCAGTGTGTACCCTGTGAACCCAGATGTTTGTCGCATGTTGATGAGTGAGGTGTTACCACCGCAAGTCACCATAGCGGCTCGTCTAAACAATAGCCGCGTCTCTTTATTGATTCGTGTTAGCGGCCTTTATGAACCCACTTCTGTAACTGGTTGTGGAACGGGTAATGTGTACATACAGTACACGGACAGTGTTGATATTGATTGACAAATCTTTCAGCACTTTTCGCTCTGAAAGGTTACATGATCGGACAGTGCTTATTGGCAGACTGTTGTGTTACGCCCTGCATTTTTACCCAGTGATGTAATATTTGTGTCGTGTTTACCTTTTTTACGGAACACAGTTAGTTTTTGTGCTAGTGTCATGTTGACAGCATACTCCAGCACAATTGTTAAGGGTGAATATGTGGCTTCATATTTAGGCATTTGTACATTACCCCACCCCCATAATGTTCAGCACTTCCTTTTGCAATCTAAGCAATCTCGCAACGCATTCTTTATGGTATAACATGTATCCTGTAGGTAGACACATTAGATTCAGTTTGTCAAGCACACACACCTTTAGTATACATACTCTGAATTCATGCACATTCACAGGCATTTGCCCATTCAGGCATCGCTCGTGTGCTTATCCACTGTGTATGATCACCAAGCCAAACGAGATACTGTAATTGTTAAACCGCCGTTTTCTCCCTAGGCCCCAATTGAGGCCCCAATTGAGGTCCTAAATCTCCTTCCACTCTACGAGGCGCCCCTCTCCCTCACGATGCCGCATTCTGCCTCTTGAGCTCTGATTTATGGACCCGTAAATGATCCTCTTAGAGTACCACACTGGGTGTGTGCACTGCTCAAATATACTGGTGCGTTGTACTGAACCCTGCTTGTTGTGGCGTGTGGTGGTAGGCGATAGTGCAGGAGGTGTACGGTGACCTGGTGGAGGATGTGTGCCTGGGACTTTGTCTGGAGGCTCATCGCTCGGTTAAGTGCGGCTTCTTCTTCATCGACGAGATGGACCCCGAGGGCATGCAGGAGTTTGGTGAGTGGTGGAAGAGGAGCCATTCACATGCATGGTAAAAAAAAATGTGGTATCCAATTAATGTCCTGTTACCTTGAGAGTGCCTTGAAGGGTGCCTTGATGAAAATTGCATTGTGAATGCAGTTCAATTTGCATGTTAAATATTTGTATTTTGCAAACTGCCCGTTGGATGTTCCTGCTGCAGCATGGAGAAATTTGCATAATATCGACTAAAATGATGGCAATGTTATTTTTAGACTCGTGTTTTATAGTGCACGTTGCAGAGCGTGATGGCAACCAGAAGTGCAACTTGCGCTCTCACACGCCTCGCTCCCTACCCGACCCCACCCAATCACCTGGCACCATCACTGCCGCTGCCGCCACCACCACCTTCTCATTCCGGTTCAGAAATCGTGGACAAGGCGGGCGTGGACGTCTTCGGGCAGGTGTTCAACCAGTGCAAGAACCGCGACTGCGAGTGCCCCAACTGTGGGCGAACGATTGCGGCCGCTCGATTTGCGCCGCACCTGGAGAAGTGCCTTGGCATGGGGCGCAACAGCAGCCGCCTGGCGAACCGCAGGTGCGAGCCAGATTCCCACCCCTCTTCCTCCCCACCACCGCGCTTGGTGTCCACGCAACGCAGAGAGGGGGAAGTGAAGCTGCCCTCTCTCCTGCCGGCAGCTGCCGCTCATTCAATTGGGCACAGGGATTGCTTTGCAAAAGTGGTGCTCTTCATGATAATGTGATTTATTCATTCCAGGAAAGGCTTCCTTAGTCCGAAGATTTGTTTTCATCAGGGCTCTACATGAAGGTGTTTGTCCAATTTTACTTTTTTAAGGAGCGTTACACATGTGTGAGGGAACCGGAGCAACTGGAGAATGCCCAAGCGCATGAGAGTTAAACATTCAAAGGGTCACACCGATTGGTTTCACCGACTTATTTGCCATACTGCCAGCTCATGGTCGCCTTTCGTGCCAGCAGTTTTGAGAGTTGCACAAATATACATGATCCAACAACTCTTGCCTTCAGACCGCTGGATTTCGGGTGTGTTTGTGGCAATGGACCACATAAAGAAAACTAAATTCACTCCTGAAAAATGCATGATTTTGTCTTAGTCCTTTTTGTTTCTTCATTCTCTTGAATGAACAGTTGTATTTTAAATGGGCAACGCGCCAGAGGTGTTAGTCTATGACGACTCTATTTCCATATTGTATTACATGAGTGAGGGTGCAGGCAAGGCTATTGAACCAATCTATCAACATCGTGAATTTTGCTATAGACCCTACTCGTACAAACTTGACAGTCTTCAATATTTGCATTCCCGCTATTGAGGGTTACCCTATTCCCATTGGGGTCCACAGGCCTCTGCTATAATATGTACGCAGGTGTGGTTTATGATTACTAAATTGTGGTGAATGTGCCGAGCAGCTGGTGTCTCAACCGCAAGCAGTCTACACTTCATAAGCCGAAGAGATCGTTAATGGTGAGCGTACAGTGTTTAAAGTGGACACCTTGTGGCTATGCTGCAGGCTTGCTAACAGCAACAGCAACAACATGACTAAATCAGAAAGCGACCCGGAGGATAACGACGATGTGAATGACAACGACTGGTCCTACAGCTCCGAGAAGAAAGGTGCGTCAAGGACAGGTCCGCCCGCTGCAGGTGCAGAAGCTGATGACGCTGTCACAGTTTGTATTTGTTGCGAATTTAACACATTCACTTGCTTTGCTATGTAATGAAAACGAAAAAAATAATCGCCGTATTTTTTTTGCTGCATTTCCCTGGATGGCAATACTAAATGTATATTTTATATCTGGATTATTTTGGTCACGTGCATGTTATCTTGGTGATTTAATTAGATTCGCAAGCGATTGAATCGTTTAAAAGTAGGACAAGTTTTTCTTTGTATCCCGTTATTTCCAGATTGCCAATATGCTTACATATGTTAGTGAAACATATACACAATAACAATGACATTATATATTTTTTATGGTTCTAACGATGTTTGCAATCTCAGTGTGCCACGTTTATTGCTGTACTGCTGATATTGCTTCAGATGCAATGCCTAAGTCATGACTTTTAAATTTTGTCATTTGCAGCCAAGAAGAGAAAGGTGGAGAAGGTAAGTTTTTATGGACTGACATCACAGACAAACCGATGATTAACTGCTACAATGCAGTGTGATCAACTTTAATGTGAAAGCCACTGCTGTCGCTACAGAATCCCAACTCGCCCAGAAGAGCCAAGCCCGTCAGGCACAAGAATGGTACGAAGTGTGGAAATGTGGGATCTGTCAGCTGCATACATACTATGTATGCATGCATGCATAGCATTGTTACAATCTTCTCTTTTTTCATACCCGGTAACCAAAAAGGGGAAAAACATGTTCTTGGTTTGGCGCATATATCGAAATCTCTGGCAATAAACAGAATGTTTACTTTTTCAACTCAAATATGAAGGGAGCGGCCACGGTGTAATGGTTAGCAACAGTGGACTTAGAATCCCGAGTCAATAGATCTATTCCATCTCCCAGCGCAGAAGTTGAATCAATGGGGAGAGTTTCTTAAATCCCCCTCGCGGCTGTCCACCCAGCAGTAAACATAGTGGTACGTCGCATTCGATTGCCAGTTGGTGTATGGTGGGTTAAATTGTGGGCACACCCACCTATTCTAATAAGTGTGGTCAGCCTGAAAGAGGAGACCAAACGCTCCCTAGAGCTCCCTGCGAATGGGGACTCGTAAGCCAGTGGTGACGTAAGCAAGCAACTGCAGGATTTTACCTTGAAATGAGGAAAAATGCACTTTGGCTGCTGTGCCGTTTGTACGTCTGCCTGTGCCAATCTAAAGAATACTTACTAAAATTCCACTCAACTTACCGATTCCTGACTTTCAGAACTGGCAGTAGAGTCTGAAAATAACTAGCAGTTCACAGGTTGCCATCAAACAACCTAAATACATATGAAAGGAAGTCCACATTGGTGTACTGCTGTAAGGGTTACTTTATTTTGGGCATAACACCAACACTCATAGGAAGATGCTCTCTAAAGGTGCCCCCGTGCTCCTGTCACACCCCCTTTATATATAAGATTTGTCATTCCGTCCAGAAGATTGCCAACTGTCTCCTAACTTCTTCAAGTTACGCCATTCTCCAACAGCCTTCAAATGCACTCAGTTTCCTTTTTTTAAATGTTCCTGGGCTCTCACCCATCAAATATCCTGGCCAATCAGAACAAAATTCCATTTGTTCACAAGCTCGACAATTTTGGAATACAGAAAGTGACGAGAACTCGTGAATGCAAATCTTACAACCGTGTACCTGTAACCTGACATACTTTTAAGGTTGTATACTATCTTGAGCGTGCTTGTATACCATTAGATTTATAATAAACATGCATTTAAAATGTCTTTCAGGGGACCTTGGTGGAGCAACTTCAGAATCTGTAAAGGTACACTTAATTGCTTGCACCTTGTAACATTGTTTCCCAATAGAAGAGCGCATTTTAAATGGTAAGATGCACAATATTTATAGGGTTATTAAAATAGTTTAGCATAATTGGTAACCTCATGAAAAACTAGTTTACAGTTTGGCGTACATGTAGATGTGTAGTAGTAGTTAACATAACAGCTTTGACTTTTTCATGGAAACCTGAAGATGACTAATGGTTAGCATCAGGGAGTCGAATCAACGGATGTTCAGGTTCACAAAAATGGTCTCAGAAAGTTGAGTTCCCTTTTACTACAAATCAGTTTAAACAGTTCAAATATGCATATTAGCTCAGAAATAGCAAAACAGACCCGTGTCACCTACAATGTTATTTTTAAGAATATACATGCTTTTATTTTATTTGATTGCTTATGGTATATGGAACGTTGATTGCTTTGTTGTGTTTTTGTGTACGTGTGTTCGTTTTGTGGTTTATTGTTTTTTTTGCAATATTAGAAAAGTATCAAAACAAGGACCCAAACAAAGCAATCAGACGAATCAATTGGCATGCAATGTGTATTGCTTCGTTTGATTGCTCATGGTGTATGCATTCATGCAAATGCAAAAGTACAGAACAATACAATATTGGATACACCATGAGCAATGAAAACAAGTAATAAGCATTGTATAGCATTTATCACATTACCTTTAAATGTTTAATGGTTATGTTGTAGCTAATGCTAGAGTTAACCCCCTTCAATTAATATGATTTAATCGGCAAAATTGGCAGCTCTAGGCCTGTATTTGCCTCTGTGTGCGCATGTGTACATCGCTATCCAAGACTCGGAGTGCCACCGTCTCGCCTATGCAGAGTGTCATGCTCTGAGCACAAGTCGTCTCGCCGAGGGACCACGACAAATGTTCTATAGTGGCATACATAAAAGTGAAATTGGCCAAGGAATCGCAGCCATTTTCATTTTTAACACCGCAGCTACAAGTGCTATATGTTTTGATAGTTTGAACCGGTTAAAACCAGTAACCAAATCCTATTTTTTTCCATTTTGGTTCATGAAAATAATGGATTAACTCCGGTTACCGGTTCCGGTTTTTGGTTCGACTCTGGTTAGCAGAGTGAACTTGCAATCCGGAGGTTGCTGGTTCGACTCCATCTCCCGGCACAAACTTTGAATCAATGGATGGGGCATATTTCTACCCCATCTCTCTACCTGTGTCCAACCATCTGTGTAAATGGGTACAGAGCACACCCATTCGATCGGCAGATCGTGTCTCGGGGTAAATTGTGGGTGCGCCCAGCACTTCCAAGACGTCTGGTCAGCGTGGAAAAAGTGGATCGAATTCCCTCTACTTCTAGAGCTTCCCTCTCGTGGAGGCAGATGGAGGCCTACACCTTTACCTTCTAACTGAGAAACGAGGACTTAGGCCGTTGTGCCGTTCATACGTGTTCGCGTGTCCCGATGCATGCTTCGTTACGAGCATTTTATCGGAAACTTACCAGTTCCTGACTTTCGGAACTGGTTATCGATTCTGAAAATGGTTACCGGTTTTCCGGTTATCATTTGTAACAACCATAATTATCTGTGTAATTGCTTAATATTGGGAACCTGGAACATTTGCATTGATGGATCTATATCTGTTATGTAAATAATGCATGTACCCAAATTCAGGTATCATTATAGAGGCTAAGGAATGTTAAACGTAGTGTGTCTGCCCGAAACCTTACCTTGCAGACATGCCAGATTCCCAGTTCCAGCAATGCTGGTAGCACCAGTTCCATAAATTACGAGAGCCTGGGACCCCAGGAGCTCAAATCCTTCCTGAGTACCGTACGTTACGTCCTCGCACGCAGCACGCATGCAGACCATTGTTCCGTCGCGGCCATCCCTTTCCGTTCTGGGGGATTTATTTGTGCCTCTCGATTTGCAGCAATGCGGTGTGGTGTCTGAACACACGAAGAAGATGTGCACCAGGTGAGGCGAAGGGTCAAATGGCAGCACAAAGTACTTTCTGTTTCGTAACTGCTTGGCTGAGTGGCGCATTGCTATTAACCCTTTAAAATTTTCTTTTAATCACGTGCGTGCAGTGTAAACGTGAATCTATGTTACTAGTTGCGCTGATTAAATGGATGCCTGTGTCACCACTGATTGCAGTTGTTTGTGTGAATATACGAACATGAACATTGCTTTCCTTTTACAATGACTTTATTCAAGACCTTAATTACACCCATCTTAAGTTTTGTTAACAAAATGCATTTTATCCATCAGGCCACTTACCCCCTAACATGATGCCCTTTAGTGAATGCTAGCTGCAATTTGGAGCAGATAACCTTGTTTATGCTAATATTCGGAAGCAGCGACCTAATTGAGGGATCGCTTACCATTTTAGCAGAAGACATAAGGTCACGTGAAATGAAAATAATATTTTCAAATAAATTTCGCATTCTATTTTTTTGGTCTGAACGGCTAAGTGAAGGTTCCATGACACAAGTATGAGGCTGCAGAGCTTTCCTTTGAAGCGGCCTATCCTGTGAGCCCGTGAAGGCCGTACGCGGTGTTCAACGATGAAACGCTTCCCCGTAGGTCCCATCGCTGTCCGCAGCACACAGACGATCAGCGCCGCTCCGTCCGGCTCTTCCTGCTCGGGCCGTCGGGGTGAGTCCTCGCACCGTTGACCGCCTTCACCCCAGGCATTCTCATCTTTACCGGACATTCTCTCCTCTGCTGGACGACGGACGGTCTCGTACTGACATCTCTGCTTCTCGTCCTGCGTGGCTGCATTCCGCCTTGTGTCCGTCTGTGCTTTGTGTGCTTGGTCCTTTTGCCTTGTTAACACTGAACATTGCTGGTTACAATGGGAGAGGTGTTTCTTCACATTGGTAAGTCTTATTTTGTATATTTATTTCACACCGGATATTGTGGAGCCTCATGCAAGATGATGTTTTTTTGGGGCTTAGGGAAGTTGCATACGGTGAGGATTTCTCAATGCTTGTTTGCCTGTGCTGAATACATCTTTTGTTCAAGTGGAATACACCGTTTTTTAAGCATTGGCCTTATTAATTAAAATAGTTCAGATCGTGTATTAGTGATAACCTTTCCATATGCGTACATGTACACACTGGCGGAGCCAGTGGGGCGGGGTGGGGTGGCACGTTGCCCCCCCAATGATCCGATCGAAATCCCTATTTTTGATCGGATAATTGGGGTTTATTAGTAATACATCGTTATTTTAATACCCCCACTGCCACTGTGCAGCATATTATTACGTGCCAGGGACTCTATGAGATGATAGGACAATAGTTTGAGTCCATAATTGGCAATAAGTAACGGCAAAGCAGTTATAAGTGACTCACAGAATTGTGCGCAGTTGCGTATAGGGTCCACGACTTCCCAGAAGGCATTCACCTTCAGCGAGCGCGATGCTGATCACACACGGTTCGAATTCGACCCTCGATCGATGGCTGTGCCATTGCCGCACACGTGTCTTTTAACAACTCCTATCATTTTTCATTGCTGGATGGGTTTCCCCCCCCCTACCTGAAAATCCTGGCTCCGCCATTGCATGTACAGCTCTTTTTTTTGTCTATCCACTGCTGGATGAGGGCGCCTCTCTCACATGCTTTGCGGGTGGTGGAGATAGTTTGACCGAACTTCCCCGCTAGTCAGCGGGGGTTGATGTAGGTGGGGAGCATAGATTTAAAAAAACAGTACAGTGCAACAGTGTATATTGCTGCTCTGCCCTCTGTTGACAACGTTGCCCTGCAGCAGCCTATGACACCTGTTTTGTGCATTGTGGTCACCCATTTCAGCGTTATTCAGGCTCAACATTGCTTAGCTTTTGAGATCTTGATAGGATCGGTGTGTTTTGCAGGTGATTTGGTCATAAGCCTATTATTGGTCTAATCATGGATATGGTATTCACTGTTTTCCTTGCCTGCTCAGGTTGTAACATGTTCTTTGCCTCGCAGGAGTGCGCTGATGGAGCCGGAGGATGTGGATGTGGATGGGTTTGACGTGGGGGACAGCACGTCGTACGATACCTCACCCTCCGACTCGGTCTCCTCCAAAGCGAGTCAGTGCAGTCTTTCTGTCTCCGGAGTCCTCACTTCTCCTACCACCACCTCTCTCCCTGTTTAATTATCGCAGCCACGCTTCTTTTGCACTTTTGAAATTTATCAGAGACTTAATGTGTAGACAGAACATTTTTGCTTTTGCACCGCAAAGTTAACTTACCTTGTGTTGTGTCCCTCGACTCTTTTCACATAATTTCTGAAAGTAATTGCGTATCATTTAATTGTTGCATGTGCCAATTATTGCTAGTTAATGTGCTTTTATGTTTCATCCTAATGCATCCATAACAAAACATCTTCAGGTGATTTTTAAAAGTCACCAGTGGAGTGTGTGCTTTTCCTTGAAAGTGTAGGAACCTTTGCTGTGTGCTCTGTCCTCTGCGCTGAAGGCACAAACGCCTCCGAGTCAAAAAAGAAGAAAAAGCCTCCCCCAGCGGGTTCTCTCTCCGGCTCCAGCGGCGCCGGCTCTAGCTCCGGCTCTAATTCCAGCTCCAAGAAGAAGAAGATTCGTCCGCCCACGCCTGGATCGGCGCAGTGATGCCAGCGGTACCAGGGATAACAAAAAAACCCATCAGCGAGGCGGTTTTCTGTGCACGGACCACCAACCCCACATACCCACCCGCCACTCCAAACCCCCTTCAAACGCGCCGTGCATGTGAACCACCACTAAGACTCCAGGACAGCGCTGTTCAGCGAGATGTTGCACCTCGTCTTGCGTGTGTTGATCAAACTGTCTGAAGTTAAACTGGACTCGGCGCAGCGTGACACTCGGGGAAGATTTTGGCTGTTACGGCCTGCGGTTAGAGCAATGGGTGTCAGAGCCTGCCGCCCGAACGCCACGTATATGGCTTTCGTCTTCGCACTCCTGCCATCCCACCCGCTCGTTTGTCTGCATGCCCGCGCATGTGCAGGTCGGCCTAAGTCAGCGCTCTGCATGCAGCTGCGACACTGGGTGGAAAAGAAGCCGAGCAGCGACGTTTAGAGAATTTCTGTGCACACTGGTGCATGCTTGAGCAGGTCTATGCATTTGACATGGTCTGTGGAGCCTATGGAGACTATTAAATGCGGTGGCTTGAACTTCAACTTAGCATGAGGACACAAACACCAGTGCCCCGAGTCAAAAAAAAAACCTGCACTTTGCTCACTGCTCATTGGATGCTACATGGTGCGCTTTCACATTACACTTGCCGTGCACAGCTGATAACGGTATCCATTGCTGTGCAAGAACAGTGATAAGAACATGGTAATTTGACTGGAAAGGCCATTACCATTCATTGTATGCAGTATGTCTCCAGTGCACCGGATTTAGCCGGACGCGATGTAACTTTATTCTGGTTAGATCTGTGGTCTATACTATGATTACGCGAGTGCAATAGTGGACCAGTGCGGTGCATTGTGGTCCGTATTGCAGACGACAGTGAAGAAGAGTGCTCATGGGAGTACTTGGTTTTTTTGTCGTTTTTAGACACAGGTGAAAATAAAATACAGATTTTCCCAAGTGTAAAAAAAATCTCAGCATTGTATGATAGATTCCATGTTTCTCAGTACGGTAGAATACTGCCGTCACTCAACTAAATCTACAATAAATAGAATTTGCAGCGGTATTTTGGAATCTATTGTTTTGATTCATGTGTAGTATGCATTACTTATGTTTGCGTGTTCGATATTTGAGTATTAACACTCGTGTAGTGTACATGAGCTGTGTAGGTACTTGCGTTGAGTTGATATATTTTAAGTGGTGCATTGTAGCGTCCGGTGTAATTGACTTTTTTCTGTTGTTTGAAATGTAAAAGTGTGGAGTTAAAAAAACATACGGTTGAGACGATGGCGTATATTTCATTGCATTCACACTTGTGATTTTGTTTTGTTATTTGCATAAGTATGGTAACTCCGCAAGCTGCGCTTGTGCAGTGACGTGATTGCCCCCGTAAGCTTGTGCAACTGGAGTGCGTGCGGTGTTAGTGCACACGTGGTGACTGTGCACATTTGGTATATTTACTGCATACATTGACATGTCCAAATAAACATTCAAAGCGGTGTTCTCTGCTGCGATTTCTTACGTTGCCCAATATACTTCGTTAATTGTTTTACGTTTTTCAAGATACTGCCACTGAGTTTTAAATTCCATGTCAGAGAAACAACTCTGCTTACGCAAGTAGAAATGTCTCACTCAATGTGTGTTAACCACATTTGGGGAAAAAATAATAAAGACGTACGTATGTACTGATGTTAAGTGGGATGCATCTTGTATGTTTTAGCATTCTTTTTTACAATTAGTTTCATTTGGCTAGACAGTACTCTTCACACATTCCACATTTAGTGTGATTTTCGCAACGGTCTACTGCTGGATGACCTTGTCCCCTCGCCCTGTCGTTCATGGGAGTTATTTGACCATACAGGACTTTACCACGCTATGTCAACTTGCGCTATGTAAACTCACACAGTTATTGGCACGTCATGATGCTGCTGCTGATGATTTGCGTCAAATAGCCCGGAACATGGGAGGGCCGCTACGTAGTCGCATCGTGACCTCGTATGACACCGACTGCCAGTCATGTTTGCTATGTCCAGCATAAGACGCCAGGGGGCATCAGAGGACCGAACAAGGCACATTTTCGGGTCGAGTTACGAAGATTCAATATTTTCATGAATACTGTATATTGTATTTTACGTTGTCCTTAAACTTTTTGGCGTGTATGGGAGAGGAGATAAAAAAATGCATGTCAAACTCAACACAATATTGCACTCGTTGAGAATCCACTGAGACAAGAAGTCGCTTGAGTAAGGGAGACATTGGTCAACAAGTGAAAGCAACAACACACTGCAGGTTTTTTTTTCCATTTTATTTTACCAGGTAAGACCCACTGAGCTATTTGGCTCTTTTTTCAGAGGCGACTTGAAAACAAATGATGGCTCAACGAAGTGGCTCATGTTCAAATGTATAGCAGCCAAATACACTCAACGTACGTTTCTCGTTTTCACCGAAGCGCACACGGCTGAGAGCTCTCTGAGGGGGGGTAAAGTTGCTCGTTAGCACTATAAACATTGGCAAAGTAAGCAAAGTCAGACAGGTTCGTGCAGAAAACAAGATTCAGATTAATAATTGAATGTATTGAAATACTTTCCAAAAATAAAGTTCCACAAATGTCATTTGAAATAATTTCACTCCCAATCTTTTCGAGATTTAAAAATGACGCCTGCTTAGAAAACAGAACCTCACTGTTGTTGAGAGAAATGTTTTCCACTGTATGTTCCACACGAGGGTACACAGAAACCGCGTTGTTATATCGCCTGGGATCACCGTGTAGCCTAGGGTGACTATAGGGGGGATGGGAGCATGCCGACCCCTTTTCAACCACGACCACATTTAACCCGGGCAAATAAAGAATGAAGCCCATAACTAAGCTTGAGTTGTGTGTATGCTGGCCGTGCACATAGAGATCACAAGGGTCTCTCTCTCCCAATATTCACTGAGTTCTCTGTGACGATAATGTTGCGGTGTTTGGGTAAACGTCACATTAGTTCAGCTGGTAGAGGGGACACACGAAGGGCAGGGAATTCCTTGACCCGTATCACGCCTCCACAATATTGTGTTGACCAAGGGTTTTTTCTATTGTTCACGTTCACAAATAGCCCTTATTCATCCTCAACATATGCTCAAATCACCCCTAAACACACCCGATCTGAGAAACTAAGCAGGCCTGAGCCTGGTTAGTACCTTGGATGGGTGACCACCATGCAGTGCTTGCCAGATGTAGCAGGCGTGTGACTGCGAGATGGCCAGAAGATGTCAGTGCCAAGTGTCGCCCCCTCCAATGCGTGATTGAGTTTACCCCGCTTCTACAGTTTCCTCCCACACGAAGCCACACACGCAATATCATTGGCCAAACATCCCAATCAATGCAGGCATCTCCGAGGTTTGAGAGTGAAGTGACCTCTTTGATCCACCGCTCGACGAAGGCCCTCACCACGACGCGTCAACTCGAGAGGGCTGTTTGACCATACTTCACCACGCTAGTCAGTGTGAGTCGGTGAGAGTGAGGGGCGCCGAGAGACACTGAACTGATTCGGATCACACTCGCCACTTTGATGTTAGCCGTAGCCTGGAATTGAACTCTGACAGCCGGTTTCATAGCGCAATGCGCTAACACACTGCGCAACCGCGCCTCCCCTGATCTACAGTGCAGTATTTACAGATCCTTATGTTGGTCTCCAAATAAATACATTTAGGACGCAGGGAACGAGAAAGGGGTAAAATACTATTCTTGAAATCTCCTGCAAGTAGATACATATCTTCCAATTATTATCAAGAGGCGCCTGCATGTAGTAACACAGTAACATCTAGACACTTAGTACATGTCCCACATTTCGAATCGCAGGGTTCCGCTGAAAATGCTCTTAGCAAGCCCCATATTAAGGCCAGAGTGACATACGTGGCCAGCGCCCCACGCCCGACCGCCTTTGTATCCCCAGTGCTTCCGTTGACATACATGGTAGCGCGTGTCAGCTTCGTGGTGTCATTATTCGCGCGACCTCTAGTGGTCGGGTAGGGTCACACGCAAACCCATTCAGGTGCAAGGAATACCAAGAGGGAAACCATCGATTTTGAAGTCACGCACGCTTTCCCACGCAATTTTTCGTGCGCTTAAGAATCCACATCGATCGGCTAATCCGTGAACGAAACCTAAACGTCACTTGGAAATAATTATGTTTAGTCCAGGGGTCGGCATCCCCCGCGGCTCTTTAAAGACGGCTTCGTGACGTTATTCACATGGATTGCAGCTCTTAAAATATTGAGCTGTTTTTACCGAATAAAAAAAAGGCTCTTCATGTTATTTTGGTTGCCGACCCATGGGTTAGTACATCGACCTATTGACATTTTAAGTAAATACGCGGGCAATTATCCTTCCCATATCTGTCCCTCCACGTAAAAAAACTGTAATTTTTAAAATGACACATCTCATCAGTTACGCGAACATCTTTCTTTGCATAATTCCAGCAGCGTTTGCGTAATACAAACAAATACTGGACCGGTTTTGACATTCAGTGTATCATCAGCGATCAGGTTTGCGTAAACCAATGCTTTTAAACTCCCAGATGTTTACAGGGCAAGTGACCCTCTCTATTAGATTTCAGACGCTAATTATTATTTTGTGTCCTGTGCCGAGTTAGACTTTTAGAATTCACCAACAGCATTTGCTCAAGCCCCTATAGTTCCAAAAAAGCGAATACAATACGTTTGAGTAAATCGACCTATCGACCTACCGGCCTTCCACAGACGTTGTGTGTTTATCAGCAGCCGGAGCCGTTCCTTGGGCGCGACGAATCGGGGCGACCGCCCCGGGCCCCGAGCTTTGGGGGCCCCGCGTTTCGACATCACGGAGTCAGATGTAATTCTGCCGGTTTAGTTTGAAGGCGTTGGGGGGCCCCATCAGTTGGATTTGCCCGGGTCCCAGCAACCCCCCCCCGCCACCCTATGGACGGCCCTGCCAGCGGCATTCGTTTAAATAAACTCTGTATCATTTTCACCTTTTCTAGGGTTCATCAGCAGTCAGCCGTACGCAGTTCGTGTGATGCAACGCTTAATTACCATGCTATTTGGAGTATAGGTTGGGTATATGTGCATGGTAATGACATGGGTTGAATAAATGATGTAATTTAGAGTCCTTTCGTCAATCCGCTGTTGAGTTAGGGCCTCATCACGCCGTGTCGGCCATGGGGCTTTTGCTTTGACCACGTTGGTCAAGTGAGAGTGATGTTCGCTGGGAATTTAACTCAGTTCACCGGGTTCACAGCGCAGCGCACTCGAACCACTGCGCCAGTCCTTGCACTAAACAAGGAAATAGCGAATCAGCTGCAACTATTTATAATACTGCGCTTAGATATTGCAAGCATGCAACAAAACAACCCTACCGGCATTGCACATGTACATTATTCATGCGTGCGTATACGTATGAACACGATATTATGTGCACGTGTATGTACACTGTATGATGTATGTAGAGCGTACATAATCAGAATCTTTATCTTGGAGGAATCCGATGAGCTGTGAAGCTCTTTTTCACAGATGTCCCGTAGGGGCGGGTGGTCGTGGTGTTCTAATATCACCTACCACTGATGTTAGCAGTGGCAGGGAATCGAACTCGGGTTAGCTGGATTCTCGTAGCAGTGCGCTAACCACTTTGTCACCGCTCCCCACAAACAGCCCACTAACAGAACAAAGATTCACCGTATAGCCTCAACAGACTGTAGGGGCAGGTGCTGTTATCGAGCACCTATTAAGGCCGACACGGCACACAAGGCGCTGTGGTGGCCAGCAACACGCCCGACCGCCTTTGTCTCCCCGGTGGCGATGTTCACACACAGCACCAGGTACTCATTTGAGGCCGAGGCGACCTAGGGGAGGCCCAGGACCGATTCACACATAGAACACACACACACTCAAAAAAGGAATCGGAAACACGCACCAACAACCCACTCACAGCCACCCACGCTTAAATGTGACAGCCTTTCAAAATCATTCAATCCACAGACGGCCTCATTCACTCAGACTCACCCAATCACACCGCCAGAACACATACGCATTCACTCACTTAAACTTACTCATACTCTTACAGTGAGTGACAGGGCCATATACACGAATTCATTCACACACACACATTCACTCGCACTCACACAAACCTACTCGGTCACACAAACTTACTCGCACACAACACACGCACATCACACACACAACTTCACTCACAAAGACAAAGATCCCCCTTATAGCCTTCACAGACTGTCGGAGCAAGTGCAAAGGCGGACAGCAAAACGCCCGGCCGCCTTTGTCTTCCCAGTGGCTATATTTACACACCGCTCCAGGTACTAATTTGAGGCTGAGTCGACCTAGGCGAGGCTCAGGACCGGTTCAGATAAGTGTCACTGGTGTAGACCGTGAGCGGCTATCCGCTCACACACTGCCACACACACACCCCGCATCCAACCGACTAAATTGCCGTGATGTCATCACGGCGCTTGTGCCAGGCTAGGTGCACCAC